GGCCGCTAGATTTGAGCGCGTTACGCACCATCCTAGGATGCGCCGTAATGCCGTGCTAGGATTTGACGATCTGGGCTGCGTGCTTTGAGGTTTTCGCCTCGCCGCTAGTAATCGCCCTAATGATCCCATGATTAATTCTATCCGTGACTATGCGTGGATGACCAGCCATGGGCATTGAAGAGTCCTAGATCATGTACCGTACTCTTCCCCACGCCAAGCTCCTTCGCGATTCGCCTCGTCCTTAGCCCCCTCCGCAACAAGGTTATGATCCGTACGCGACGCGCCTCATCTTACAATCTCATCTCGGCGTAGTCAAAGCCTCGGGTATAGCCTCTTTCCTTACTAAGCAAAACTTGCGGGAGCAACTATGTAGATTATGCGGCTGTCGAAAACAGATCTAGTTAGCCGCTTGGCAAAAACTATCCGAATGCACTCATGCGACTCAAATCTTGTCCTCGCTATTAGTGCCACCCCTTAAAATTGCAAAAGTGTTACAGTGACGGAAACAATTGTCCGAATATTTTGCACGAACTAGGGTTTTGGGGCATTCCGACCACTGTACATAAAGTCTTAATGTTTAATGGTGGCACACTTTGGGCGGGGCACATAGTGGATGTGTTCATAGTGCTATAATCCATAATAGTACACTGGATCTAACTTAGTGCTAAAATATATCCAAAGAGTACATCCGGACAATTGTTTCCCAGGACAAAGAGCAAACTTCCGAACAGCGTTTCTAGTACCTAGTCCACCGACCCTTAGCCTTGATCACCACCCGCACCCTCCTAGGCATGTTATCTATAAGGTTAGTGCAAACCTTTGCAGAGAGCTTCTCGCACTCTTCCTGGACCCACACTTTTGCATAAGGGGGTGAGCACTAGGAAAATCGCGAAGGATTTTAGCGTATGCAAAAGAAATGTGCATGCTTTCTGATTGAATGTGATCTCTTAGACTTGCCACGCTGTAGTGTGACCAAAAATGCCATTAGCCGATTGCTCGCGTCTTTTCATGGGTCATCTCCGTCGTACCGCTGTAGGATAAAACCACGATCAGAGCGGGAAAAACTAGCGTATATGCCGTTAAAATGAGGGTAACGTTGCACGGTCGATTGTACACCCTTGCACTTTTAGAATCACGCTAGGATCCGCAGGTCTCGTCACGGTGCAGTAGTCGAAGAAGTCATGACTGTTCGAGATGAATGCTTGAGGTGAGGTATGGTGAGGAAAAGGGTCACTCCAGCGCAACATACTCATGCTCTCCGAGCCATTCCAAGCCATTTGACCCACTTAGGCTTGGAATGGCTTGGAGAGCATGAGTATGTAGCACTGGAGTGACCCTCTTCCTCACCAGAACTCAACCTGGATAATTTTCCCCACTAGCCAGGGCTTCTTCGACTGCTGCACCGTGACGAGACCCGTGGATTTTAATGTGATTCTAATAGTAAAAGGGTGCACTGTCGACTGTGCTATGTTACCCTAAGTTTCTCAATGAATGCACTAGTTTTCGCCACTCTGTTAGTAATTTTACCCTACAACGGTACGACAAAGACGACCCATGAAAAGATGGGACCAAACAGCTAATGGTCCCGTCTTTTCATGAAAATACACACCTCAGCATGGCTAGTCTAAGAGATCACATTCAATCAGAAATCGTGCACATTACTCTTGCATACGCTCTTTTCCTAGTGCTCACCCCTTTATACAAAAGGGTGGGTCCAAGAAGAGTGTGAGAAGATCCCTGCAAAGGTTTGCATTAACCTCGTAGATAACATGCCTAGGAGGGTGCGTGTGGTGATCAAGGCCAAGGGTTGGTGGAATAGGTACTAGAAAAGCTGTTCGGAAGTTTGCGCTTTGTCCTGGGAAACAATTGTCCGGATGGACTCTTTGGATATCTTTTGACACTAAGTTAGATCCAGTGTACTATTATGGATTATAGCACTATGAACACAACCACTATGTGCCACTCCCAAAGCGTACCACCATTAAACATTAAGACTTTATGTACAGTGGTCGGAATGCCAAAAAACCCTCGTTAATGCAAAACACCCGGACAATTGTTTCCATCACTATACGATCCACGAGATAAGAACGTTAGGTACATCGGCCTTCCGCTCTAGGGGAAACAGCGTGGTGTAGCGCGTGTAGTCGTCGACAAGCACTAGAAAGTAGCGCTTTCGACGCGGCCCACAGTCGGGGGCTAGGTCCCAGACGTCCAAGTGCAGGGTGTGGAGTGGCACAGTGGTAGTGGGAAGCGAGGAGGAGTGAGGAGCACGGCGCAGCCGGCCCTCGACGTAGGGCATGCACGGCGGCGCAGGCAAGACAGGGAGAGCAGGGAGCGACACAAGGAGATCTAAGACAAGATAGTGCTGGGATATGTGACGCAGACGCGGGAGTGCGAGGTGACCTAGGAGGTGGTGCCACGGAAGCGACGGGTGAGTGAGCGAGAGACACGAGCAAGCCGTAGCAACCTAGGAGGGTGCGGCCACCTGGGGAGACGCCCCTACCGGGGGGGATGCGGTGTCAAGCATAAACAGTCCAGACACCGTGTCCTTGGGGAACATGGTGAGAGGGGCACGAGTGGCAGCCTCGGTGCAGACCGCGTACCGCTCGTGTTCGGGGAAGGTAGTGGTGACGCCGAGGTCCTGAAGACAGCCGGCACCAACTAGGTTCCTGGAGAACGAAGGGATGTGGAGGCCTGTAAGACAGCCCAAGGGAACCGCCGGACAGGGAAGGGTGGTGGAGCTACGGGCAACTACCAGACCTGAGGAGGGGTTAACAAGCGCGAAAGCTGCAGGGGCGGCAAGCGGCGTGAGCGCAGTGTGGTCACGAAAGATGCAGGCGGACGCACCCGAGTCTAGCGTGGAAGAGAGCGCGGCGGTGGCGTCTCAAGGCGGAGGAGCTAGAGTGGAGCTGAGGCTAAACAAGTCAGGTGGTCCTACACGTGACGCAGCAGGGGAACCTAGGCTACACATAGTGGACACACATACACTAGGAAACACAAGGTAATAGGGTCCAGTCACACTAGACTCATCAACATACAGGACATACGTAGCAGACCTAATCTGATCCATATCCAGCTAAAAGATAGGAACACGGCGACGCACCAGGCTGTACTAGTCGGGGGGGTTCGACGCGGGGCTGAAGCGAAGACGGAAGAGGTCGTCCAGGCGGCGGTACCAGCGGGCGGCGGTGTGACCAGGACTCTCGCAGACGGTGCGGCGGCGGAGGCCGGACTGAAGCTGGTACTGGCAGGTGACCATACTGGAGCCGCCACCCGACACCGAGCTGCGCGGCCCACCACCACGACCACCACCACCAGAGCCACCGAGCCACCACTGCGGCGGGGGTCCCCACGGCTGCTGCTGCTGCGACTGCATCTGCTACTTCGGCTGCCGCTGCTGCTGCGGGGGCTGCTGCTGCTGCTGTTGCACCGGGGCACCAGCCTCGGTCCTCTCGTCTGCACCACTGTCCCCTCTACAACCTCTGCCACCTCCGCCACCCCCCCCACACCCGCCACCCCTCCCGCCGTCACCCCCCCCCCCCCCCCGGCCCGGCGTCCCCTATCTTGACGAGACTGCACTAAGGCCGCCGCAGCGGTCTCAGCAATAGAGGCCGTCTCAGCAACATCGGCAGAAACGTCAAAGTAAGTGCACTGGAAGGGAGCACGGGCTTGGAAGATAGGGACCGCCGCAGTACGGCTCGACTGAGCAATAGTGCGCTGGCGAGTCTTTATCGCGGACAGGATAGTGACAAAGTCAGCGAGGGTGAGGTCAGCGGGGTGGAGGCCAAGGAAGTGGTCGTGGGCAGTGGCTAGGCGGTCAGGAAGGCGTGTGGCAAGGAAGTAGAGGTTAGCGCCGAGGGGGGGAGGCAGTACAAGGAGTTGAGCTTTAGTGCTAGCATCGTGGTAGCTGGCCTCTAGCGAGCGCAGGTGGGTGGCGAGATCAGTGTTAGTGGGAAAGGACGCAAGGTCAGGGAAGAGCAGGGGGAGAAAAAAACGACCGGCAGAGGTGGAGGAGGTAGTGGAATAGCGCGCAATGTCAACATCTAAGTACTCCTATGCAGTCTCTAGGGCCTGGTAGCGGGGGCGCTTAGAAAGGGGGAGGGCGCGACTGAGAGCAAGTTGCTCAACTGCGTGACGCGACTCCCAAACCGAGCGGGCGAGCTCAGCAGTTTCAAAGGCCTCACGCTCAGTAGGCGTGGGTGCGTCAGAGAGGGCAGCAGGCAGGTCAAGGCAGGGGATCTTACCGTCGACGTGGACGGCCAGAGACTGGCCATCCAGGCGTTGTCCCCTCAGCGAGCGGGGGAGGTCAGCGAGCCACACCTCAAAGTCGATCGCCCGCCCCTCCGCGTCCAGGCGGAGCACAGCGTCCGCCATCGCCAAGGTTGCAGCCGCGGACCGCCGCGAGAGGAAGAGGAGGAGAGAGCGGTGGGGAGCGGTGGAGAGCAGCGGTGAAGATGGCTGGCGAGAGCGCCGGCACAGAGGAGGGAACCAGGGCCGGCGCGTCGGGGCGACACAGCAATACGGCGGCGCGGCGGCTCGGCGGCTCGGCGTCTCGGCGGCTCGGCGGCTGCGGCTCGGCGGCTCGGTGGCTCGGCGGCTCGGCGGCTTGGCGGCACGGCGGCTCGCCAGCTCGGCGGTGTGGCGCGGCGGCGCGGCGGCTCGGTAGCGCGGCGGCGCGGTGCGGCGGCAGGGGTCGGCGCGAAGTGGCGAGACCGGCGCAGAGTGGCGGGGTCGGTGCGTGCGCGGACGGCGCGGATGGCGCGGGCACGGCATGGACGGCGCGGACGGCACGGGTGCGATGCGGACAGCGTAGACGGCCCGGGCTTGGGCTCGGACGGCGAGGGCGGCGAGGGCGGCGAGGGCGGCGCGGGCGGCGCGGACGGCGCGGGCGCGGCTCGGGCGCGGCTAGGGCTAGGGCACGGCTAGGACACGGGCTAGAGCTAGGGCTAGGGCTAGGGGCAGAAGCGTAAGCGGCGAGGGGGGACCTAACATAGCGTGATACCATCTCAGAATAACGCAACAACAAGAATGAGGCATACATGCAGGTTTTGTGCTATGGTGCTGTACTCTTTGTAAGCATGCACCTATCTAGCCTATAACAATATATAAATATGTTGACACCCGCTCTTTGTCATGCGCCGCCTGTTCGTCTCGAGGTTGCATGCGAGGTCAGTTGCCGGTGATCCATGGATGGCCTGCCCGCACAGGAGCCACCGAAAGGGGTTAGGGAGCTGAGGGGTGTGAGCACACTAGCCTGACACTATGCATAATGCATACACTCCGCAGATTAATAAACTCGAGGTTGCATATGATGTCAGTTGCCAGTAATCCATGGATGGCCTGCCCATGCAGGAGCCACCGAAAGGGGTGAGGGAGGTGAGGCAAGGTGGAGGTGAGGCGAGGGAGAGGTGAGGCGAGGGAGAGGTGAGGCGAGGGAGAGGTGAGGCGAGGGAGAGGTGAGGCGAGGGAGAGGTGAGCTCACAAGCAGGAAGGCAAAAAAACCCTTCCTGTCAACCCCATCAGTCGAGCATAAGAGGTAGGATGTAAGGACTGCCAATGGTGGTGCATCAAGTGAAGAAGTACCGGATATGGGGGCCCATGTAACCAGAAAGTGGGTGATTCTCTCCCGGGGGTCCTTTGTCAGCAGCCGCCTGACAAGATCCTTGACAGCTGGGGAGACGCAGGGCCAGGGCGGCAACTACTTCTGTCCTTCAGGGCGCTCAAAGATACCTTGCACTGTGGGAAGGGAAGGAAGACCACTCACGTAGAACCTCCTGAAGGGTGATCCTCTCGCGGGGGTCCTTTGTCAGCAGCCGCCTCACTAGATCCTTGGCACCAGGGGAGATGCGCGGCCAGGGCGGTAACCGCAACGCCCTGTCCACGTGGCACTCCATGATTCGCTCAAACGTCTCCTCCTTAGTAGCGCCTCTGAAGGGGACGACCCCGGCGAGCAGGAAGAAGAGCACGCAGCCCAGGGACCAGGCGTCCACGGCCTGGTCGTAGGCCTGCTGCAGCATCTCGGGCGCTATGAAGGCTGCTGACCCCACTGTTTCGGTGCAGGAGACGCCTGAAGTAAGAAAGGAGCAGAGGACATGGGGAGATGACCTGGCGTCTGTTGAGTGGGTGTATGACTGCTGCAGCAGGGGCTATGAAGGCTGCTGACCCCACTGTCTCGCTGCAAGTGACGCCTGAAGAAGGTGGGAGAGAGGGGTAGGGGTCAGGGAGCCTTAGTAGAGCACGTGGTCCACGGACCAGGCATCAACAGCTTGGTCGTAGGCCTGCTGCAGCATCTCAGGCGCTATGAAGGCTGCTGACCCCACTGTCTCGGTGCAGGAGACGCCTGAAGTAAGAAAGGAGCAGAGGACATGGGGAGATGACCTGGCATCTGTTGAGTGGGTGTATGACTGCTGCAGCAGGGGCTATGAAGGCTGCTGACCCCACTGTCTCGCTGCAGGAGACGCCTGAAGAGGAAGGGAGAGAGGGGTAGGGGGCTGGGAACCTTAGAAAAGAACGCAGCTCAGGGACCAGGCGTCCACTGCGTGATGGTGTGACTGCTGCAGCATGGGCTATGAAGGCTGCTGACCCCACTGTCTCGGTGCACGAGACGCCTGGATGGCGATGGGGACGAGGGATGGGAGAGTGGACATATTTTTGAGGCGCCTCATAAGTCTATTTTTGAGGCGCCTCAAAAATAGACTCCTCATGCAGGAGACACCTGGATGGCGATGGGGAAGAGGGATGGGAGAGTGGCCATAGGTGACTTTTGAGTCGCAGGACAGGACTCAAAGCCACTCAAAAGCTGCCCTGCGGTGATGGTGCCTTCATCACTGACAAGGTGACTTTTGAGTCACAGGACAGGACTCAAAAGCCACTCAAAAGCTGCCCTGCGGTGATGGTGCCTTCACCACTGACAAGGTGACTTTTGAGTCGCAGGACAGGACTCAAAAGCCTCTCACGGACAGGACAGGCGAGGGAATTTGAGGGGCAATCAAGGCTGTCAACCCTGCTAGCTCGGTGCAAGAGCCGCCAGGAGGAGAAGGGAGTGGCAGGAGGCAGGGAGCCTTAGAAGAGCACACAGCCCAGGGAGCAGGCGTCAGCTGTGTGTGTGGGTGTACGGATGGGATGGTATCTGAGGGGCAATCAGGGCTGCTGAACTCGCTATGCGGCACACGAGATGCCTGGAGGAGACGGGGAAGAGGGAGAATGTGACGATCGCCTTGCTTTTCCGTGCAGCTGACATGTGATCAGCATAGCCCAAACCCTAAGCCAGACGAGTCAAAAGTCGCCTCAAGACTGCGAGGATCGCCCTGCTTTTCCATGCAGCTGACATGTGATCAGCGCAGCCCAAACCCCTCCCAAATACTTATCCAGCATAGCCAGCTGAGGAAAGCATAGACAGCTGAGGAAAGCACAGCCAGCATGCGCCAAATGCTTTCCTCCGCACTCGCTTTCTCCTTCCTCTTGCCTGAATCCCCTCCCTGTCCCTCCCGTCCATCCTATGCCGGCTCAGTTGCACCCTCCTGTTTGTTGCACCCTCCTATACCTTAACGCTCTCTGGTGCGTCAGTCAATCCTCAAGCCTCACCTGGCTGGAAGGACAGCGTGATTCCAAAGTCCGTGAGCTTCACGTAGGTGTCGTCCTCCCTCCTCACGAGCAGAACGTGACAGTGCCCACTCCCATGCCAGTGCCCTTACCCTCCCATCCCACCCGTGGCACCGCTCCAGCGCCCCCTGGTGCGTCAACCAAGCCTCAAGCCTCACATGGCTCGAAGAACAGCACGATCCCAAAGTCAGTGAGCTTCACGTAGGTATCGTCCTCCCTCCTGACGAGCAGGATGTTGTCCGGCTTCACGTCGCGGTGCATCACCCCGCACCCGTGGCACCACTCCAGCGCCCTCTGATGCTTCAAATTATGTCTCACCTGGCTCGAAGAACAGCGCAATTCCAAAGTCCGTGAGCTTAACGTAGGTGTCGTCCTCCCTCCGCACGAGCAGGATGTTATCGGGCTTCACATCGCGGTGCATCACCCCACACCCGTGGCACCACTCCAAAGCCTGCGCCACCCCTCTGCACACCGCTGCTGCGCGCCTCTCGCTCAAGGGCCCCTCCTTGCGCACGATTTGCTGAAGTGTGCCGCCCTCGCAGAGATCCAGGATGAGATGGATGGCCTGAAGGGGGGAGCAGTGCAAGGGATTGAGAGGAGAGGAAGGAGGTGACTTTTGAGTCGACTCAAAAGATGGCCTGAAGGCATAGGTGGTGGGAAGGAGAGGAGGACGTGGCCTGAAGATGGATTCCAATGCCTGTGGCCTGAAGAGAGAAGCACATTCCAATGCCTGTGGCCTGAAGAGAGAAGCACATTCCAATGCCTGTGGCCTGAAGAGAGAAGCACATTCCAATGCCTGAGATGGGTGGCCTGAAGGGGGGAACAGTGCAAGGGATTGCATGGGTTACGGTACGGTGGGCGCATGGCTGCTATCTATCACTGCCCCATCCCTCTGCACGCTGCTGCCGCCCGCCTCCCGCTCAAGGACCCCTCCTTGCTCACGGCTTGCTGCAGAGTGCCGCCCTCACAGAGATCCAGGATGCGATGGATGTCCTCAAGGGGTTGGGGGGCTGGGCTGGGGCGTTGAGGAGAGGTGAGGAAGGAGATGAGCGGGGAACACAGGTGAGGGGCAAAGTGCTTTTGAGTCGACTCAAAAGGAGTGGTGAGATAGGAGATGAGCGGGGAACACAGGTGAGGGACAAAGTGCACCCACCTCCTCGTCCTCGACTGTCCCCATGAGCTGAGCTGCGCCATGTGCGGGTGTGCTCTCACAGTCTTTTGAGTTTACTCAAAGCAACCTCATATCTGTATCATCACAACCACCCCTAGCACCCTTCCCCGTGAGTTGCACGATGCGCGGGTGCCCCCTCACTATCTCAGCGCCCTCTGCACGTTGTGCTCGTTGATCACACACCCACCCCCTCGTCCTCAATTGTCTCCATCAAGTGTAAGCGGTGTGGTTTCCCTCTCACTGTCTCCAGAGACGACTCAGAAGCAACCCCACTATAATCACTTCCATCTCTCACCTCCTCGTCCTCGATGGTCTCCATAAGCTGCACGATGTGCGGATGCCCTCTCACTGTCTCCAGCGCCGCCACCTCATTCGTGATGTCCTCCGCATCGTCCTCGCTCTGTTGCGCCACGCACCATGCATGCACCATGCCATGCCATGCCACACCACACCATGCCATGCCGTGCCATGCCATGCCGTGCTCACACAGAATGCCATGGTATGACATGCCAATTCGTGCAGAGACATATCGAGATACACAAGTTTGCACAAGGGAAGCAAGAAATGCAGCAAGGGCTTCTAAAGCCCGACCGGCAGGTTGCAACTCCTTTTTTCTCAAGATGCTGCATCTTGAGGTCCTTGTAACCGAGCAGCCAGCGTCAGACTGCCAAGAGCTGGCAATGGGTTTGGGCCTGGCAGGGCTGACAGGGCTTGGCAGGGCGGGTACACCCGGAAAAAAGTCTTGTAGCCCTTTTGTTTGTACCACGAATTTCGGAGATGCGTTTACCTGTTCTCGGCAAAATATAACATCCGTATTTTGTTCCTGAAATGTTCTGCCCGGATGTTTCTTGACCCAAAAAAATCCAACCAGCTCACGCCCCGCAAACTTGGCAGAGCTGGCGAGGTGGATCGCTGCAGAACAGAGAGGCGAGAAAGTTGACAGCTCTGCCAATTTGTGAAGCTGCTTGCTTGCGTGAAACTGAAGCTCGCTCGGCGAAGCCCAACCCTCTCTTGAAAAATTTGCCTCACTTTCCTTTGGTCAGCCAATCACAGTTTGCCGCCCCACCTACCTCAACAGTGTCAATATGCAACCTGCCGGTCGGGCTTTAATGCCAGGAAGGGGCTGAGACGAGAAGAGGGTAGTAGATGCCAGAATCACTTTGTAGGAAGCAGGAAAAGTGACAGGCTTAGAAGAATGCTCTTTCCTGAATATTATGCGTAACCGAATGATCGAATATTATGCTTAACCGAATGATCGTCTCACTCCAATGATCATCTCACTCCAACGCTAGTCTTACGATGATGTTCCCCTTACCATGATGTTCCCCTTACCATGATGTTCCCCTTACCATGATGTTCCCCTTACCATGATGTTGTCTTTCTTGATCACTTTGCATGCCATGTACTCGCCCGTGCGCCGCTCCCGGCACGCCACCACGTCCCCAAAGTACCCCCACCCCTCCCCACCACCTCCCCATATTGTACTCTTGGACATAGAGGCTCCCCTTACCATGATGTTGTCTTTCTTGATCACTTTGCACGCCATGTACTCGCCCGTGCGCCGCTCCCTACACGCCACCACGTCCCCAAAGTACCCCCGCCCCTCCCCACCACCTCCCCATATTGTACTCTTGGACATAGAGGCTCCCCTTACCATGATGTTGTCTTTCTTGATCACTTTGCATGCCATGTACTCGCCCTTGCGCCACTCCCGGCACGCCACCACGTCCCCAAAGTACCCCCACCCCTCCCCACCACCTCCCCATATTGTACTCTTGGACATAGAGGCTCCCCTTACCATGATGTTGTCTTTCTTGATCACTTTGCACGCCATGTACTCGCCCGTGCGCCGCTCCCTACACGCCACCACGTCCCCAAAGTACCCCCGCCCCACCACCTCGCCCACCATCTCGTATCTCTCCTCCACCCGCTCCAACGGCCGCCCAATCACGTTGCGCCACCTGTCCTTCTCCCTTCTATCACCACCACCGTGCTCCTCCTCCTCCTCCTCCTCACCCACGCTCTGCCGCATGTGGTGCCCTTGATGCTGCCCGTGCCTTGGCCCGTGCGTTTGCCCGTGCATTGGCCCATGCGTTGGCCTGTGCGTTTGCCCCAACCCATGGCTGACATCGGTCCCCATCATTCCACGCCCTAACCCATGGTCCATGCCATGATGAGGTGGAGATGTGTGATTGGCCGAGGACATGTACTGGGGTGGCGAGATGCGATTAGGCAGCGATGCATGGTGTTGCACGGGAGCAAGATGCGGTGGGGAGACATGGTTGGGCGGCGGGTAGGGATGATTGGATGGCGACACATGATTGGGGTGGTGGTGTGGGGGGGACACGAAGCTGAGGTTGTGCGGCAGAGGATGGTCCCCAGCAGATGCCAGCTGGGCGGCATGTGTGCCGTGATCCAACGACTGCGATCGCTTGTACTGCTCCATCTGACGGTCAAAAACCTCCCCTTCACCCCGCTCCTGCTGCAGCGGCTGCTGCCCTTGCTGCTTCTTCTTTGTCTTCGTTACCTTCTCCCCCCCTTTCTCCCCCTTCCCCCCCTTCAACCCCTTTTTCACATTCTTCTCCTTCTCCTCCTTAGATTGCTTCTTGGGTTTCTTGGGCTTCTCAGCCTTCGCTCTCCCCTTCTTCACCTTCCCTTTCGCTCCGTCTCCAATGCCTTCCGGACTCAATTCAGCACCATGATCCCCGCATACTCCACTCGGCCCCCCTGCCTGCTGCCGCCAAGAGTGCCTTTTCTCCTCCGCTTCCTCCTCCTCCCATCCCCTCTCCCCCTCCTCCTCTCCGCCTTGCTCCTCCAAACCTCGGGCATGTGAGTAAGGGTCCCTCCTCCCCCCACCCTGCACGTGCCCGTTGTCATCAACAGCAATGGCATCGGTGGCAACAGCAATTGCAACATCATCATCATCATCATCATCATCGTCATCATCCTCCTCCTCCTCTTCCTCCTCTTCCCCCTCCCCTTCTCCTCTTCTCTCCTCTCCTCGTCTCACTCTTCCCACATCCTCGTTACTGTACATCTCGTCTTCATTGTAACCCTTGGTCACAGTGTAATCCCTGTTCCTACCAAAAGTCTCGTTGTCATTGTAAACGTCGTCCTCGTTATAACCTTCATCATTAGCGGCAGCGTAGCAGTCGTCCTCGTTATAAGCGCCAGAGCCTCTCTCCCTGAACCCATTCCTCCTGGAAAAGCCATCTCTCTCCGCTTGTGCCTGCTGCTGCTGCTTTCGCTGCCACTGCTGCTCGTGTTGCTGCTGCCTTTGCTGTTGTTGTTGCTCTTGCTCCTGCTGCCGCTCCCACTCGTCCTTCTCCTGCTGCTCCTCCCAAACGTCCCTCTCCTTTAAAGGCGCTTGAGGAGCGTCTTCCCCCCACACATCCCTTTCTATCTGAGGCGCCTCAAACGCAGCCTCCCGCCACGCATCCCTTTCCTCATCCTTCTTGTCCTCCTCTTCCTCCCATAGATCCCTCTCCCTCTCCCTCACCTCCTCCTCCCCCACCTGCTGCTGCTGCTGCAATCGCTGGTCCGGCCTTTGCTTTCCGTGACTCAAATTAATTGCAGGGGGCGTGGCCACAGGAAAAACATCCCCCTCCTCCTCCACCTGTTCTTCTCCCCCCTGCTCTTCCTCCTCCCTCTCATCTTTCCCTCTCTCCCCCTCTCCCCCCTCCCTCCCCTCCCTCGCCTCCTCCTCCCCATACTCCTCCCATCCCCCATCCGACCTCGAGTCACGCTCAGCAGACTCCCCATCTCGTCCCGCCATCCTGCTGAGAAAATCCTCGTTATAACGCGATTTGAAAGGAGACGTCTCACCCTCATCATCATCATCATCGTCATCAAATTCGCCGTACAGGTCGTCGTTGCCAGCTGTCGCCGCGTGACTGGCCCTGCCCAATCCTCTGCTTCCCTTGCCGAAGGCTGAAGCCCCTTCCCCTCTATTGTCCCTCTCGCCATCGCTCTCCTCCTCCTCCTCCTCCTTCTCCTCCTCCCCTCCCTCTTCCTCTTCCTCCTCCCCATATTCCTCCCTTCTCTCCTTCCCCTGGTTCTTCCTCCGGTAACCCACTTCCTCCTCTCCCTCCTCCACTCCCTCCTCCTCTGCTCCCTCTTCCCCTTCCTCTCCATACACCTCTCGGTTTTCCTTCCCCCCTCCCTCCTCCTCCTCCTCCTCCTGCACTCTCCCCTCCTCCTGCTCCCGTTCTCTCTCTTCATTCCGCCATCCGCCATCCTCACTCTCCTCCTCGTCTCTTCCCCTCCCCCTCTCCTCCTCCTCTCGCCCCCCTCCCCTCCCCCCCCCCTCCTCCTCATCCCTGCTACCTCTTCTCCAACCCTCATTCCTCTGCTGCTGCTGCGGCGAAAATGGCGCCTGCTGCCGCGGCGACAAGGGCGCCTGCTGCTGCGGCTGCTGCTGCTTCTTCTTCCTAGGCGTCACCTGCCCCCCTCTAGCACCATCCCCGCTGCTCGCGGTAGTCACAGAGCTGTCTCGCCCGAATTTAAACCCCTTGGGAAGCAGCTTCATCGCCTTGGCATACACCCCCTCCGCCACATGCAGCCCCTTCTGATCCTCCGAGTGGGACCTCCGCAATCCTAGCCCATCACCCTCCTCCCCGCGCCTCTTCCCCTTCCCCCCGCCGCCTCCGCCTCCCCCTCCCCCTCCCGTTCCCCCGCCTTCCCCCATTGCTCCCCCTGCTGCGCCCCCCCTGGGGCTCTGCCCCCCCACCCCGCCTCCCCCCGCGCCTCCTCTCCCCGCCTGCTGGGGCTTACCCACAGCGCTCTTAGACCGTACTAATTTCCTTTCTACAGACGTCTCTAGGAGCGCTTTCGCCTTGCGGGTCGCCTCCTCCCCGCCTCGCCCGCCTCCCCCCGCCTTTCCACCTTTCCCGCTAGGCCCGCCCTCTCCCCGGCCTTTCTCCTTCGCTTTCTTACAGGGAGTACCTTTCTTGGAGTCCACAGGAGGGGGCGGCTTGCCACCCCCCCAATCCTGCGAGTGGGAGTTGGGATTTCGCCCATATCCTGAGCTCTTCTCAGCCGCATGTTCCGTCCAACGTGGCGGCAATCCCTTGGCTGACGCGCCGCTCCCTGTGCCCCAGGATCCTGGGAATGCTGACGTGGCAGGCTTGACTAGTGACGGGTCCAATCCACCGACATTGTCGAATGGGATTGCTCCAGGCGGAGGGATGAAGTACACGTCAGCACCGTCGCATTCCGATCTGCGAAACCAGGCGACGACTTTCGTCGTCGATCTTGCGATCTCGTGCTCCATTTCCGCCAGTTCTTGAGCCGAGAATTGCGGGCAGTCGTCGGAAGCTGATTGGTGGCTCCGCGATCGGCTCATTCTGATTGGTCCCTGGCCCTGGCCTTGATTCTGCCCCCGGGGGTGACCCTGACCGGTTCCGCTATGAGCTTTCGGAAAGGCGGGGGACCCGCGCATATCCGCGGGGGAGTTGCGCATATCGGCGGACGACGTGCGCGTGTCCGCGGAACAGTTCCGCGAGTCTATTGCGGGCGGAGCCCCCTGGGAGCGTGTTCGGCGGAAGTCCCCCCCCGAGTCGAGGCTGGAGTACCGCGGTACTGCTACGACTCGCTTCGACATTATGACAACCAAATGTAACAAAGTAACACGCAAGGTAGCTTATTCAAGAGATTCAATACTCGAGGCTGAAATACTCCGACGCTGTTACCACTCGCTTTGCCATTGATACGTCATGGTCGCTAATCCAGTAACGCATTAGCACTAAGTGGCCATAGCTCAATCTTTGGTCCTCGGATTATTAGTACGGCACCACGCGGTCAGGCCAGAAAGTCTCGTCTCAGGAGCGAGAAATAAGACTACCCTCTTTGTGCTACGTACTACGCTATACGTAAGCAGTGCGGGACCCCGACTTATGCTTACGACACGCACTGACGCGAGTCACGCAATTGTTTGAAGCTATTCATCTACCAGTTTCTAGCAGGAAGTCAGAATTATCCTTGGCTTATCTCTCCATGCCATCCTCCCATCAGTGGCTCCACTGGGATTGCCGTACACTCATCCCGCCCAGCCACAATGAGCAGTGTGGGACGTATTCACACACGAAATCAAGCGTTTCTGCTCCAGAAAATTGCAGCAATGTGCCTTGGCAGGAGCTAAAAGAGTCGGGATTGCAGCTGTACTAGACCCTATTTCGAAAGCAGATCCACTTCAGCATGCCGGTTCGGTCAGAAGTGTAAATTCAGAAGGCAAGCCCGAAGTGAACTGTTTTGTAAGATCAAATGGATACACGCCCTGGAATCTGATAGGTGTTGCGATAACTTCACCCACCTTCGAAGGTGCCACTCGAGATTCGATTGGTAACCCTTCTCTACGACAAATCACGAAGACCGAGAGCCCCTTCTCGAAACGTAACCCTACATCGCGATGTTATCCTCAACAACAGTCAGGTTGTTGGAGTTTGTCCGTGCTCGCATTAACTGAGAACCCAAGCCTGGCAAACGGCGTGGCAGGTGTGTGCCAGGGCTTACCTTTGGGTTTTTGCCCACACGGCAGATCCGGGTACCCCTCATTTGAAACCCGGATCTCACGGGTGTACCTTAAAAGCCACACGTCACCATCCGGGTGGGAACGAGAACAACACGTCAGATCGGGGAGATTCTCGTAGCGTCGAAATGTTCCAGTTCAAAGGTTCTGTGAGAAAAAAGAAGAGACTCCACTTATGTGTTTTGCAGGGGAGGGGAAGGCGAGAGGGGGTAGGGCACGGGGGGGAAGGAGTAGGGGGGACAGTTATTGGGGGCGGGGTGTAGAGAGGTTTGGTAAGGCTAAGATCCGTTTTGCCAGAGGCTAACCCGTCAAATCAGGGTACTTCGTAAAACGAACACGTCACTTTACGGGTACTGCTAAAAACGAACCCGTCAGAATCCGGCTCCACGGAAAACGAACACTTCCAAATCAGGGCTTACGCTAGGCCCCAGGGAGTTTCGGAAGGTGCTGAGTTATGGTCCAATCATACCCAGAATTTTCCGGAATCCAAGGGGCTTTCACTTGGAATCCTTCCGAGTTCTCCGAGCGGTAACTCTGCCTAAGCGGAAGGGCATTTCTGCCTTCTAGTCAAATGTTTGGAGCACAGCTGACGGAGCAATTTGAAATGAAAGCTAAGTCCCAAACCCGAAATCATCCTTGATGTTCGTGACGGAGATTTTTCTCCACGCAGTGGTGGAGGGATTTTCTCCTTGCTGAACGCCATGCTGCGAGACTAGTCCGTCAGGTTTCATGAAAACCTGTCACGGAATGCATCCGAATTCCAAGGCTCAATGATTCGGCCAAATTCAGAGATACGGCAGAACCCAGCCTGTTAAAATCCGGGTTCAGGGTCCAGACAACTCTTAATTTCTCGACATTTAGGGTAGCTACCCTTCCAGCGTAAGCCTTGGCCCAAATCACCCGTTATTTTCCCAAAATCCGGAGAGTTGCCTGTGAAAAATAAGCCCTGGTGTCTGCTGGCGGGCGGTGCCCCACAACAAGCACCCCCTTGTGCATGATGCGTTTCAGGCAAAACTTGAATTTTGTCGTGGAGCGGCACATCATTTACACGTTCGCACGAGTCCAAGGCATTTGGCAAGTGCTGCAGTGCACTGCAGCCCTAGGTTAGGAGTCAGTTTGTCTGCCTTACCCTCTTTTCCAAGCATAATTACAAAACAGTGTATGCACTGTATCTCTCACATAATCAAGGAAATCAATAGTGTGCAACACAATAACAAAATCCCCATTCACGCAAGGTCCAACCAAAGAGCACCATATATAGAGCTGCCCAAAACTGGATGCAAAACGACCCCTAGATATTGAGTGCATGCTTTCATTGACACTACTATGCTGAGAGGAGGCATTGATCTTACCAGCTCCACCACACATCACTGCTCCATCAATGCCTAACACCATCCGAACGGCCAGACCCAAAATGGCAAACCTGACAGAGTGAGACCCATAGTGCCACACTGTAAGCACCCTTCTATGTGTCCCAACTAATACTCCAAGGCACATCTGCAAGGCTCCACAATACCGTTGATCACTCGTCGTCGGAGTCAGCGAACTTGATCGAATGGCTCTGCTGGTCGATAACGCCGCCCCTGTAGCTGCCCCTCTTCTTCTTGGTCTTCTCGTGCCGGAACCCCCTGCAACGTGCAGTCAAGAAGAGCACACCAAGTGGAAGTCAACACCAGAATGGTGATGAGACTGTATGTATATCGACGCACCTCAATAAAATAGGTGATTTTTTAGAACTCTCCTTAAGTAGTACAGTGCTTTGACGACCCAACGATCACCCAATGTGCAGTCACGAAAGGACATCTCAAGCGCAAGTCAACCAGAAGGCGATCAGACTGTACCATGGCATGACAGCACTGACACCACATACCTCCCTCCAGTCACTGAAGCGTTCCCTTGTTGTCACCTGCTCCTGGCATGTCTCTGTTGTTTTCACCTGCTCCTGGCATGTCTCTCTTGTACTCACCAGCTCCTGGCATGTCTCTGTTGTTTTCACCTGCTCCTGGCATGTCTCTGTTGTTCTCACCTGCCCCTGACATGTCTCTGTTGTTCTCACCTGCCCCTGACACGTCTCTGCTGTTCTCACCTGCCCCTGACTTGGCCCAGAATCTCCTGTGCCTTGGCGCCCCAGCCACTTCCAGCCCCACTCTGTTTGAGAAACATCAGGGGAGTGACATAGGCACATAAAGCATAAGGCAGGTGACCCACATAAAGCACACTAATCAGGGGAGTGACATAGGCACATAAAGCATAAGGCAGGTGACCCGCATAAAGCACACTAATCAGGGGAGTGACATAGGCACATAAAGCATAAGGCAGGTGACCCGCATAAAGCACACTAATCAGGGGAGTGACATAGGCACATAAAGCATAAGGCAGGTGACCCGCATAAAGCACACTAATCAGGGGAGTGACATAGGCACATAAAGCATAAGGCAGGTGACCCGCATAAAGCACACTAATCAGGGGAGTGACATAGGCACATAAAGCATAAGGCAGGTGACCCGCATAAAGCACACTAATCAGGGGAGTGACATAGGCACATAAAGCATAAGGCAGGTGACCCGCATAAAGCACACTAATCAGGGGAGTGACATAGGCACATAAAGCATAAGGCAGGTGACCCACATAAAGCACACTAATCAGGGGAGTGACATAGGCACATAAAGCATAAGGCAGGTGACCCGCATAAAGCACACTAATCAGGGGAGTGACATAGGCACATAAAGCATAAGGCAGGTGACCCGCATAAAGCACACTAATCAGGGGAGTGACATAGGCACATAAAGCATAAGGCAGGTGACCCGCATAAAGCACACTAATCAGGGGAGTGACATAGGCACATAAAGCATAAGGCAGGTGACCCGCATAAAGCACACTAATCAGGGGAGTGACATAGGCACATAAAGCATAAGGCAGGTGACCCGCATAAAGCACACTAATCAGGGGAGTGACATAGGCACATAAAGCATAAGGCAGGTGACCCGCATAAAGCACACTAATCAGGGGAGTGACATAGGCACATAAAGCATAAGGCAGGTGACCCACATAAAGCACATCAGGCCAAAAGCACAGGGCGGGGGGGGAGGGGGGGGGCACATTATTCACGTGTTATACAGTCACGCCCATGTCACTCCTGCTCACTCGCCTTGGCCCAGTAGGAGTTATCCATGAGCCGGGGGTCGTTGAAGTGAATCAAACCAACCACTGCTCATGGCACAGCAACCTGGCTGTCCATTGCTCATGACACAGCAACCTGGCTGTCCACTGCTCATGGCACAGCAACCTGGCTGTCCACTGCTCATGGCACAGCAACCTGGCTGTCCACTGCTCATGGAACAGCAACCTGGCTGTCCACTGCTCATGGCACAGCAACCTGGCTGTCCATTGCTCATGACACAGCAACCTGGCTGTCCACTGCTCATGGCACAGCAACCTGGCTGTCCACTGCTCATGGCACAGCAACCTGGCTGTCCACTGCTCATGGCACAGCAACCTGGCTGTCCACTGCTCATGGCCCACCGTGCAAAGTTTGCGAGCTTCACCCCTCACCTTGGCCCAGTAGGAGTTATCCATGAGGCGGGGGTCCTTGAATTGAACCTGGGACGACAGGTAGCGGGGTACAGAGGGGAGGGTGCAGCAGGTGAGAGGAGACAAAGAGAGGAGAAAGGCAGCAGAGACAGCGGGCAAGGGAAAAGCAAAGGGTGAGAGCAGTCTGAGGGACGTTACTAGGGCTTGAGGAACAGCCAGGGTTGCTTGCTCTACTGTACTCCTGCCCTCACTGGCTCCCCATGAAAGGATAAGGAGTGCTGTTACTAGGGCTTGAGGAACAGGGGTTGAGGAAGGAAGAGGGGTTGCTTGCTCTGCTCCACTCCTGCCCTCACTGGCTCCCCGTGCAAGGACAATGTAGGGAAAAGGAGGAAGCACGAGCCTCACTTCCTCCACCTTCACTTCACTCGCTGGAAGGCCCGAGCACCGCTGCCCAGCTTAGGCGATTGGGGGATAAGAGCAGCGGTTGGTTGCGTACCGCTGGCTTTTGCTGGTTGCTCACGACTTCTGCCGTACCAAGTGAGCATCAGCCAGAGACGAAAGTGGCTGCTCTTTCACCTCTTCTCTCACCTCTTCCACCTTCACTCGCTGAAAGGCTCTTGCAGCGCTGCCCAGCTTGCACTCCCGAGCCAGAGTTTGGGGTTTAAGGAACGAGGAGCAGGGGTTGCTGACTCACCTCCTCCACCTTCACTCGTTGAAAGGCGCGAGCAGTGCTGCCCAGCTTGGTATCCAGAGTCAGGGTTTTGGGTTTAGGAAATGAGGAGCAGGGGGTGCTGACTCACCTCCTCCACCTTCACCCGCTGGAAGGCACGAGCAGCGCTGCTGAGTGACATCATCTGGCCTTGTTGACTGGCACCATCTGCCCTTGCTGCTGACTACTCAACCAAAGGTAGCCAAGGGGCCGACTCACCTCCTCCACCTTCACCCGCTGGAAGGCCCGAGCAGCGCTGCCCAGCTTGGTGCCCGATCCTGGCGAGATGCTGTCAAAGGTCCGCTTGTTGCCGGTGATCTGTGGTCGAAAAGTAGGGAATAACGGAAGGGGGGCAGCGTCAGAGGTGACGTGCTGTCAGAGGTCCGCTCGTTGCCAGTGATCCGTGTGGTGGAGGGGAGGAGGAAAGGAGGAGAAGAGGAGAGGAGGAGAGGAGGGGAGGAGGGGAGGACGGAGGGAGAGCGATGAAGGCCAATAGGGGTTGTGTGACATTGTAACGAGGTGACTTTTGAGTCGACTCAAAAGTCACCTTGAAGTCACCTTGCCTGCACTCTTGAAGCACTCCCATGCATGCCACCCAATTCATACCCTGCCACCCACTCCATACCTTGCCAGGTGCCGTCTGCCATCCGTTCTCTGCCTGCGCCTGCTGCCCCTTAGCTTCTGGAGTCTTGGCCTCCTCCTTCCCTTGCGGCTTCTGCTCCTTCTTAGCCGCTACCTTTTTTGCTGTCTCCTCCTCCTCACTACTCCCCTCCTCTTCCTTCTCACTGCTCTCCTCCTCTTCCTCCTCACTGCTCTCCTCCTCTTCGTCCTCACTGCTCTCCTCCTCTTCCTCCTCACTACTCTCCTCCTCTTCCTCCTCACTACTCTCCTCCTGTGCTGCTACATTTTTCACAACTTTCTGCTTTTCCTCCTCACTTTCCTCCTCACTTTCCTCCTCATCACTCTCTTCCTCACTACTCTCCTCCTTCTTCACTACTTTCTTCTCTTCCTCTTCTTCCTCACTCTCCTCCTCCTCCTCCTCCTCCTCATCACTACTCTCTTCCTCACTGCTTTCCTCCTCCTTCACAACTTTCTTCGTTTCCTCCTCATCCTCACTCTCCTCCTCTTCCTCCTCACTACTCTCCTCCTCTTCTTCCTCACTGCTCTCCTCCTTAGCTGCTCCCTTTTTCACAACCTTCTTCTTTTCCTCCTCCTCACTCTCCTCCTCCTCCTCCTCATCACTACTCTCTTCCTCACTGCTTTCCTCCTTTTTCACTATTTTCTTTTCTTCCTCCTCCTCCTCCTCTTCCTCACTCTCCTCCTCTTCACTCTCCTCTTCCTCCTCACTACTCTCCTCCTTAGCTGCACCCTTTTTCACAACCTCCTTCTCCTCACTCTCCTCCTCCTCCTCCTCCTCCTCATCACTACTCCCCTCCTCACTGCTAACCTCCTTTTTCTCTACTTTCTTTTCTTCCTCCTCTTCCTCACTCTCCTCCTCCTCCTCCTCCTCCTCATCATCATCACTACTCTCTTCCTCACTGCTTCCCTCCTCCTTCACAACTTTCTTCGTTTCCTCCTCATCCTCACTCTCCTCCTCTTCCTCCTCACTGCTCTCCTCCTTAGCTGCTCCCTTTTTCACAACCTTCTTCTTTTCCTCCTCCTCACTCTCCTCCTCCTCCTCCTCCTCCTCCTCCTCCTCCTCCTCCTCCTCCTCCTCCTCCTCCTCCTCATCATCACTACTCTCTTCCTCACTGCTTTCCTCCTTTTTCACTATTTTCTTTTCTTCCTCCTCCTCCTCCTCTTCCTCACTCTCCTCCTCTTCACTCTCCTCTTCCTCCTCACTACTCTCCTCCTTAGCTGCACCCTTTTTCACAACCTCCTTCTCCTCACTCTCCTCCTCCTCCTCTTCATCACTACTCTCCTCCTCACTGCTTACCTCCTTTTTCTCTACTTTCTTTTCTTCCTCCTCGTCCTCACTCTCCTCCTCCTCCTCCTCCTCCTCCTCTTCTTCACTCTCCTCCTCCTCACTGCTTCCCTCTTTCACAATCTTCTTGTCTTCTTCCTCCTCCTCACTCTCCTCCTCCTCACTTTCCTCCTCCTCATCACTCTCCTCCTCCTCCTCACTCTCCTCATCGCTACTCTCCTCTTTCGCCGTCACCTTTTTTACCACCGTAACCTCTTCCTCACTCTCCTCCTCACTCTCCTCCTCACTCTCCTCACTCTCCTCCTCACTGGCGTCCTGCATCTCCTCATCGCTGCTGTCCTCCTTCACAGGCACTTTGCCCTTCTTCCCCTTCTTTCCACCCTTCCCCTTTTCCTCCCCATTCTCCCCCCCCTTCTTCCCCGTCTTCCCCTTCAGCCCCTCTTTCTTCCCCGTCTTGCCTGTCCCCACAGCAGCTACCGCCTTGGCCGTCACTGCCTTACTCTTCTCCTCCTTCGCTGCTTTCTCCGCCTCCTTCTTCCCCTTCCTCTCCGCCTCCACTTCTTTGGTCGTCTTCTTCTCAACCTTTTCCACTACCACCACCTTCCTCTCCTTCCCCTTTCTCCCCTTCTTTACTTCCTTCGTCTCCTTCGTTTCTACCGTCTCCGTAACTTCCCTCGTCTCTTTCCCCTTCTTCCCCTTCTCCTTCTTTACTTCCTTCGTCTCTTTCTTCTCCTTAATCTCCTCCTTCGTTTCGCTCACTTCCTTCGCAGCTTTCTTCGCATTCTTCGCAGCATTCTTCGCATCCTTCGCAGCGTCCTCCGCAGCCTTTCCCTTCTTCGCCTTCAGCTGTACTTGGCGCGGCACAGCCAGCGCAGATAATGCCTCCGCCTTCTTATCGGCATCCGCTCCTTTAGTCACATTCTTTTTAGCCTTCTTCGTCGTCTCCATCCCATCGGCCTTCTCCTCCTTTCTCTTCTTGCCCTTCTTCTCCGCAGTGGCTTTGATCCCCGCCATTGGCAGTCTCGCTAGCGGCCTCTACTTCCCACGCGAAGCGTACCGCAAATAGCCGGTAAATTGACAGTGCAGGCAGAAACAGGTGGGAGGAAGGAGGGAAAAATGAGGGAAAGAGTGGTTTTCGTGGTGGCGGGTTTTGGGTTGGACCAAAGCCTGACCTTAAACCCCCTAGCGACGCTCAAGCCACTTTTCTAATCGAGTGATCAGGAATGGCTTCGCGAATATTCGATCGCGAATGCCCCTCTGCAGTTCTGGTTACAGATTTGCGTGTTTTTGGTGAGCACGAAAAACGCATTTCAGAGAATCAGGGAGAGATGCACAATTGTATCTATAGACGTCTTGCTGTTACTGAAAACGAACAGACGTGTAATGGAGACAGAGAACCGAAACCGCGAAATCGTCGTGCAAATTTTCGCGTTAGTCGCCAACCGACAATGCGTCCCCTAGTTTCTGTCGCCAATACTGTAACAGTGCCTTCCGCCTTGTTCGCAGCCGAGTTGTGGACTGTCGAAGTCGTCCGCACCATAGATTTCGCTCTCTTCGCCGTCACTTCTCCCTCCTGTTGGCGACCAAAACCGTCGCCTGCAGGCACCATGCGACAGACCACCATCACGTTTGAGAAATTGCGAGTCGTCGCTGATCTGCACGCGCTTCCATCGCTCCAATGTGCGCGAGTCGTGGCGCCACCGCCAGCAAAATCTCCAATTTCAAATCCAATTTTGCCCCACCCCCACCAACCAACAATGTCGCACCCTCCCCTTCTCCATCCCCTTTCACCCACTACAAATATCACCCATTTCGCCCCTTTCCCCATTCATCACACAACACAACCACTCTGCCAACGGACGCATCAATTCCTAGTACCAATACTCAAGCTCCTTAGTGAAGTAGCGATAAGAAGAGACCGTTTCCCCACATTCCTCCTCGGCATCTTCCAGAGACTAGGCTCACGAGCTCTACGGCGATTAGCACATCCCGATCTGCTAGGACCCGTTCTCCGAAAAATCCTAGAAATATTACTAGACGAAGCCCGAACTCGACCTAGTCTTTGACCAAGCTGCTCGTAGCAGTCCGCCCTGCGTGCCATGGCTTCTCGGAGATTCCTAGGCCTCGTGCTTCTCGTGCTCGCTACATCCTGGTTCCTAACATCTTGTGCTGCGTCGATCGCGGCCAAGAGCGGCGCTGCTGGCGCTAGTCAGGGTTCCAGTAGCAAGAATTCTAAATCTGGAGCAAAGAGTGCGCCTACTGGATCTACTACTGGTAGTAGTAAAACTCCTCCTGGGACTGGCGCAAAGATTGCGGGAGGTGGCTCCAAGAATCCCGGGAATCCGGGGAAGACGAATAGCTCCTTGACCGCCTTCTTCAAAGCGGTGCAGAAGCTCAACGAAACGGGTTACACGCAATTCGCATCCCTCGCCAAACTATACGGTGAGTTGACTCCATGGCAGAGAATTTGGGCCCATGGAGTAACGCCTTGGCTTAGTCTCTTTGTGCAACGCATCCAGTCGAGTCATGCCATGGATTCACGCTTTCTTTAACTTTCTCTAACTCGTTATCACCACCACCACTACCAGACCTTGCTGCCCCCTCGCCTCACCTCTCCCTCCCGCTCCTTTCTTCTTCACTCTACTCTCTCTTCCCTGTCCCTGTGTTCCCTGGCAGGCCAGCTGCAAGAGGTCAGCTCCGTGCTCCAGCAGCCTCTCACGCTGCTCGTACCGAGTAACAAGGCGCTCAATAAGGTGAAACTCACGAGCTACAGCGCGAGCCAGCTCGCGACGATCGTCGGTTACCAGGCGATCAAGGGCGTGTACACCTTTCGCCAGCTGCAGATGCTGCGACTCAACACGCCCGTCGCAACCGTCGCATTGGGCGACGACAAAAAGCCCCTGGTGCTCGTGAAAGCGTCGAAGCCGAATGCGAAGAACCGCGTCGTGCTTCAAGGGAGGGCGGCGCCTAGAAGCACAATCACTATAGTCAACGGCGACGTTTTCTACATGTCGAAGAAACTGGCAGTTCATACGACGGACGCTGTTGTGTTCCCTAATGGCATCCTCTAGATGCAAATACTGCGTACAAAAGCTACACTCGCATGCGAAGTAGCGAATACGCTATACGACACTGTGGGAATACGCTATACTCGCGTACGCAATGCCAATCTCTTGCATTCGAAGTAGAGGCTAGTAATCTCACCACCACTCGGTGACTTGCAGCTGAATCTGAGGCACAAGCTGAGCTGAGCCGTAGTGTCGGGTCGGAGTGTGTCCTCGGGCATGCTGACACTTTTGTTCTGGTAGTCGTGACTGGGTGGGTGGTGGTATTACTCTCTTCTACACCCTGTCCTGTATCTTAGACAGTTTTTCTCCGTAACTTCACTATCTTCTTTGTCTGGTCTGAATGGGATGTGGTAACAGTGTGTGACACACTAGAAGGGCCGTGCTAAGAGTTGGGAGGTGTGGTGGGGGTTAGGTGGGGGTTAGGTGGGGGTTAGGTGGGGGTTAGGTGGGGGGGGAGGGGGAGGGGGGGGGGATGCAAGGGGGGCCCAGCAGAGTGCCTGAAGCTGCAAACGGAAAAGAACAACGACCCATTCCAAAGAGGAATGAGCAAGAAGCAGGAGTGAGATCCTGTCGCTTTGCCAAGGAACAGTGCCTAGCCACCCCAGGAAGGGACATATTCCTATCCAATGTGAAGACGCAGCAGTATCAGTGAGTTTCCACAGCTGTTGGTGGACTAGAAACGGAACCGCCACACTGGTTCTAAGGTGCAGGAAAAGGACTTCCAAGTTCCAAGTCAGTCAATTATGTGCAAGTGCGAAGGATGCAGCCCGTCCACGATGAAGGTTTTGGTGTGGACAGCTGAACATGGCAGCCCCGCACGCGCAATTCAGGCTGATGCCATGTTTTGTGGAAAAGGAAAGACCCAAGTTTGCTTTGTTGGAATCTGTACACTTCTAGACGATGCAACACCTGTTTTAAGGAGTGTGGGAAAGGGGAGTAAGGCAAGGGAAAGCTCAAGAGGACAGTGGATGTTGAGATAACAATGGGGAGGAACAAGTTATGCCAGAGACTCGTCAAGAAGAAAATAACTAGTTTGTTAACTCGCTCCCAGGTGGGCTTGAACCACCGACCTTGTGGTTATCAGCCACACGCTCTAACCAACTGAGCTACGAGAGCACGTCAGCAAATATTGTTGATTAATACCAATTATATAACGCAGTTTCAAGCCCTACATCAGCGTGCTCTTGTGGCCCAGGACAGGACGCGCTCAGCGCGCAATGTCGTCTGCTCGCCTTTCCATCCGCAGCACTTTCTCTCCCACACCCGATCCCTATTTCCCTCGCCCCCTTTCCTCTAGCAGCGGCAGCGGCACTGCTAGCAGCAGGTTATCGCGGGGTGGACAAGCTAATTTAGGACTGCCACGTGACCGACGGTGGTTGGTGCCTGCAGGTGCAAGGGGCGCTAGTCATGGGGGGCTGGCGGAGGGGAGAACCGGGCGGAGAGGGGGGCGGGAAGAGAGGTTGCGCACAGGAGGGATCCGAGGGCGGAAAACGCGCTTGGTGGCGCGAATCGCGGCGGGAACTGCGGGGGGAGGCGGCGGAGAAAGCATAGAAAGCAGAGCGGGGGAGAGCGAGGCTGTGGGGGTTCGAGACGAGGATGGTGAGCGCAGCGCCCTCTCGCGCCTTGAGACGTCCGGAAACCCCGTCGCTTCCGCGCCGTGCTCTACGACATACCGATCTTCTCCGTCTCTATCACCCAAACCCAACTCAACCACTCCCCCGTATCCTCTTCCCCTCCCCACCCTCCCGCCGACTCCGCCCTTCCCTCTTCCCCCTTCCCCCTTCCCCCTTCCCCCTCCCCCCCATCCACCCCCCCCTCCCCTTCATCCCCCTCCCCCAACCCGCATCCCTTCCTTCCCCCCTCTTCCCACCCGCCCCCACCTCTCACCCTGGTTTACAAGCCAACTCCTCCCTGTCCCACCTCTCTCCCATCCTCCCTGTCCCACCTCTCTCCCATCCTCCCTGTCCCACCTCTCTCCCATCCTCCCTGTCCCACCTCTCTCCCATCCTCCCTGTCCCACCTCTCCCATCCTCCCTGTCCCACCTCTCTCCCATCCTCCCTGTCCCACCTCTCTCCCATCCTCCCTGTCCCACCTCTCTCCCATCCTCCCTGTCCCACCTCTCTCCCATCCTCCCTGTCCCACCTCTCTCCCATCCTCCCTGTCCCACCTCTCTCCCATCCTCCCTGTCCCACCTCTCTCCCATCCTCCCTGTCCCACCTCTCTCCCATCCTCCCTGTCCCACCTCTCTCCCATCCTCCCTGTCCCACCTCTCTCCCATCCTCCCTGTCCCACCTCTCTCCCATCCTCCCTGTCCCACCTCTCTCCCATCCTCCCTGTCCCCCCTCCATCCCCCTCTGTGCATATCTCCGTTGGCCCAGTCTCCTTCCTCCGGGCGGCAAGCACGGTCGGCATTGCTGCTGCAGCCAGCAAGATTCTGGTAAGAGTCAGGACCGGTGGGGCACGGGGCACGGGGCACGGGGGCACGGGGCACGGGGCACGGGGCACGGGGCATGGGGCACGGGGCACGGGGCATGGGGCACGGGGCACGGGGGCAGGGGGCAGGGGGCACGGGGCACGGGGCACGGGGCACGGGGGCAGGGGGCAGGGGCACGGGGCACGGGGCACGGGGCACGGGGCACGGGGCACGGGGCACGGGGCACGGGGCACGGGGCACGGGGCACGGGGCACGGGGCACGGGGCACGGGGCACGGGGCACGGGGCACGGGGCACGGGGGCACGGGGCACGGGGCACGGGGGCACGGGGGCACGGGGCACGGGGCACGGGGCACGGGGCACGGGGCACGGGGCACGGGGCACGGGGGCACGGGGCACGGGGCACGGGGGCAGGGGGCATGGGGCAGGGCACGGGGCACGGGGCACGGGGCACGGGGCACGGGGCACGGGGCACGGGGCACGGGGCACGGGGCACGGGGCACGGGGCACGGGGCACGGGGCACGGGGCACGGGGCACGGGGCACGGGGCACGGGGCACGGGGCACGGGGCACGGGGCACGGGGCACGGGGCACGGGGCACGGGGCACGGGGCACGGGGCACGGGGCACGGGGCACGGGGCACGGGGCACGGGGCACGGGGCACGGGGCACGGGGCACGGGGCACGGGGCACGGGGCATGATGCATGATGTGTCTTTGTGATACTGATAACCCCGCTTCTGCCTCTGCACGTTTGATTCGAGAACTGGAGCTCGCTGCGGCCGTTGGCGTCGGTCCAGCAATGACTGCATGAAGCCCGGCGTGCTGTATCAGTCCCCCCCCCTTCCCCCCCCTTCCCCCCCCTTCCCCCCCTTCCCCCCCCCTTCCCCCCCTTCCCCCCATTTCCCCCCCCCCCCGCCCCCCCTCTCCCCCCTCTTTTCCCGGGGTGTTTTTTCTTCCGCTGCAGGGTTTGATTCGAGAAATGGTGCTTGCTGCTGCTTTTGGCGTTGGCCCAGTCATGACTGCTTTCAGGTGCGCTCAGGTGCTTTCAGGTTGGCTCAGGTGCTTTAAGGTGGGCTCAGGTGCTTTCAGGTGGGCTCAGGTGCTTTCAGGTGGGCTCAGGTGCTTTCAGGTGGGCTCAGGTGCTTTCAGGTGGGCTCAGGTGCTTTCAGGTGCGCTCAGGTGCTTTCAGGTGGGCTCAGGTGCTTTCAGGTGGGCTCAGGTGCTTTCAGGTGGGCTCAGGTGCTTTCAGGTGGGCTCAGGTGCTTTCAGGTGGGCTCAGGTGCTTTCAGGTGCGCTCAGGTGCTTTCAGGTGGGCTCAGGTGCTTTCAGGTGGGCTCAGGTGCTTTCAGGTGGGCTCAGGTGCTTTCAGGTGCTTTCGGGCGGCCTCTGGTTGCACACAGTCTTGTCATTCTTTCTGTTGCTCTCGACTCCCTCGCTCCCCCTTGTACTCTCCTCATCTCCTTCCTTTCCTTGTTGTCGTCTCTCCCCCCTATTCCTTGTCCCATGCTCCCTTATTCTCCCAGTTACTCCGCCCTCATCCCCACCTTCTGCCTGTCTTTGCTCGGAGGTCAGTGTTTTGCTGCTCGGAGGTCAGAGTGTAGCGCTGGTAACCATGCCACCAGTGGTAACGGTATAGTGCCACGATAGCAGCGATATGAGCACAGTGATTTGGGACTGCTCAGCTACTCTTCCCTCATCCCCACCTTCTGCCTGTCTTTGCTCGGAGGTCAGTGCCTTATGGACTATACAGTTTAATAGTCGTTGTTGTGTATGCCATGCCCATGCTAACATGTGTACTTACGCACAACCATACATGTATGCGCTGTACAGCAGCGCACGTCTGTGTATGTATGCCACCTGTCCCACATACTACCACCTACCCGCGTGCACCACCTTACTCCCAAGACCCCTCCTTTCAGAAGTCAAAGGGCCTTTCCCCAGTGCCATCGCATGACATACCCTCCCTGCCACATACCACCTTACACACCCCCTACCACCTCCCTCACCCGCCACCTATCCCGCAAACTGCCTACCTCACATACCACCTTGCCCCACGCCTCCCCCTTTCAGGAGTCAACGGCCCCTTCCACAGTGCCATCGCCTCAGCTTTAAGGTAATGCCTCCTCACCTTCGTGCCATTGAATAACAATGTCTTGGCTTGGCGATAAGGTAATGCCTTGACTTTATGGCTCTGGCACAGCATGCTTCCTGACACTTGTGTGCAACCTTGCATGCACTTGTCCCGGCTTTTCGAGACGTCTCAAAACCAACCTTATAACACTTGTGTGCAACCTTGTATGCACTTGTCCCGGCTTTTCGAGACGTCTCAAAACCAACCTTATAACACTTGTGTGCAACCTTGTATGCACTTGTCCCGGCTTTTCGAGACGTCTCAAAACCAACCTTATAACACTTGTGTGCAACCTTGCATGCACTTGTCCCGGCTTTTCGAGACGTCTCAAAACCAACCTTATAACACTTGTGTGCAACCTTGTATGCACTTGTCCCGGCTTTTCGAGACGTCTCAAAACCAACCTTATAACACTTGTGTGCAACCTTGTATGCACTTGTCCCGGCTTTTCGAGACGTCTCAAAACCAACCTTATAACACTTGTGTGCAACCTTGCATGCACTTGTCGCGGCTTTTCGAGACGTCTCAAAACCAACCTTATAACACTTGTGTGCAACCTTGCATGCACTTGTCCCGGCTTTTCGAGACGTCTCAAAACCAACCTTATAACACTTGTGTGCAACCTTGCATGCACTTGTCCCGGCTTTTCGAGACGTCTCAAAACCAACCTTATAACACTTGTGTGCAACCTTGCATGCACTTGTCCCGGCTTTTCGAGACGTCTCAAAACCAACCTTATAACACTTGTGTGCAACCTTGCATGCACTTGTCCCGGCTTTTCTGGCCACTGAATCCTAGCCTGTGCTCCCATGCTGCTGCTGTGCTGCCTCCTCCTGTGGTTCCCCCCTGATGCCTTCCCCGGCAGTAAAAGCGCTGCGGAGAAGGGAAGGAATGCAGAGCGCGAGCAGCAGGAGTTGCTTGCCGTCGTCTCCGCCCTCGTAGCGCTGGTAATGCTGTTGCCCTGCTGGCAACTTGATATGCTGAGAATGTGATGATGAGATGGTAGCTTCTAGTTGTTGCTGGGCATCGGAATGCAGAGTTGTTGCTTGCTTCTAGTTGTTGAGGGACCAGCAGGAGTTGCTTGCCCTCGTCTCCGTCCTCGTAGCACTGGTAAGTAATGCCTAGCTGCTGGGGGAGGTTTGGGTAAAATTTTGAGGCGCCTCAAAGTTAGACTCCTGGGGGGAGGTTTGGGTAAAGACTGCTGCGAGCACATGTTTGGCTTGCTCCGCGCTCTCCCCCATCCTCTCGCAAGCGCTCTATTAATTTCTGAAACCTGAGTACAACTCGGAACAGATGAAGAGGCAAGGTGAGTACAATACTGGTTCCTCCATCCTTTGAGGCACCTCAAAAGTCGTCTCTTTATCCGTGGTTTTGAGGCGCCTCAAAAGTCGTCTCTTTATCCGTGGTTTTGAGGCGCTTCAAAAGTCGTCTCTTTATCCGCGGTTTTGAGGCGCCTCAAAAGTCGTCTCTTTATCCGCGGTTTTGAGGCGCCTCAAAAGTCATCTCTTTATCCGTGGTTTCGAGGCGCCTCAAAAGTCGTCTCTTTATCCGCGGTTTTGAGGCACCTCAAAAGTCGTCTCTTTATCCGCGGTTTTGAGGCGCCTCAAAAGTCGTCTCTTTATCCGCGGTTTTGAGGCACCTCAACAGATGAAGAGGCAAGGTGAGTACAATCCTGGTTCCCCCATCCTCTCACCCCATCCTCTCTCTCCCTCTCTCTCCCCTCCCCCCCCCCCCCCCCAATTCCTCCCTTTCTTTGAATCGTCTTGCTTCTCTTTCTACCAATCAAGGTGTTTCGTTCCCCCCATTCACCTTTCTTCCCTGCAGCCTCTGCCCCAGTCAAATTCAAAGCGCCAGCCAGTAGCAGCATCCTGTTAGTATTCCCATTGCAGGCAGGATGACCGTCCCTCCCGCTGTTTTCATCTCCCTCCCTCCCCACCCATCCCCCCAACCCCTTGTACTCCAGGCGTCAATAGCAGCAGCCATGCTGGTCTTCCTCTTTGCGCGGCACATCATCGACCTCCTTGCACCGGGGTAACATATCATGGCCTGGCATGGCATGGCAGGGCATGGCATGGCATGGCATGGCATGGCATGTGGAGACCCCCTCCCTTATATTCCAGCCATGGTGGTCTTCCTCTGTGCACGGCACATCATCGACCTCCGTGCACCGGGGTAAAATGTTTGGTGATGCACGATGATGCGCAACGATGAGCCGTGATGAGCCGTGATGAGCTGTGATGAGCTGTGATGTGTGGTGACATTTAACTGAGGAGTGATGACCATGGCTCAAGTCAGCTTCATTGCCTTAAGAGTAGGGTGAAACATAGCAGCAGGGGGTTTAGGTTCAATTCAAGTGCCCACGTAGTAAAGGTTCTCACACACTAGCAGGGATGTTACTTCAGGTGTATTTTGAGTCGACTCAAAATACACCTGTTACTTCTCTTATTCGCCACTTCCCTTGTTTTCATTTGACTGGAATTTCTCCACTCCCCTTGTTTTCATTTGACTGCAATTTCGCTTTCATTCGTTCTGTCCTTGCCTCGTTATGCACCCTTTTAAGTCTGCTGCGCCCACTCATTCTGTATTTTTGTGCTGCGCATTTCCCGTAATTTTCTCTGCAGCCTCTCTTTACCTCCTCCGGGGGGGTTTATTACTGACTCATCATCAGCATCAGCATCTGCCGTTACTCGCCACATCGCCATTTCGCAGGCAAGCAGGCATGCCATCCCACATGCAAGCTGCGTCGTATTCTCATTCACCAAGCTCTCGCTCGCATGCTCTCCACACCTCTCCACACCTCTCCACACCTCTCCACACCTCTTTCACTTGTGCCACTAACTGATGTGAAGCGATCTCACCGCCCGCTCCAGTACCTCCAGTGCACTTCCTCCCTTCTTCACCCCTTTCTTCCCCCCCCCCCATTCCGCCCAATGCACGCCCCGCTCCCCCGGGCCTCTGTCACCTCACCACCCATCCTCGCACCACCCCGCGTGTCACCCTCCCTCGTATCCACGTGATGTTTACCTTCCCATCATCCCACGTCCCATCGTCCCATCGTCCCGACATCAGCTCCAGCAAATGGCTCCCTGCATTGCCCTCGCTCCTCTCATCGGCATTGGCTTTGGAACTCTCAGGTGATTCTCAGGTTGCTCTCTTGTCATTCTCAAGTGATTTTCAGTGGTGGTGCTCAGGTGGATTCTCAGGTAGTTCTCGATGGAGCTCTGGCATTGCACTTGGTCCTCCTAATCCTGTCCTCTATTGGTCCATGCATTAAATTGGGGTGCAGTGCAAGCATGGCAGGTAAGTCGCGCATACAGCAAGGGCATCACACGCCTAGCAATCCTGTGCTCGCTTCCTGAATCTCCATTTCCGCTTCTCTTCACACCGTCTCTTCCCCATCTGATATAAGGTTGGTTTTGAGACATCTCAAAACCAAAACCAACTTCATATTTTGTCTTCCCCATCTGCCCTGCTTTCCTTTTTCATGCCCGCTGTTTTCCCCCCCACAGTGCTAGAGGGGAGTTCGCCATCCCATCCCTCTCCCCGTCCCTCTCCAGCCTCTCCGTGCTAGCAGGGGTAAGACCTTTCTCCACTTCCTCTCCATTCACTTGCCCCATGTAGTTTGCCATCCCGTCCCTCTCCCCTTGCCTCTGACGCATCTCGGTGCTAGCAGGGGTAAAGCCATCCTACTCCTCTAGCTGGAGTAGGGGTAAAGCCTCACTCACTCCTCCATCCTTCCGTTTCCTCTCCTCTCCTCCTACTTGCACGTAAGTGAGATCACTCATTGGAGGAAGAGCTGCATCCCTCCGTTTCCTCTCCTCTCCTCCTACTTGCCTTGCGCTTTTTGGTGGTCAATCGGTCCCTCCTGGTGCCTCTTATGCCTCTTACACCCCTCCCTTCCCTCCCCCCCCGCTCCCTTCGCTCCAGATCTCCACCTACTGTGCCTTGTGCCGCTGCTGGCCCCTTGTTTTTCCCAGCGCCCCTCATGCCCCTTACGCCCCTCCCTTCCCTCCCCCCCCTGCTCCCTTCCCTGCAGATCTCCTCCTACTTCGCTTTGTGCCGTTGGTCGCCTCTTGCCTCACCACAACGCGAGATGATAGGTCAGTGGCGTGCGGCCTTTGGACGTTTGCCTTGTGGTTGTTCCGTGGGGCTGCTGATACAAGCGGGCAGCCACAACCCACGGAACACTCCTCTACCTGCTTGTATCAGTGGGGCTGCTGATACAAGCGGGCAACCACAACCCACGGAACACTCCTCTACCTGCTTGTATCAGTGGGGCTGCCGATACAAGAGGGCAACTCTAGAGTTTTTTTAAGGCGCCTCAGAAATCCTAAAAACATCTGCTGATACAAGCGGGCACCTCTAGATTTTTTTTTAGGCGCCTCAAAAATCCTCAAAAATCTGCTGATACAAGCGGGCACCTCTAGAGTTATTTTAGGCGCCTCAAAAGTCCTCAAAAATCTGCTGATACAAGCGGGCACCTCTAGAGTTTTTTTTAGGCGCCTAAAAAATCCTAAAAAATCTGCTGATACAAGCGGGCACCTCTAGAGTTTTGAGACGCCTAAAAAATCTTAAAAAATCTGCTGATACAAGCGGGCACATCTAGAGTTTTTTTTAGGCGCCTCAAAAATACTCAAAAATCTGCTGATACAAGCGGGCACCTCTAGAGTTTTTTTGAGGCGCCTAAAAAATCCTGAAAAATCTGTACATACAAGCGGGCACCTCTATAGTTTTTTTGAGACGCCTAAAAAATCCTCAAAAATCTGCTGATACAAGCGGGCACCTCTAGAGTTTCATCGTTCTAGAGGTAGAGGAGAATGATGGGGAAGCGTGCTGCTACACCTGCTGCAGGCTTGGTTCCTTGCTTTGTTGATTTCCCTACCCAGTCACCAGATTCTACTGACAGGAGTTGACTGGGGGTGCTGCATACGTCTCGCACCTTCCTACCAGGAGGAGCATGTCTGGCTGTCAGGTTAACAGCTACGTGACCGCAAACGCGTTTAGCGTTTTAAACGAAGCGTTTAAACGCTAAACGCGCCTTCTTGGGTTTCTAAACGCTAGGGTAAACGCTCGTTCGGGCAGCCGTAAAATTTCCCCCGGGCAGGGGAAAAAAACCTGGGATCGGTGGGGGGAGGCAAGGGGATTATGGTATACAACATATTTACTCCAATATCGTGATTAGACTCTGGCTCGTAAATATTAGATGCTGCAGACGCTGTAGGATTAGCGTCTGCAGCATTAGGGGGGGTCGACATGGGCGTGGGCCCTTATCTTAGCGCGAAATTAGGTGGCCAGGGTGGGAGGTGAGAGAATAGCGACTGGATCTGAGCTACGGCTATGGCGCGCGAAACTCTAGGGTTCCCATTTTTGACGGGGAAGAGATTGTGACGGAAGGAGGGGAGAAAGTGGTTAGGTTAGGTTGGAGTGAAAGTCGTTGATGAACAGGGTGCTGTGCGGTTGAGAGGGGCAAAAGGTTTGGATGCCTTTTTTGGTCGTTAGTTTGGGATTTGCGACTTGGCAAATGTCTGGTTGAACTCGCCAAGTCGCAATGTCACGGAAAAAATTTGATTGAATTTTTGGCCGGGCTGCCCCTAAAATTTTGCCCGAGCGTTTAGCGTTTACGCGAGCGTTTTGCGTTTAGCTGTTTAAACGCTAAACGCTGCCCTGCCAGAGCGTTTGCGGTCACATAGGTTAACAGCTCGTGCTGTCTCCGTGCACCTCAATATGCCCGTCTTTTTTCTGTTGTCTCCGTTCTGAGACAAGCGGCTGTCGTGCTGTCAGCATCACGGTTGGTGCTGTTTTGACATGTCCCAGTACATCCGTATCTCGTATATTGGAATGGAGGCGCCAAAGTACACATCACCAAAGTACTTCACAGCTGGTGCCTCATCTCCTCTAGGCTCTCGCCCATCACCCCACCAGGAGGGGCATTCCTTGCCATCAGCTTCACAGCGGGTGCCTTCCTACAATGGATCATTCAGGTAATTGTGTTTCCTTCAGGTGGCGCTGCAGGTGCTCGTGTTTCCTGCAGGTGTTTCCTTGTGTTTCCTTCAGGTGTTTCCTTCAGGTGTTTCCTTCAGGTGTTTCTGTTCCAGCTGTTTCTCCAGGTTCTGTTGGCCTTAGATGATCCCATTTGCATAAGGCCCTGCCATTTGCAAGCCTGCCCCCTGCCGCTGAGGTGGGCACCGCCCCCTGCCGCTGAGCTGGGCACTGCCGTATTGCACCAGCTTTTGAGTCACCAGCCTTACTCAGCTTCCTCTCTTCTCCTCACAGCACTAGCTGCGTATATCTGCCCTCTCCTCCATTTTGAACCCTTCCCCCCTCTCGGGCGATGGCAGGTTGCTGCTGAAATCCGCTCTGCACCAGCTGCAGTGGAATCAATTTTGAGAATTATAAAAAATTACTCGTCCATTCTCAACCCTTCCCACCTCTCCTCGGGCTATGGCAGGTTGCTGCTTTCTGCACCGGCTATCGTGGAATCTTGTTTGAGAATTTTAAAAAACAACTCGTGCATTTTCAACCCTTCCCACCTCTCCTCGGCCTATGTCAGGTTGCTGCTGAAATCCGCTCTGCACCGTCGTCGCAACCACTGGCGGCGGCAGCAACACCCGCAGCTGCAGCGCAAACAGCACAACAGCAACAGCCACCACCGACACCGCCAGCACCACCAGCACCAGCGTCATCACCCCCAGTGGATAGCACTCGCAGCGAAGCTTCTCAGGAGCCTCCTGCTGCCAGCTGGCTTCCTCTAGACGCCCTGTTTGCCCGACACAGGGAGCGGCTGCACGAGGTGAGCTGCTGTCGAATCCCGGGCAGGGGAAAATTGATTCCTTTTGATGGGCATTTTAATTCCTATTGATGGGCATTTTAATTCCTATTGATGGGCAATTCAAGTCCTATTGATGGGCATTTTAATTCCTATTGATGGGCATTTTAATTCCTATTAATGGGCAATTCAATTCCTATTGATGGGCAATTCAATTCCTATTGATGGGCAATTCAATTCCTATTGATGGGCAATATCCTATTCCTATGATACTATGCTGTTCCGGGTTTGCACGACGTCAGGCAGTGCTACCATGATGCTCTTGTTCTAATAGCCACCTTCACTGACCTTCTCTCTTTTCAGTCACTCAGTTGTCGCCCACCCTCTTCGCTCCCTCTCCCACCTGCTTCTCTCTCTCTCCTCTCTTTGCCAGATATTCGCTGTGCTGCTCCCAGCAACAGTGGCATCAGGCATGCTTCAGATAGCCACCTTCACCGACCTCTTCTTTGCCTCCTTCCTCCCCGGCACCGCTGCTGCTCTCGGCTGTAAGCACCCCCGCACTACTATGCAGCCTGGCACTTCCTTCAAGCTTCAGATAGCCACCTTCACCGACCTCTTCTTTGCCTCCTTCCTTCCCGGCACAGCTGCTGCTCTCGGCTGTAAGCCTCTACATAGTTTGTATGCTTGGGTCTCGCGCATAGGCTACTCCCTCCCACCTGTACCCTGATCTCCCCAAGCAAGCTTCATTCACCCGCACCTGCTACCCAGTCACCCCTCCCTGTGCTCGAGACTACGCCCCTTCAGTCACCTCTTTATTGCTGCTCTTGCCTGTACGCACCTGCACTGCACTGGTACTGCCTGTACACACCCCCCTGCATTCTCACTGCCGCTGCTGCCATTCTGTCTAACTGCCATTCCCCTTTCCCCGTCCCCCCCCTTGGTCAGACGCCAACCTGCTGGTGATGGCGCCCCTCGGCATTCTCTCCAGCGCCCTCCTCGTGCCGCTACTGCCGCTCTTCGCTCGACTTGCTCATGTGCGCACTTGCTGCATTCCAGATGTGCATGGCATTCAAGATGTGCATGGCATTCAAGATGTGCATGGCATTCCAGATGTGCATGGCATTCCAGATGTGCATGGCATTCCAGATGTGCATGGCATTCCAGATGTGCATGGCATTATCCCACCTTGCCCACCTTGCCCGTGTATGCTATCACTGCATCGCATGCACTTTCTCCCCTCCTCCTCCCTCCCTCCCCTCGTCCTCTCTTCCCCTTCTAAACTCTTCCCCCCCTCTCTTCTCATCCCGTCTCCCACTCTCACTCACCCTTTCCCTTCTTTCCTAACCCACTCTCACCTTTCTCTCAAGCGGTCCTTCGTATTGCTGGAACCTGGGTACAGGCTAGGCATTCTCACCTCTCTGTCTCTTCCTCCTTCCCTTCTCCCTCCCACCCCCCCCAGTCACCGCCACCAGCCGAAGGATCGCCCACTTATAAAGGACAGCTTGCGGAGGGGGCTGGTTATCCCTTCTTACCTCTCTCTCTTACCCCCTTCCCCTTCCCCTTCCCCTTCCCCTTCCCCTTTGCCCGTCCTCCCACCCCCCCAATCACCACCACCAGCCTAAGGATCGGGCGCTGCTGAAGGACAGCTTGCGACGAGGACTGGTGATGACCATGGTAGGGTGATGGCTATGGTAGGGTGATGGCTATGGTAGGGTGATGGCTATGGTAGGGTGATGGCTATGGTATGGTGATGGCCATGGTAGGGTGATGGCTATGGTAGGGTGATGGCTATGGTAGGGTGATGGCTATGGTAGGGTGATGGCTATGGTATGGTGATGGCTATGGTAGGGTGATGGCTATGGTAGGGTGATGGGCATTGTATGGTGATGGCTATGGTGATGGCTATGGCATGGCATGGCTGTTAGAAACACCAGTCCGCTAACAGACTGGGTTCAATCGCATGTTGAGTTGGAGGGTCAGCGCACCCACACCCCCCAGCACAGAACCTGTAACCCTTCCAGGATCTCTGGGTCATCCCAGTGGCCCTCTGAGCGACAATGATAGGGCATGGATATGGTGTGGCATGGGTATGGTGTGGCGTGGGTATGGTGTGGCATGGGTATGGTGTGGCATGGGTATGGTGTGGCATGGGTATGGTGTGGCATGGGTATGGTATGGCATGGGTATGGTGAGGCATGGGTATGGTGTGGCATGGGTATGGTGTGGCATGGGTATGGTGTGGCATGGGTATGGTGTGGCATGGGTATGGTGTGGCATGGGTATGGTGTGGCATGGGTATGGTGTGGCATGGGTATGGTGTGGCATGGGTATGATGTGGCGTGGGTATGGTGTGGCATGGGTATGGTGTGGCATGGGTATGGTGTGGCGTGGGTATGGTGTGGCGTGGGTTTGGTGTGGCATGGGTATGGTGTGGCGTGGGTATGGTGTGGCATGGGTATGGTGTGGCGTGGATATGGTGTGGCATGGATATGGTGTGGCATGGATATGATGTGGCATGGATATGGTGTGGCACGGATATGGTATGGCAGGATCCAAGGCTCTGTCATGGTGCTGCTTGAGTACAGCCATGGCTGCACCATGCATGCCATGGCACTGGGAAATTAATTCTGAGACGTCTCAAAACATGGCTGCAGCATGCATGCCATGCCATGGCACTGGGAATTGGAATGTATGCTCTCCCCTCAGCGCACAGGAACGTACCTCTCCCCTCCTCCCTCTCTCTCCCTCCTCAGGCCGTCACTCTCCCAATGACAGCTGTCATGCTCCCATTGGCCCGCCCCATCGTCCGCGTTGTCTTCCAGCGGCGCTCCTTCGATGCCTCTGCCACAACTCTGGTGTCCTCCCTGCTCTCTTGCTGTGAGTGTTGCTATCTGGTGTCCTCCCTGCTCTCTTGCTGTGAGTGTTGCTATCTGGTGTCCTCCCTGCTCTCTTGCTGTGAGTGTTGCTATCTGGTGTCCTCCCTGCTCTCTTGCTGTGAGTGTTGCTATCTGGTGTCCTCCCTGCTCTCTTGCTGTGAGTGTTGCTATCTGGTGTCCTCCCTGCTCTCTTGCTGTGAGTGTTGCTATCTGGTGTCCTCCCTGCTCTCTTGCTGTGAGTGCTGCCATCTTGCTCTGGTGTCCCGACCCATACACTGTTAGTAAGTGCTGCTCCGGTATTCCCCGCTCCCCTGTTTTTGCCCATCATCCACCTGGAGCACCTCTTGCACTGCCTCACTGGAAACACGCAGTCCCTCAAGACCCCCTCCTGCACTTCCCCCTTCTTCCCCCCCAGGCCTGCTGGGCTCGCAATGCTACTTGGCTCGTGATGTGCTTGAATGTGGTGTGGCAGGACATGGTGTGGCAGGATATGGTGTGGCAGGGTATGGTGTGGCAGGATATGGTGTGGCAGGACACAGTGTGGCAGGACATGGTGTGGCAGGACATGGTGTGGCAGGATATGGTGTGGCAGGACATGGTGTGGCAGGATATGGTGTGGCAGGACATGGTGTGGCACCTCTTCCATTCCCTCACCGACGGCACACGGTGCCTCAAGTCCCTAATTCCCCCACTTACCCCCATTCCCCCCCCATTCCCCCCCATTCCCCCCCATTTCCCCTGTGTTCCCCCGCGTTCCCCCTGTTCCCCCCATTCCCCCCCATTCCTCCCCAGACCTCCTCGGCTCCCCTTGCTACTTGGCGCGTGACGTGCTCGTTCGCCTCTTCTACTCCCTCTCCGACGGCGCAACGCCCTTCCTTATAAGCACGTTCGCTATAGCGGCGAACGCGGTGCTGGACTTCCTCTTTGTGCACTGCTGGGCGTTCGGCCCCCAGGGGCTCGTGCTGGCTACAGCCGCTGTGAACAGTGCTTCGGCTGTAGTGCTGCTGTGGCTGGCGCACAGGCGAATGGGAGGTGAGTTGAGTGCCAGCCAGCTGCGGCCTGCTCTTGCTTGATCACCTCACAGTTCCACTCACACCTCATCCCCAGACCCAGTTCAGAAACTTCATACCACTCTCAACCGCTCCCTTCTTCTCGTTCCTCCCATCCTGTGCCGTCCTCCTCTCCTTCCTCTACAGGTCTCCCTCTCTCTCTCTGGTGGCCGTCCTTCTCCATCCTCCTGCAAGCAGCCGCTGCTACAGCTGCCACCGTTACTGCCACACATGCGCTCCTCTCTGCCGCCCTTACTGCCGCCTCACACTCACTCTGCTTCCACCCCAGATGGGTGTGGTTCCTAGATGCTGCAGCAGTCGGTACGGCAGCTGGTGCCGGGTTCCTTGTTTTCTGTGCGCTTGTGGTTGCAATGCGGTTACCGGAGGCCATGCCACTATGGGCTCGTGTGAAATTGCTTCTACAGAAGTATGGCATTGTGAAGGTTAGAACTATTCCATAGTTTGTATGTGTAACTCGCTTCAATCTTTGTAGTCCTGCACTTGTTCAATGTGCATGCTAGTGGGTTGTACCGTGAAGCATCCGATCCCTCATTATTCCAATGAAGATGTACATTACTCAAGAATATAACGAACCAAAGCGTCTACATGCACCTAAAAAATATGGCATCGTATTTTCTGCAGTAAGAGTGTAGCGGATCGTTATAATGTTATGTAAATCAAGCATCAGGTTGAGTCGTGATGTGAAAAGGTGCTTTGGTTGGAAGCAGTCTATTTTCTACGAATCATAATGCACCGTATCCCGGTGTAGCTCGGAAAAATGCGCAAAATGTGCTGCAAGGAGACCTCTTTGTGATTCTTGTCGATTCCCCCGATCAAACCTCAATGATTGAATCTAAGCCGTCAGCAACAAGGTCCCTTTCAGCAACGCGACTCGATTTTTCAAAAGGACTTCGCGGCTCGTGGCTCCAAGCCCCACCATGCGCACAGATTTGGCGACATGCGATGCGACACGACGAAAGAAATTGCATCCGTCCCTCCCACAGGCATCCATCCGTCCCTCCCACAGGCAGCTGCCCTTCAACTGCACGCATCTGATTTTCCAGCAATCACGCCCCTCGAATCCACAAACAGCCCAGTACAGAACAGTATTTAGAAACTACAAGGGGTATGCTATTAGGTCCGTGACATTTTACTCCATATAATACTCCAAGGTCCGGAATTTGATAAGATCCGGCACGATGTACTCAGTCTGTACGGTATACATCTACTGTTGACTTCGCTAAAAAGGCGAAAGAAAACATTGTCACCAATCACGACAGTCGCATAATGCCACCGACCATCGAGTCGCACCACCCAAATTGGGTGCGATCGCAGCATGCGAGTGTCGCCAATCAACTCGCGAGTGCGAGCTCGGAAATTCCTCGTGAATTGTGCTTGGAATTGCCCGGCCAATACTCGCTTGCCAGGGCGATCAGACGTAATCATGATGGACCGGGGGGCGACAGCCAGCTGGTACCCCCGTCCACCTGGCACTTTTGTTTGCGCGCTGACATGGGCATGAATCCGTACCCCTTTTTCATCCATTCTTTCTTATTATTACGGTCCTATTCTAATCCTTGTGTCAAGAACATTCAAGGCGTTTTCCATATTTTATAACCAATCACGTAAATATTCAGGCTTTCCGCGTGACACGAACAGGTCGTCTCGAATACGAAAACACGACCCACTGTCCCTCATCACCATTAACCAGTGCACATTTCGAAAATGTTTTTCTTAAATGGTTTTTTTCACCTACGTGAAAGTGTGTGATTGGTTAACGAAGCCGCTCAGGCGAGTCGTCATAATTTCGTTACGTTAAGCCCTTTTCGTGAGACCACAAAAAGGGTTTTTCAAATTATATGATTTGCGCGTTTTGAGCCTGCGCTGCTTGCGGAAGGTCGAGAACGAGGTGTTACTTCTATTGTCCGCGGTAATTCTGACCAGACGACAAATTCGCTGAACGTTTTTTAAGAAGCCACATGAGCCCTCACATGACACGCGGCGAAATCGCTGGTAACCTGGCCCAAGGGCCAATACGCCAAGGCACCCATCGTGAACAGAAAGAGTAAAACGGCCTACGCCACCCCACCTAAAACCGTACGTGCTACTCGATAATCCATTTTGCCCGTAGTGAACTGCTTTTATTCGTCGTAGTCCATATTTGCGAGTCGCGGATTTGGATTTGTAGCACCAATGAAAAACAGCACCTTCGGATTGTTTGAGACTCATGCCCCGCAGCCCATCCAGCCCACAGGCGACTTCCCCTGCAATGGCTCGCTCACCTATAGCGGCGCACGAGTGACGATGACGATTGCCAATACGTCGTTAACTAGGTCTCTTTTGTACGGTCCCCTTTCGTCTCGTGTCTGTGGCCTATCCAGCTGGCGGGTTTGCTTCTTCGGGTATAATCCAAGTTCTTGGGGTCTGCAAGAGGACTGAGGGTCTGCAAGGATGTCGTTTTCTCGTCGTGGGGATGAACAGTATTACTACGCGTGCCACGCCCTCATCGTTATTTTCCCTCAATGGCGGGTTTCACTCTTGGTGAGGCCACACACCATCGCGAGTCGTGCGTGGTACTAGTAGTACTCTGTGGCGCGAACCATTTCTCAATAACTAATTGAGAAGCGTTGAACGTCCTTTCACCAGACAGCTCTCCTCTCTTTCAGCGTCGTCCTCCGCCGCCATACCCCGTCAACGGGATAATAGTAGTTACTACTCACTACCGTCACGGCATTAGTACCCCGGCCTTGTGCATCGTCAACGCGCCGCGCATCATGCTGAGCGACTCGGATCCCGCCATCGTGATGCTTCCGGACGGCACGATTCGCCTCTTCACGCCGCCGGCCCGAGACGCGGCGGCGGAACCGCCGTCGGCGGCCTACTCCGACTCCGATGCGACGGACGACAGCCGCGCCGCGGGGAGTACGGTCCGCGGACTCAGGCTCAGTCCCCCGCCGACTCCGCCCGCGAGGATACGCTGCGGCGACGCAGACGCGGCGGACGTCGAAAGCGCGCCGGGCGCGCAATCCGAGTCGGAGCACACCGAAGCGCACTCGGAGTCCGCGCTAGCTTCAACAAGTCCGCCGACGCTGGAATCTCCGCGCCCTTCCCCGTTCTTGACCGCTGCGGACGTGCTGCGCGAGTTCCCCCGCCACTACCTCGCGCTCTCTTCCCCCGACCCCCCGTTCTCCCCCGGGGTCTCCGCAATCCCCCGCCCGGGGACCACATGCCGCTTCCCCCTTGGCGTCCGCTGGTCCCGGGCGCAACGTACCACCTCGTTCCGCACGCGACGCTGCGCCAAGGCGAGAAAACCTGCTCGGCGCGCTCGCTGCTGCGCACGTTCGCGTCGTGCCCGGAGAGATTTGATTCCGCGACTCAAGGTGGCGACAGGAGCGGCGCCGGAGGCTCCAGTTGTGCTAGTAACAACAAGCCATCCCGCGGGACTAGTATTGACGGCGCCCCCGCTGCACTCCCCGGTACTACCCACTCCGCGAGCTGTACGCGTTACAAGGTCCATCGCGACAGTCGCCTTCAGAACTACCAGTTGTCGCAACCTCACACGATGATAAGCCGTTCCGTCAGCTACACGGGGCCCCACACGGCGTGCGATTCCCCATGGGTACTACACGAGAGAGAAAGGGGTGGTAATCCAGTACGGAACTACGGAATAGTAGCCGCGTCGGCAGTTGGGTCAGGCGGACTTGAGACGGGCGATGTTCCATCCCCGCTAGTGGCTGCGTCGTCATTGACACTCCCAGAGTCTACACCCACTCGTGGCACGCGTTCTGGTGCTAAAAGGCTGCTGCGGAAAGTGCGGATGGCTGCACTGCTCAAGTGGTTTCACGGCAGCACTTGGTGCAGTAACGACTTCGGATGTAACTGCTGTTACGGCAACGAAAACAGCGCTTTTGAGAGGGGAGACTGTTTGAGAATCCCTGAGGCTCGAAACGGGGGTGGCTGGAGTGGCAGCCGCAGCTGCAACATCATCAGCATCAGCAGAAGTAGCAACACAACCAGCAGCATCAGCTGCAGCAGCAGCAACACCCCCAGCAGCAGCACCCTGTGTGGAGGCCGCGGTATGAGGCACCAGCAGCCTGACTGTTGCTCCAGCATAATGAGGTCTACAAGCCTCTTCTCGGAGCACCCGTTTTCTCCTATCGAGATTTGCTTTACAGCGGATTCTTCCTGGGAAGACATGCAACGTGCCAGCAGGATGCTGGAGCTCGCTGTAAATGAGCCACGAGAACCTGGAGTGTAGTAGCCCTTAATATAATCACTTCGAATTTCTGATATACTGCCGTATCTACGTTTAGTCAGCTACAAGAACCTAGTGTGTGCCATAGCTTGTCATGCTCACTTATTACAATACTCAACTTGCCCATTTCTCCATTAGCCTGACCTGTCCCAATTTTGTCTGCATGTCTTGTCACACGGATGAAGACAGCAGGTGATGACAGCGTGAAGTATGGATGGGGAGAGAGAGTGACAAATGGAGGAAAAGAGGGAGAAAAGGAGGAAAACAGTGAGAAAGAGGGCAGCAAGGCAAATTTGTGGAGAGAGAAGTCAGGGAGGGAGCCAACACAGACAGCATTGTGGAGCATGGCTTTAATCCCGTACCAGTGAGCAGCACCAGTGAATGATACCCCTTGGTGCAAAACCCATCAATCTTTAGTTCATATATTGTTAAAGAACATTCGCGTAAGCTGGAAAACCGCCAGAATCGCTAAAGAAGATGCCACCAAGTGGTTGAAGTCACTTACGCTTTGGAAAATGCCGGATTACTGCCAGCCTATTGTTGCGACACCTGCCTTTCCACCACAAATATATTCCCCTTATTGTCACGCCCGATTCGTACAGTGTCGTCCACATAGCTGCATGTGACAATAACGAGAGATGCATGCAGGGTATTCAAGAGCCATGCAAGTGACATGGATCATGCATGAAAGACATGTGTATCATGCATGAAAGGCATGTGTATCATGCATTATGCAGTCCAGTGAGTAAAACGTTGCACATGTATAGAAGCACGATAACCACCACCAACCGGGTGTGTTTTGAGTCGACTCAAAACACCACCAACCCTACCACAAAAATTGGTACATTGACTCACATAATTTCAAGCATCATATTCACATCATCACATACACCTACATGATTTCCGGTGTATTTTGAGTCGGCTCAAAATACACCTTTTCAGTCGTCACATACGCCTACATGATTTCCGACCTCCAGAAACACTCACGTTATCTCGAGCCATCCGTCCGGGTTGAATACTTGCAGCAGCAGATCGTAGTTCTTCTCAAACAGCTTGCTCAGCTGTAATAGGAAATAAGGGGAAGGGGGAAGAGAGCTGAAGGGAGGGGTTCAAGCCTATGTACCTAGTGGCACCCACCTGGTCCGACACAAAACTGGAGCTCTTGAAATGGATGTCTTTTCTCTCGAAGAGAAAAGGTAGATTTCTGAGAGGGGGGCCGGCAAGCCTACCTACTCAGCTGCACCCGCCTGGTCCAGTGAGCTCACCTGATCTGGCACAATACTGGAGCTCTCGAATCTGATGTCCACACGCTGCGGCAGCAGAGCAAAGCAAGGGGAAACGTTTGGGAGTGGGGGGAAGAGTGTTGGGGGAGGCTCGGACAAGGGAAGGGTTGGTTGCAGAGAGAAGGAAGCGGCTTTTGGGAGACGGAAGGTGACTTTTGAGTCGACTCAAAAGTCACTTTGAGTCGACTCAAAAGTCACCTGGGAGACGGAAGGTGGCGTTCTTGAGGCACGGAAAGAATCGAAGAAAGATGGTTGGGGGGTTTGTCTCAGAAAACGGGTCCGCAGTAAAAGGCAACAAAGATGCTGGATGGACCATTCTTACTTACAGAAGGAGAGGACACAGTGTAGGTACATGACTATGGCCACCCCTTTTACAGTGTCGGTGGATTTCATAGTGACCTTGCCCGACAGTAGGCCCCCCATTTTACGATAAAAGAGGAAAACATGACACAATTGCAGGTGATTTTATAGAATTCCCAACTGCCCCTTTCTGCTCCCAGTGGGACAGGCCACGGTGTTCGTCGCCTCGATGGTGAGTTTCCCTGATAGCCCCCCAACCCGCTAAGACAATCAATCGGCTTATCCCCCCACGCTAGGGGAGGCAACAAGGGAGCATACACCCCCCTCTGCTCACAGTTGGAGAGGACACAGTGTACGTGGCTTCAATGGTGAGCTTGCCTGACAGCAGGCCCAATCCCCGCACTGAGAACTCAACCACGTTGGCTGCTCGCCTCTGGTGCATGCACGGAGCAGGGAGCAGGGAGCAGGGAGCAGGGAGCAAGGAGCAGGGAGCAGGGAGCAGGGAGATCGGAGGGCATGGGATAAGAGCAGTCTCATGAGGCGAGCTTGCTAGACAGCAGCCCCAATTCCCTCACAGAGAACTCAACCACGTTGGCTGCTCGCCACTGGTGTAGGGAGGGTTGGGGGTGTGCAGAGAGAGAAAGACTCAAAGCATGGTGAGTTTCCCTTGAAGCAGCCTCAACCCCCTCACGGAAAACTCAATCACGTTAGCCGCCGCCTTTGGCGTGTATGAAGCAAGGGGTGGGGAGACGAGGAAACAAATCCGGCAAAATCGGGGGACAATTCTAGAATTCCTTGTCGGGAAAAAAAAAAACAAAAAAAAAAAACGAATTGCGCAATTGTTTGAAACTTACAGTGTCTTTATCGACTATTTGCAGAAATTTCCCCAGGGATATGAAATCCCTGAGCCCCACCTTGGTGCATCTCACTGTGGCCTGTGCGTCTCACTCACCGTGCCTTTATCGACTATTGCACAAAGTCCCCCAGGGAGATGAAGTCCCTCAGGGAGATGAAGTCCCTCAGCCCCAGCTTGGTGCATCATACCATGGCCTTGTCAGCGCCTCTCACTCACCGTGTCTTTGTCCACTATCTGCACGAAATCCCCCAGGGAGATGAATTCCCTCAGCCCCAGCTTGGTGCACCCTACCATGGCCTTGTCAGCCCCTCTCACTCACGGTCTCTTTATCGACTACTTGCACAAAGTCCCCCAGGGAGATGAATTCCTTCAGCCCCAGCTTGGTGCATCCTACCATGGCCTTGTCAGCGCCTCTAACTCACCGTGTCTTTGTCCACTATCTGCACGAAATCCCCCAGGGAGATGAAGTCCCTGAGTCCCACACAGCCTGCGCACTCTGTGACTCACCATTCCTGTGACCAGCATATCGCTCTCACCGTGTCTTTGTCCACTATCTGCACGAAGTCCCCCAGGGAGACGAATTCCCTCAGCCCCAGCATGGTGCATCCTACCATGGCCTTGTCAGCGCTTCTCACTCACCGTCTCTTTATCGACTATCTGCAGGAAGTCCCCCAGGGAGATGAAGTCCCTCAGCCCCAGCTTGGTGCGCTTGGAGCCGAGGATGGCGATGGTGCTGTAGAGAAGGCGCCAGTGACCGGTGATCTTGGGGGGGGGAAGAGGGGGACGGGGACGGGGACGGGGACAGGGGGAGATGAAGGCCTCTAACCCCCAGCTTGGTGCGCTTAGAGCCGAGCATGGCGATGGTGCTGTGGAGCAGGCGCCACTCGCCCGAGATCTGAATGCAGAAAGAGAGGAGGGGTGGGGAGGAAAGGGAGAGGGGAGAGGAGGGGCAGGAAAGAAGGAGAGGGAGGTTAGAGCCGAGGATGGCGATGGTGCTGCTGTACAGCAGGCGCCAATGACCAGTGACCTGAGGAGGGAGGGAAGGGGGGGAGGGGGAGGGGGACGGGGACGGGGGAAGATGGACGCCTCTAACCCCCAGCTTGGTGCGCTTGGAGCCGAGAATGGCGATGGTGCTGTGGAGCAGGCGCCACTCGCCTGTGATCTGGTTGTGGTCACGGGGGGATGGGAAAGCGAGGAATGGCTGCATTGCTAGGGAGCAAAGGGGGAGAGAGTAGAGGGTGGTTGGATGGGAGAGGGTGGTTGGATGGGAGATGGGGAGCCGAAATTGGCGATGGTGCTCGAGAGGCCACTCACAAGTGACTCCAGTTGCAGAAAGGGGAGGGAGAGGAAGGTCGCGGGTTCAATTCCTCTAGTAGCTCAATTATAACATGTAGCTCCACTCTTGCATGCTGCTCCCTTTCACCTCGTCTATGTGTTCGGTGGGTGCAGTTCGCGGGTTCAATTCCTCCTGTCGATCAATTAGTCTATGCAGCTCCGCTCGCTAATACCCTCTCTTCCTTGGCCGAAGGCATGCACATGCTGCTGCTCTCACTCACCTCGTCTATGTGCTCCGTGGGAGCAGGTCGTGGGTTCAATTCCTCCAGCCGCTCTATAATAGCGTGCAGCTCTGCCCGCTTGGCGGATGGCATGCCGAAGATACCCCGGTTCCGGCCTGAAAGAGAGGGGCGTTGGGGGAGTGCGGAGGAGTAGGGGGGGGGGAAGGGGGGGCAGGGGGAGAAGGTGGAAGCGGGGTCGGGGGGGAAGGGAGAAGATGGAAGAGGGTTGGTGGGGGGGGAGGAATATTGACCTATGGGGGGAAGAGAAGGGGGGATGGCATGGCAGGGTGAGGACATTGAGGGGTAAGGGGGGAGCATCAAGGGGTAAGGGGGGAGCATCAAGGGGTAAGGGGGGAGCATCAAGGGTAAGGGGGGAAGCATCAAGGGGTAAGGGGGAAGCATCAAGGGGTAAGGGGGAAGCATCAAGGGGTAAGGGGGAAGCATCAAGGGGTAAGGGGGAAGCATCGAGAACAGAGTCGAATCTGGAACGTGCGGAGAATGTGGCACGTGCGGAATGTGCGGACGTATCAAGCAAAGAGTCGAATCTGGGGTAATTGATGGAACGTGCGGAGAATGTGGCACGACACTTGATCCCTAGCCTCTTATAAGAGCCCTCACCTTCTAGACCAGAGTAAAGCGCGGCCTTTAAGGACGGAATGTCGCTCGGCAGGGATGGCGGCTCGGCAGCAGCCTCGGTATCGCCTCCGGAAGACGCGGCGGCGGAAACGCGGCCCCTTGCGGGTGACGCCTGACTGACGTGGCATCGATTTTGACGCGCATCGGAGATAAAGTCGTGCCTCGCCGCGACCCACGGGTTGGTTCGTCTGGGACGTGCCGAAGCAGCTTGCCGAGCCTGTCCGCCTAACCGAGGCTGTCTGCCTAACCGCCAACTGCGTTGGGGAGGAGAGAGGCTTATGGGAGCTCTGACACGCAATGCTGTTTGGTGATGGCGTGTCAGCGTGTGTTGCTGACACGTGGCACTGCCAGGAGTGACTATGGGAGGGAGAAAGAGCAACCCGACCATTTTGACGGATAACCAAAAGGCGGCAAGGGCGGCAGTTGATCAGTCAGTATTTTTGAAACCACTGTTATATTTTCATTTCATAAATCTAACATGTCTGGATGGTGTAGTCGGTTATCACGCCAGTCTCACACACTGGAGGTCTCCGGTTCGATTCCGGGTTCAGACATGTTTCGTTTTTTTCGCCTTGTTCACCCTCCCCAAGGATGACACAGCTAGCAACTCCGGCCTGAACTCCCTGTTTTTGTCTCCGTCCGTCCTTCCTTCAGCCCCAAACTTGTTCAGTACTCATATCTTTCTCTACCTGCCCTTCTCATACAAATGTGCCAGTATATTGTTCCATAATGGACAACAATTCCTTTTTCATGACAAGAGTACAACAATTACACCATACAATTATCCCCTGTAGTATATTACCCTTACGGGTTTGTTCTACTCTGGACCCAATGCCTTCACTCGGGGCAGCAGATAAAAGAATGCCGGAACTTCCAGTCCGCCACCTGGCAGCTTCGACTGCAGTACTTGGCTCGGCCGCACCTGACGCAGGTTCGGAACTCCCCAACCCTGGTCTCAGGCCTGCCACAGGCTGGGCTTCCGCAGCAGCGGCGGCCGGAGGGGAGCGGGCGGATGGCGTGCCAGGTGGCGAGAAACGAGTGGATGCGGTGGGGAGCGGAGGGGCGGGGGAAGGCGAGCTGGAGAGAAAGCGGACAGTGAGTGTGGGAGTGAGTGTAAGTGAGGAGGGAGGAGAGTAGTAACTGGGTGAGATGGGCGTTACTACCATGGAGGGTTGCGTTAGGAGGCAGATGTTGGGGCTGGGGGTGCTGCCTATGGGAGAGACGGGGGTCTTGGTCACGTGACAAGGCTTCCTGTGTGCCCTTCTTCTCATCCTCCTCCTCACCACACTCTAAATCCTCCTCCACTTCCTCCTCCCCCTCCTCCTCCCCTGCATCCTCCCCCTCCTCTTCCTCCTCCTCGCTTGACTCCAGAACACTCCAACCTTGGGGCTTCTCCCCGCCAAACAGCTCATACAGAGTATCCCTCGGAGGGGCAAGAGTCAGGTTCAAGCTAGGCTGACTCGGCTCCCTCCAACCAGACGCGGTGCCCTGTCTGCCGTCCACCACGGGCTCTACCTCTCGGTTCAGATCTAGGCCTAAATTCTGCAGCCTCTGCTCCTGCTGCTGCTGCTGCTGCTGCTGCGGTGGCTGCAGCCGATCATGCTGCTGCTCGTCGTTTTCGATCGCCTCCCGCTGCTGCTGCTGGGATTCCAATAGCGACAGCACAAGTTGGCTCAGCCCCTGATGCTGACGGATTCCACCTACGCTTTGTAGCTGGACAGTACCTTGGCTGTAACCATGGTGCTGGTTACCAGCCTCCTCCTCCACGCTACCCAATCTGGTTTCCCTCAGCCACATCCCATTATTTCCTCTCTGCACCATCTCACTCCCCTCCTCCTCCAACCCTGCACTTAGGTAAGTATTACACGGAGCCCCCACGTTAGCAGCAGCACTTATAGGAGCGCCGCTGCGTCTGTGCACCACCTTGCTGCTCTTCTCCCCACTGGGAGGCCAGGAGGAAGACCGGCCAAAGCGCCTACTCTTCCAAGCTTCCAGAGCCTTCTTGCCTGACTGCTGAGTACCTGTAACGCCTTCTGGAGCTGCTGCTGCGGCTGTGGCTGATTCTTCAATGCCTGCCGCCGCTAGTGTTCCTTGCTCTGCCGCTGCTGCTCCTCGTGCTTCTGTGGCTGATTCTGCTGCCGCCTGTGTCCCAGTTGCTACAGCTTGTGCTACAGCTGATGTTGGTGGTGCTGCTGCCACTGCTGCTGAGGGCGCTGGCGATGCAGCGGCAGGTGAGTGCGGAGGAGCGGCAGTGGCACATGGGAGGGCGAAGGGCCTAGGAGAAGGAGAGGAGGGAGAGAGCGGGCAGCTGCCGCAGCGGCAGCTACTCGAGCCGGCTTCCATGGCTGCTGCTGCGTGCTGCAGCAGAAGCTTGCCCAGGGAAACACGCTGGGAGACACCATAACCATCCTGGAAGTTGGGAAGAAGAAAAAAAGAAGAGGGCAGAATGGGAGTATTAAATGCGCTAGACATTTCAATAATAAGCTCAATCTACAGTTCAGGCACTGTAAATGGAAGCACCAAGTCACTCACAAACGGGAATTAGCAAGCATCAATCGTAACGGGAGTAAACATAAATCAATCGCGTACCACAAAGCAGTGCCCGAGTTCTTGTAACGCGGGCATGAAACCCAACTTCGCCGCCCGCCAGCACAGATCCACTCCCGCTTGCGGATTCGTGTCCCGCGCGGTTCCGCCACTCCCGTGAAAGTTGATTATAGCGAGGGAATAGGTCGCGGGGCCGTGTCCGCACTCCGCCGCTTGTGCGAGCAGGCGCGCGCCCGCCCAGTGATTTCCGATACAGTAAAAGGAGATCTGTGGTTGGGATTTCACGGGAACACAGGAGCGGAGGGAGAAGAGCGTGAAGGGCGGAGACATTAGAACGGAGACATTAGAACGTGAGCGTCAACGCGCTTCGCGAAACTATACGAGGCGCCCTAGCATGTAGTGCAACGCCCTCACTGCTGCCGAGGTCAATCCATCTCCCGATTAGGGTTTCGCCACTACACGCCAAAATAATATGCCGTACTTTTCCATCACGCTTCCGCACGCACCATGCCCGCGATATAAATCGCCTCGATATTTCCCTCTGCCGCGGCGCTCAGCAAGAATCGCTGCACCGCGGAAGTCCACCGCGCTGCGTCCGTCGGCAGCAGCGACTCGACGGATGCCGACGCGAGCAGCGACCAGTGCGACGCGGGCCGGCAAATGTCGTAGAAGCGCCGGCATCTGGAGAGACAAACGAGGTAAGGCCCAAGAGACGGAAGAAAAAAGGCGAGGAAAATAAAAAAATAAAAAATAAAATCAGATGCGAGAAATAGTAGCGCAGACCGGGCGAAGGGTGCCAGCCGACGGATGGCGTTACAAAGACTTTGTTTTTTTAATGCCACCGGGGGCAAAGGAGAGCGTAACCCTAGCTCTTACGTCAGCAACAGGCTGGTGATGTCGTCGAATGGCGTCGCGAAGGGCTCAAAGATTGCCACCAAGGGCGTAACTCTAAAAGAGCGTAACTCTAGGAGGGCGTAACCCTGGTTCTTACGTCAGCAGAAGGCTCATGATGTCGGTGAGCGATTGCGCCTTCTTGTAGACGACGCGCAATATGGTCGCGACGAGCTCGTCCTGCACGCGGAATAGGGGGGGCGGGGAGAGGGGGGGGGGGGGGAGGGGACGGGGGGTGTGGGGGGGGGAGAGGAGGGTCAAGGGGAAACGTCAGCAAGAGACTGCAGACGAGCTCGTCTGCATCGGCGCACGGGGGAGAAAGGCGACGGGGAGGGAGCGGGGAGAGGGGTGGTGGGGAATGGGGCTGAGAGGGGGGTTGAAGGGAGCGTGGGGGGAGTGGGGCAGAGGGAGGGGCGAGGGGGAAGAGCTAGTAAGTTGGGAATGCGAGAGGGGAAAGAGACGGGAGGTCGAAGCGCAGAAGAACTTACAGGAAGGCGGTCGATGTGGCAAGAGGCGGAAGGAAGCGGCGGTGCGCAAGCGTCTTCGTTCCCCCCATTGGCGCGGCCGACAACCTTGTGCGCGCGGGGCCCAAGGCTCGTGCGCTCCGCGTGGCGCAGGCCGGGAACCGCGCCCCAGCTGCGGCGCGGCTCGGCCGCCGCGGCGCTGGCTGCTTGGGAGGTCTTTGCTCGCTTGCTCGGCCGGTCCATGGGATCGGCCGCAGATAGCGCCGCCAGGAACGGATGATGCGGGGGGTAGAGGGACGACGACGCAGCGAGCGGCGACATTTGCGCTCAGGTGCAAGGAGAGTAGTTTTGAGGCGCCTCAAAACTTGCGCTCAGATGCTAGGAGAGATTCGCGCCGATGCGGGGGATGCGGGGGCAGCAGATGGGGGTGGCAGATGCCAGGAGAGATTCGCGCCGGGTTTCTCGCTTCGATTTCGACTTCCAAGACGCACAAGCTGTGCTTCGTCGCGTTGGAAGTAGAGGAAAATGGCCGAAGTCCGTCGTTTCCCGATGATGCCGATTGGCCCAGCCTCGTGAAGAGGTGAAGAGGGGACTAGATTTCCCGCGGCGCGTTAGGGCCTTCGTCGCAAAGAGCCTTTGTTTCTTGACGTTTGTCTCCTTCGCGTTAGTTTGTCCGACGAAGCTTCGTGGGAAAGTTCACGCACGTGAATGAGCTGCTGACGCAGCGCCGTCAGTTGCGGCCGTATTATTGCCAACTTAGAAACGAAAACCGGAAGCTGCGTCGAGCAGGTATAGATTTGGGGCAGGCCAAATCACTTGTAAATAATCGTAACTTAAGCGTCGAGGCTAAAAGGCGATGGGGGATCCCAACTCAAGCGTTCGCGAGGCGAGCCGAGGCGGGTCCCACGTGAATGCAGTTATGGCGCTCGGCTTGAGGTCGCAGCTCGGAAACGGCCGCGGCTCTGCACTAACTTCACTGTGAAGGAGAGTCGGGGAGAGCCAGCGTGATTGAAGGTCCCACAGTTGAACCGAACCTGCGAGGCAGCGAATTGAGTTTCCCTTACAGCTCCTGCTCTGCTGTCTGTGGAAGAAACTTTTGCTTCAGTCTGTGTGGCTGGATTTCTCCCTGCAGTGTCGTTGCTGTTGGATGCGAACAACTGCCCTCAACTTCCTTACATCCGCTGGACTTGTTTGCTGCCAACAAGCTGGTCTGGTCTGGGGATTTGTAACAGCAGCGGCAAGTCCATCGACCCTTGTCGTGACTCAGTTTTGCTCCGCCTTTGCTTTGCTTGCAAGCTGCGGTGGCGTTTCCCCCGCTCAATCCGCCCATATTCAAAATATTTCCTTTCCAGCTGTGTGAAAAGGGGGGTGAGGGGGAGGGGCGGAGGGAGGGGCGGAGGGTGAGACGAGGGGAGAGGGGGGCAAGGAGAGCAGGGCGCGGCGAGGGGACTGTTTGGGGGGGTGGATGCGGGGAGGGGAGGAGTCAGAGGGTGCGGTGGCTTGACATGGCGTGTCCCTCTGCCAATCATCGCTCAAAGGCAGGCCAGGTGGGTCGAATGCCAAAGTGGGATTTTTGTGCTGTAAGGGGAAGCATGGAAGAGAATTCCGACCAGGTTCAAAAAATTACAGTAAATTACAGGAAAACAACTGGGAGGCAGGCAGGCAGGCAACCAACAATGGGGCTGCAAAAACTTCGTTCGGTACAGTTCCTGCCTTCCAAAGCTTCACTTTGAACTGGGGAGTCAGGGACAACTGGCATGACAAGCTGCCACCGACAGATAATGAACAAGAATTCTCCACACAGCCCGAATCGCTGGCATGAGTTTTCGCTTCTGTGCAGCACAGTACTGTGCAAGAGCGGAAACCGTGGCAGCAAACGGGCAGGAGGAGGGCTGGGCGTGAGTGGCGGAGATTCAGATGGTCCTATGGCTGGGTAGAGGTTACGTCCAAAAGCGGTTGAACTTCCCCAGCAGGGTCCACAAGGCAGGGCGCGGCCCGCGTGGCAAGCAAAAAAAACACAAAAGACAAGCCCGGAAAAATGTCTCCAGGAATGCCCTAACTTCCCATACGGTGTACAGCTGTACTTCATGAACTCCCAGGGAACTAATAATGGCTCAATAGAGCACTTTGGTTTGCTTCCCCAGATTGGCGGAGCGAAGTTTGCATGGGCCAAGGTTGCCATTCGGGCATGGAGAAGGAAAAGTCGAACCGCACTGGACAGCAGTAACTGCCAACAATGCTTGAACATCATTCAATGACCTTAACTGAAACAAGTTTTTCCGAATCTAAAACAACGTCAGGAAAAGATCTCGTTATGATTGTGGACCTATCGAAAACAGCTTTCTGCATCTCCGTCCCACGCAAAATGATATTTCTCATGCCCGTAAGCTGTATCGACTTCCACACACAACCTTTTCATGGGAACTACTCTCCAGGTGATCTAGGATCTGAGGAAGAGGGTCAGGCTGAGTGCGAACCTGCAGGTGGTGTAAACGGGGACCTTTCGAAACACAATCCCCCCATAAAAAATGGAGGCCATCCGTCTAAAAGACGGAAGACAGTCTCGGGGGGGGAAAAACTGATCGGCTGGCTGGAGTAGAGGTTGCTTTAATTCTACCCCGTGTGTTTACGTATATCGTACCGGATACACTCTTTTGGAGGAGTCTCTCCTGGAGCGTAGACTTGGGGCAATTCGACCGTGGGGCTCTCCCCATTCGTTTGCTAGGACAGCTGCCTGCCAGCTGGCTAACTCGTTTGGCCACCTGGCTGGTACACGCCTTCCCCTCTACGCGAGGGACACGTCCTTGACAATTATCCCAGGAACAGTAATCTCGACTTACTGTACCTCGTTTTGGGGAGGAAATAGCAACTGTGAAAACATAGTGTAGCAGCTCTTTCTAAAAAAGCTTGAACTTCAGTTCTTCCTAATTTCACCAATGTACAGTTGCATACACATCTTGGTCTTACCATTAGGCCTAAGGCAATTACTAGCTGTTTCCGCTGTGTGGCCCTACTCTACTGGTGGCAAGGGAAGAAGCCCATTGGTACGGGCATATTGGTCAGCATGTTCTAAGAACCAAGCCTATTTCAAAACACACACACGAACACAGAAGGCCTTGAATAAACCACATGGTGCAGACTGGTATTAGACCCTAGTATCTGAGCTGCCTGAAAACAAGAGCTTGGCTCCCTCACGTGGTGGAGCAGCAACTACCGTATCTATGCCAAATGCCAGTCCCTTAATCTTAGTCCTCAACTCCTCTGTCCTCTCCTTCCTCCTTGCTCCATTCCTCTACCTCCCTCTCAACCCGAGTTCCTGCACTTCATTCCTCCTCTGTCCCCCCCCCCTCCACCCCCTTCTATGGTAACTCCACATTCTCTGCCTTTTCTCGCCCATCTTCCCCCCGCCCCCCTGCAGGCTGGCTCCCCCATTCCAGACCATCAGCCCCACTTCCTTCAAAAGTTACAGTCAGCAGAAGAAATCACAACACAAACACAGCTACAACTCGCACAACTCCGTTCTGGAAGAGCAGAGTAAACTTGACGTCGCTGAGCAGGGTGGTATGGATCTGGGTGGTATGGAGCAGGCTGGGTGGGCCCACATCCGAGGACCATCACTCTCGGCATGGCAGAGCAGACGATGTGGCAGCGCGGGGTGTTTCGGATCAGACTCAAGGGCTTCACGCGTTTGTGAATAAGATTTTCCGGGGGGACGGAAAGACCTGCCCCTCGTTGTCAAGAGCCAGAGCCAGGGTAAATTTCAGCTGGAAAATATCGTCGGCCAAACCTCCGCTCCCCTCGTCCTCGTCCTCGTCAGCCAGCATCACCACGTCAACCTCCTCTTTGAATTTCACTCTCCTGCCCGCAGTATTTGATCTCGTCAGGGTAATTTCCCCGTCTTCAGGGTCCGATTTTCTGTGTACAGTCTCCGATTTGCATCTCCGCCAATGGATGGGCGGCTCCTCCTCTTCCTCCTCTTCTATAGCCTGCTGGCTGTGCGAACTGCTTCCAGAGTCATTCCTCTTATGATTCCCCATACTTTCCAGCGACTCGTTGGAGGAACTCGGTCTCAAAATTCCGTTCCTAGGCTCCGCGGCCAACTTTAAAGGGGATAAGCCCGGCGGTTTCCTGCATGGGCTGGGGCTATTCGCGTAAACTCCCCCTTTAGGTAAACCTTTCGGTTTCGACGAACCGTAATGGTCGAAACTCTCGCACCGCCTGTGCTGCACCGGCGGTTTGCCGTACCCCGAGCCTGCGCCGCCCAAACCGCTGCTCTTCTCAACCCCGGGCTTTAGCTGGCTAGCATCTAACGACGTGGCGCGGCGCAAGCTGTCCCCAAACGATCCCTTCGACTCGCCCGATTCCGCTTGGTTCCAAGGGTGACCACTGGGCGAAATCTGATGCCGGGAAAGATTCGATTCTGGGCTGCTACCCGAGGATCTTAGGCTGCCGACGCCACTGCCAACCCCACCAGCGCCGCCTCCCCCGCCGCCGCTGCCGGCGCTGCCCCCGCTGCTGTTATTGCAATGGCTGGTAGAGGCCTTGGGAATAGGGCATTTATCCGACGACCCGCCACCGAGCCGCGACGGCATGAGCCGCCCGCTTTTAGTCCGGAAGATTCCTCGCAGCTTACCGCCCCACTTCCCGTTGGCTGACTTTTCCTCCGCCAGAGGGCCCGAAGCTTCCGTCTTTTGCGCCGCAGTCTCCGCCTGCTGCTCCTGCAAATGCGCCGGCTGCGAGACGGGAATTGCGGCGGACGGCACGCAGTCGCCCATGTACTTGCGCTTCCAGATGCCTTCGAGGAAGCTTCCGTTGAGGGCCGAGGGTGGCGGCGCCCATGGCTCCGCGGGGACGTTCTGATCGACGAAGAGCTGCCACGTGGCGTTCGCCCGCGCGACCACCGCGTGCGCGTGCCCCGGACCTAGTGGCTCGCTGACGAAGGGAAGCCCTGCCATTTACGAAGAATGGGGGGAGAAAGTGGGGAAGGGGGGAAAGGGGGAAGGGGGGAAGGGGTGGGCGTGGGGGGATAAAGTGGGAATGAATGGGGGTTACACCAGGAGACGAGTAGGGAGGAGACGGGGGAAACGAGGATGGCGGGTGGAGTAGGAAGGGGAGAGGTGGAGAGTGGGAGAGAGCGCGCTGAAATCTTAAAAGCAGCAAGCTACAACCGTGGAAACGAGGAGAGGAGGATAAAAGGAAGGTAACTCTTTGCTTGTGCACCTCACCTGCTGTGCTCCGGCCGTTTGATTGGAGGACGTCACGCGTGCGAAGCCATTCGCGAATGTCGCTAAGCGACCCTGGAAACGATGCCTCGACGTCTTCCAATGACTCCAACACACTGGCGACGGGGCAGTTACCCGAAATCGCGACGACCTTCCACGCGAAAGTTTTTCCCGTCGCAGACGCGACGGCGAAAGCCGCGAGAGGCTTGACCGAAATCACTTCGCCGAGGTCAATTTCGCTACCGCTAATCTCGATAACCTCTATCGGCTGTTCTTCGCCAGCCGCGTCGGGTAACTCGTCGCAAAGATCGTCGGGATCCTGTCGCGTTTGGGGCAGCAGCCCGAGACTCCATGGGCAGTTTCTAGAAAAATGCCGAGGAACTAAAGAGGTGGCTTCAGTTTCGCCGGGGCCGCCTCCTGCTAAGCTCCCAGAAGCGTCGGGGCTTCCTAAACTCGCGGAACCAATCAACGCAGCGCATCTTAGCGGGTTGTAATCTTCGGGCGCGAAATCGTGCGGCAGCCATGTTCCGGCGGGAGCGGCGGAGATGCAGTGGAAGAGACAGTCCGGGTCGTAGAGAGGGATATCGTGCCAGGGGGAGAGGATATGGCGGTGCGTGGAGTGGAGGAAGATCATTCGAAAGGAGGACGAACCAGGCGTGCCGAATTGTAGGGTTTCCCATTGCTTTTCCGTTGACGTCATTTTTACGGGGCGGTTGGATGGGATGCTTGAGTTCCTGCTGAAAGTATCCGGCAGCGGAGGTAATCACAAGTTCGATTGAGAGACGGGGCGGCGTATACACGAGTGGTTTACCTGCCAGCTATCAACTTAGAACGGGGGAGTTCGGGGTGAATGAATCGAGAAAGCAGCTGCAGCGCGCGAACAGCTGGAACAAAGGTTGGGTTCGATACAACCAAGACAAGAGTAGGTGCTCCAGGAGTTGTGAAGTGTTCGTTGCCGTGGCGTGCATACAACCAAAACAAGGAGACCGAGACAGAAGGGCGAGAGGGAAGGGAAACAGGGCAAAGGTGGGATGGGTTGGGAGATGAGAGGGGAGGAGAGGAGGGGAGGCTAGGGAGGAGGGGGAAGGCGAGGAGTGGAGGAGATGAGAGGGGAGGCTAGGGGAGGGGAGGAGGAGGGAGGCGCACCACATGCGCAAAACGACAAACGTCTGAGGTGTGGTGGATGGTGATGAGGTGAAGTTATGATGCGTCCTTACTCGGATGTTTCGGGGTCAAAGTAACTAACGTACGGTGCACGAACTCACCGACGACAAGTAGACGAAGCTGTTTTGTGTGGGGGAAAGCGAGGTGACGACGGAACAAGGTAACCAGCGAAAAAACAGAGCGGAGGTGGTAGGTGAACAGCGAACCTCCCGTCAGCAGGCGATGACTGGAGGGCTACAGTGCAACTGTGGTGTCTGTTTTGCTGACGAATGGCGGTGGTTGCTGTGCTCAGACATCGGGCCGACGTGGCATGCAGATATCCATACGGTACTGAACTGTATCGACACCGACCTTCAAACGCCTCCAACGAGAAACGAATCCAAGGACCAAGAATTCCTGAGTTTCAGGGCTGCGTGATCCAACGGGTGCCCTTGAATCCTCTTGATCACAGTCATAAACTCAAGGTGAATGCAGGGCCAGGTGGGAATGACGACAAATCCACCAAAACCACTTGTGCAAGACAATGAACTGGCAAAAACTTGGCAGCTGGCAATGGCCAGCTGGTTGCTGGAAATGCATCTCACCCCGAGCCCCCCAAAGGGCTGATTTTCTCACAAGTTTAGGAAATTAATACACTCTTGAGTTGCTAGACTGCTGGTGTGCAAGTATACGAAATGCCTAAAATAGAAAGCACTCTTCTCTAATATGGAGAAAGATGTGCGGAAATACTGTATCTGCCTCCACGTAAGCTGGCATGAAAAGAAGGCTATTTGGAAAATGCGGATGCATATTTGTGTATGGCAGTACTTGCCATAAAACCCAGGGAATATTCCTCTTTTTAAAAAAAAAAAGCCTTCCTCAACAGTAACGGTACAGTAGGATTGAAGTCCAGCTTGGGAAGGTGAAGATTGGTGGGAAACAGCCATCACAGAGAGAGGCGGGAAGGCGAGCACAGATAAATAAAGTGCTCATGCCTAGGGGAAAGAGAGGACTAAGTTAAAGAGGGTGTTGGAAATATCTCAAGGACTTAAGCGTTTCTGAAGTGTAACACTGTACTCGAGGAAGACTACAGGGGAGCACGCGAGTCAACGGAGGTTACACGAGGGGGCGGACAAAGAATGCGAAAGGACTCGAAAGGTCGCAACTGGAGGTTGCGACTGACCTTTACAACATCACGGATGGTAACCGAAGCGGCAATCGAGTCGCTGTGCGACTCGATAAACCGTTCCTGTAACTGTATTCTACAACTGCTTTCTTATCTACTATATATTGCTGTATGCTTGTTTCTTTAATCAATCACTTGTTCTCACATACTAGTACAAGGGTTCAACCGTCTCAACTTCCGCTGCACTACTCCAAGTCTCAAGTCTCTACAAGCTGGGACTTAGTCTCTGCAAAAGATCCTAAGGGCTTTTCTCAGCCCAACATGGTATGAGAGCTGGTCAGAGACCAAACTCCCAGCAACTACGTCCTATCAACAACCTGCAACTCAACTCAATTCAACGACTTCATTGATTACAAGACATGGACAACAAGGGCAAGAAAGTCTCTACGGGCTCACCCAGCGCCCAAGAAACTCAACACGGCAACTCTGGTCTGCACACCTCAGGACTGCAGACAGAGACCGGGACTGCTCAAGAAACAACGGGAAGAGTACTAGAGATGGTGACCCCGTCTCCCTCTTCAAGTGTGGACCCGAATCTCATGGAGAGATTCTTCAGCTTCATGTCACACTTCGATCAGCAGCAGCAGACAAGGACACCTGCGCACTCAACACAGAGCAATGGAGGGAATATGGGATTAGCGCCGATGAGCCTCGACAACTCATCCTTCGGGCGACACAACCAAGCGCCTACCTTTGCGCCTTATCATTCTTCGCCGGGGACGTTCGAATTCATGCCGCCCCGTGCCCAGCCAACAGCAGCTGCATCACAACAAACACCGAATGAAATCTTAAGTTTACAGGCGCAGTTCTCACACGTGATCAAACTTCAGACATCCTCACCGTTCAACGGACACGACTTCTTTACCTGGAGCTTCGAGTTCGAGCTGCTGATGGAGGCCGCGCATCTTCTGGGATACTTCAACGGGTCCCTGCCATTCCCAAGCAACGGCACTGGGAAGGAACAAGAGATCTTCACGTATCAGTCGCTGCTGGCGTACACGGTACTCCTGAGAAACCTGTCACCACAAGAGCAGCAGAGCATCAGAACGTATCGGAGTTATGGAAACTCCGCGGAGCTCGCATGGCACCACCTCAAATGCCTTTACCAAGCAAACGACAGCGTGACACAAAGCAGACTCATGCAACAGCTGATAACAATACAGATGAAGACCGGGGAAAAGGCGATGCAGTATATGAGTCGCTGCCAGACCCTCCGCGACCGCCTGCTTCGGTGCGGAGGAACGATCACTGAAGAAAGCTTCGTAACACTTGTCCTCGCCGGGCTCGGGCCAGAATGGAGAACCACACGATCACTTCTTCGAGCCCACGGAAGAATTTCGGAGATGCACCTCTGCGCCGAGCTTCACGCTGAACAACAGGAGATGGATCTGTTCGAGGAAAGACAACCAAGGAAGCAACAGCAGTTAGTCTTCTACACTCAAAGAAGAAATGACAACAACTACAAACGACGCAGCAAGCAAGATCAACGCGACAACCGAGGACTCACCATCGTGCCGCCGTTCTGCCACAACTGTCAGACTTCCGGGCACTCCAAGGTCAACTGCAACCGCCCTCGCGTTTACCGTGCAGCAGACCCACAAGTCGCTTCCACTCAAGCAAGTCCTCCAAGGCGCTCTTCAACATCTGCACAACAAACACCCAACATCATCAACTGCATGGTACACATCGACAACTGCGCACCCACTTCACCACCCACTTACGCACCAGACGAAGAGGAATTCCCGCCGCCGCGCTCGCAAGGACTTCAGGTCAACCCGACATACGCTGCAGTCGCTAACGCCGAACCCACCGGGCGGAACACCTGGTTCTTGGACAGTTGCTGCGGTCAGCACATGTGCTCCTCCGGACGCTTCGTACAACACGAGCGACGCCTCAACCGCGACGTCGTCATCACCGTCGCCAACAACGAAAACCTGAAAACAAACAGACAAGGCGTGGTTCAGTTGCAATCAATGGAGACAAACGTTATTCTTCAGCTCAACAAAGTCCTCATCGTCGACAATCTGGGATACAACCTACTAAGCGTAAGCCAACTAATGGCTAAGGGGATTCACCTGGAGTGCGACTCCTTCTCCAACGAGTTCCGACTTTACCACGGGAAGGGCGGCCTCTTCATCGGTCGTGCCCTCCTGAAGTCCGGTGTCTTCGTGTTGGACTTCGTCCCCGACCGCGGAACTGCCGACAGCGATGGCATCGTATCGTTCGCCGCCTGGACTCACCCGCCGGATCTTGATCCCGACTTCGACAGTGACGGCTTCTGGCACTCCAACACCATACCTGCAGCAGAGAGAACACGAGCATTAGCAGTTATCAGACAAGAAAGACAAGTACCCGCAAGTGTCCCAACAAAACCATCACCTGCAGTATCGGCAGCAGGACCCAGCCGAGTACCACCACCAGCGACACGAGGACAGCCAACGGAAGCAGACCAACTTATGCCCGCCACACGAGAAGCTTGTCGAAGTCCCGCCTCGGTCGTCGCGTTCTTCTCCAACGCCGACATCTACCACCGCTCGCCCGGTCACCGCGCTCCCGACGACATCTGGCACCAACGTCTCGGACATCCTGCAAACAGCACGATACTACAAACAATACAAGCAGAGGTGTTAGAACGTAACGCCCTTCTAACGACGAGCGGCCAAGAACTTCGCCGACCAAGAGCACGATGCTTCACGTGCCCCGAAGCAGATCTTCCTCATAAACCTTTCCCAGCCCATCACAATCCAAGCGCACCCACTTACGCTCCGATGGAAAAGGTCTACACCGATATTCTAAACATGCCTCGAGACGACACCGAAGCCGACTTCAACTACGTCATCACGTTCATCGACGCCGCAACCAGATACGTCTGGCACTTCAATCTCAAAACGCGCGATCAAGCCTTCGAGGCCTTCACCACATGGCTTCCAATCGCCGAACGAGAGTCAGGAACCAAACTCAAGAGTTTCCAGTCAGACGGTGCACTGGAATACCAGTCACAACGCTTCAGGACCTATCTCGCGGAAAGGGGAATCCGACGCCTGGTGTCTCTGCCCTATGCTCACCAGCAGCAGGGGGTAGCAGAACGCATGAACCGGACCTTGCAGACGACGATGCGAAAACTGCTTCTGGGGATGAGGCTGCCCAACGCACTGTGGCCAGACGCGATGACACATGCAGTCCACCTGCACAACCTGTTGTCCTCGTCATCGCTCCCCAACAACGCATCACCACACCTGCTGTGGACGGGAAAAAGGGGCAGCACAAAATTACTTCGAGTTTTCGGCTGCATGGTACAATACAGACCCCACACAGCTCGAGCAGGACGCTTCACTCAACGAGCTCGGTGGGGACTACACCTCGGCATCGCCAAACATTTTCACGCGTGGAAGATCCTCGACATACAAGACAAAAATACGGTGGCATCACGTGATGTTATCTTCTACGAGCGACTGACGCTGCAGCATTACCTGGACAACATTGCCAACTCAGACGACCCCACCGACGGCTTCGCGGGCCTTCGCTCCTTCGCTGACCATGCTGCCGTGGCTGACGCAGCAGAAGAAGACGTACCTGGAGCCTCGGAAGCTGCCGGGCCACTCCCATTCTGTTCCATACCTGTTCCACTCGATGAAGATAATCCCCTCGATAGCAACAACCTCGACACCTTTTACCACTTCGCCGACCAAGGTTACGCTACACCGCACCCCGTCGACACGAATATTTCGGAACGCATCGGCCCCAATTTCTTACCTGACCCCGAAGACGGTGACGAAGCAGCTTATTCGGGGAATGACAATTCCCCTCGACACACACCCACGGGATTCCAGATTCTAGGCCTCTGGGTCTCCGTCCAGCATCCGCCGCCGCCTTCTACGCGTGAGCCTTCAACCTTGTCGCAGGCTCTGGGGGGGGAACATAAGGCAAAATGGAAAGAAGCGATGGAAAAGGAGTTAAAAGCTCTGCAAGACCGAGAAACATGGAAACTGGTACCTGCAACGAGCATCAACGGGAAGAACGTTCTCTCGGGGAAATGGGTGTACCGCATCAAGACCAACTCAGACGGCTCCATCGAACGATTCAAAGCTCGATGGGTCGTACGAGGCTTCGATCAACGATACGGAACCGACTACACAGAAACCTTCGCCCCAGTCTCCCGTCACACCTCATTACGCATCCTACTCGCCGTCGCGGCCACAAAAACACTACCACTACGCCAAATCGATGTCGCGAATGCGTTCCTATACGCACCTGTGGACGCTGAGATCTTCGTCGAACAACCCCACGGATTCATCGACGACCCCACGAAAATATGCCGACTGACAAAATCCCTATACGGGATCAAGCAAGCCCCGCGGCTCTGGCAGCAGCATCTTCACAGCCGTCTCGTAAAAATCGGCTTCCTACAGCTGCCGCATGACCAAGGGATGTACCGACTGCAGAAGGGAAGAGAGTATGTTCTGCTCATCGTCTACGTCGACGACCTGCTCTACATCGGCTCAACTACCGACATCGCCACCTGGTTCGAAGGGGAGCTGAAAGAAGATTTAACTCTCACGGTGTCCGACGAAGTTACGCAGTACCTAGGACTGAACGTCGTCGAAGACGACACGGCGTTCTACCTACACGCTGGAAAGTACTCAAGCACCGTCGCGAAGAAATTCGCTCTAACACCGACTGCGGTCCCAACTCCCTACCGCTACGGGAACAACGGCAGCGCCTCTACAAAACTCCCCGCGAAACAAATCCAGGAGTATCAACAGAAGCTCGGCTGCCTACTATTCGCAGCAGTAACCTGCCGACCCGACCTATCCTATAGTGCGAGTCAGCTGGCGACACATCTGAAGCATCCGCAACAGGAAGATCTCGAAGAACTCAATCGAGCGCTACTCTACTTCGTCTCCACGCCGACGATCGGGCTTACCTACAGCAAGGCAACAACACCGTCCGTACGACTACTCGGATACGTCGACGCCGACCACGCGGGAGACAGCGAAAATCGACGGTCTAGGACGGGCTACATCTACCGACTAGAACCTATCGGAACTATCTCCTGGCAGTCGAGCAAGCAGGAGTTAATCGCACTATCCTCGGCTGAAGCAGAGTATATCGCCCTTTGTACTGCGACCAAGGAAGGACTCTACCTACGAGAGTTACTCGAAGAAGCGAAGATCGCGACCCTGCCCGCCTTCTCACTCCTCTGCGACAACCAATCTGCGATCAAAATCGCGAACAAGGACGGCTTCGCCAATCGAACCAAGCACATCGCCCTGCGGTACTTCTTCGTCAAGGATGAAATCGCGAAGGGGAGACTTCAACTCAGTTACTGCCCGACGACAGAAATGGCCGCAGATTATCTGACGAAGAAATTGGCGAAAGCAAAATTCGACTACTGCATGCTCCTAACCGGGCAAACAAACGCCACCAGATCTGAACACTCCAGCACTCCAGAAACGAAGGGGAGTGTTGGAAATATCTCAAGGACTTAAGCGTTTCTGAAGTGTAACACTGTACTCGAGGAAGACTACAGGGGAGCACGCGAGTCAACGGAGGTTACACGAGGGGGCGGACAAAGAATGCGAAAGGACTCGAAAGGTCGCAACTGGAGGTTGCGACTGACCTTTACAACATTTACTGGAGGTTTCTGAAGTGTAACACTGTACTCGAGGAAGACTACAGGGGAGCACGCGAGTCAACGGAGGTTACACGAGGGGGCGGACAAAGAATGCGAAAGGACTCGAAAGGTCGCAACTGGAGGTTGCGACTGACCTTTACTGTATCTGCCTCCACGTAAGCTGGCATGAAAAGAAGGCTATTTGGAAAATGCGGATGCATATTTGTGTATGGCAGTACTTGCCATAAAACCCAGGGAATATTCCTCTTTTTAAAAAAAAAAAGCCTTCCTCAACAGTAACGGTACAGTAGGATTGAAGTCCAGCTTGGGAAGGTGAAGATTGGTGGGAAACAGCCATCACAGAGAGAGGCGGGAAGGCGAGCACAGATAAATAAAGTGCTCATGCCTAGGGGAAAGAGAGGACTAAGTTAAAGAGGGGACGAGGAGGTTTAAAGAAAACGAGAGGGATACAGCAGGGAAAGGCAGAAGGGGAGGGGGAAAGGGGGGGGGGGGGGGGGGGGGGGGGATGGATGGGAGATGTGAGAAAGACTTTGGAAAAGGGGGAACAAAGAGGACAAGCCCGGAAAGGGAGAAAGAAATCAGATAGACATGAGGGGGAGGGAGGGAAGAGAGGGAGAAGGGCAGGACATTGGGTTGGGAAGGAGGTAAGGGGAAGAGGAGAAATATTAGGAGGGGGGGGGGGGATTGAGGGGGGAAAACAGGGGGGAAGAAGATAGTGCAGGATAATGGGAAGGTAGTGGAAGAAGGGGGGAGGGGGGGGGGGGTGGGGGGGGAGATGGACCAGGAAGGAAGGGGAAATGTCACCATGCTTTAACCAATCCCTTACGAGCAAAGCAAACTCTGCATGTGACAAAACTGTCCAAAGGATTTTCACAAAACAATGTGAGAAAGGCTCCTATAGCATGACGATATCCTGCTGTAATCGGGGCAACAGGGACTAACGGGGGTTGTGAAGCAAGCTATGAAAACTTGTCGTTTAGCATAGTTACTGATAAGACCAGTCAAAGAGGCCAAGAGGCCAGCCAGAGAGGCCAAGAAAGGATCTAGAATTTGGCGAAACCAGGTATGAAGAGCTAGAAGTCCTAACAGCAGAATCATTACTTTCCGCCTAGTATAGTCCTCTGCGTGTCCCACAAATACCGCAAATGGGTATGATGAGGAATCTGCGTGTACGGAACCCCTCGTCTCTGACCTCCTACCTCTTCACTCGTACGGACCTCCCCTTCCGTTCCCCTGAATTCGTACGCCTTCACTCGTACGGGATCTGCATGTACGCTGCGTCTGAGATGAACGGCACGTCAGCGTACGTCCCGCGGATCGCGCACCAGATGCACTCGAGCACGATGAAGATAAACGCGACCGCAATAGCGAGCCAGAAGTGCGAGCCGATCTTCCCCCAATACACGGACTTGGGAATCCAATCATTCAGCGTCCCGATCACCTGGAGAATAATCTCCAGAAGCATCCCGGTAACTACGTGGAACCGCAGGAAATGCGGCCACCGGTTGTTCCTGACAACCCCGAGGTACGCTCCGAAGAAGTAAGCCAGCATGAACCAGGATGGGAGGAGACCCAGGAGCATCAGGAACGGCTGACAGAGCTGCTCGTAGGTGAACAGAAAATGGAAGAGCGACTGCGCCGTTTCGCTGTAGATCCACGCCTCGCAGAGCGGCAGCAGGTACGGAACGACGGCCAGGATTCGCCAGTACCACGCGGGGCGCGTCTGCATCGGCGGAAAGCCCTTGAACGCGGGCACGTCGCTGTCGCCATCCGCGGCTCTCACGGGGGAGACTCGCCGGCGGGGCGCGGAGGGGGAGACGGCGGAGGGGGAGGCCTTGCGCAAGCGGAGAGAGTCCTGCTGGCCGAGGAAGACGGAGGGGAGCGCGGAGGGGGAAGCGGCGGACGCACGGAAGGCGGGGCTACGCGAGAAACTAGCCGTTGGCGTGGCTACCTGGCGCTGCCCGGTGCGTTGACACGTGGCAGAGAAGCTGATCTGCTGCGCTCCTGCCTGAGCGGATAGAACGCTGCGGATAGTAGCCATGGCTGAATACGCCACGTCTAATGCAGGACTAAGCGGTCTAAGCACGTAATTCAGGGCAAGACAAACTCGCTGGAAGGAAAAAATCAAGTGCGACCGATGTCTTCCGCGACCCGCGCGCCCAAGAGACTCCTCAAACGACTTTCCCCCTAACACACAAGCCACTCACACTTCAAGCCCAAGTAATTAGTTTCCTTGGACTAAACCTCCCCACCAAAAGCAGTTGCGCCTTTTTAAGGTGTTCAGAAGGTTACGAGAACGGTGAAAAACGGTGATGCTTGGGGAACAATCAAGGTGACGGGAAATTTGGCCTGGTTTGAGATGTGAGAGCAGGCTGACAGGACGCAATTCCCGAGGAATGACTAGGACGTCAACGTGATCATATCGGGGAAAACGAGTGAATTTCCCCGTTATTGAGGGATGCTTCGGGAACGGATTGGGTGAGGGCTATCCAAAGGGGCGCAATGTCACAGACGTGGCATGGAAAGTGAAGTGGCAGTTGCTGACGTGTGAAGAAACCGTACGCAAACGAAAAACCAGGTTGAAGGATCTGGCACATTTCGTAGTTGAGGCCAGTGTCGATAACTGACTACACTAAAAATCGGGTTGCAGGATTAGTATCAACTTCAAAGAACTAAGCATGAACAAGTGTGTTGTATTGACTGCCAATGAGCATATCACGTTTTCAAAGTTCCACCTATCATTGGAACTTACGCTCTGCGCCTCACACTAGGTCTACGAACCTCGTTCTTCCCCCTGCCGTCGCCACTTGAGCCCCCCCAACCACCACCACCAGTTGTAGCTGAGCTGTCGCTAGTTGTTGCTGAGCCAGGTGTCGTGCTTCCACTGGCTGCTGCTCCTGCAGCTGAAGCCCACTGCTGCAGCCTGCAACAGTCAACAGACAGAAAATGTTTAGTATATATACCCAAATGAGATGGTCCTCAGAGTATGAGACCAGTTTGCACACATTTTACGGAATACCACACACGGCAACAGCCTTATGCAAAAAAAGAAAAGGAAAAAAAACTGCTCTTGAACTGGAAAGAACAAGTTTGCATAACATAAATAAGTGCACCTAGTTCTATTTGGGGAGCAGGTAGGCCACTTACTTGGGCAGGGAGGCGACCACAGAGATAACAGCAATTGCGAGCAGCATTGGAAGAAGCGGGGTCGGTGCAAGGTCCTGGTATGGCAATGGGGTGAGATCAGATTGGGATATAATATATAAGTAAGTGCCTGAAGTGGAACCTGATTTAGCACAGTTTTTTTAAGCACTGAGCTCATTTCACCTACCTCATTCAGCCTTCGCTCCTCCGCTTGGAAACTCGGAGTGCCAGCATGCCCAGTAACCACCTCCCTCACATCCACCTCTTTCTGCTTCCCTTGACAAAAGCACCTGGATAGTATCACCTACCTCATTCAGCCGTCTCTCCTCCGCTTGGAAACGTAGAGTGCCAGCATGCCCAGTAACCACCTCCCTCACTTCCACCTCCCTTCCTTGAACCTCCACTATAGCAGAAGGCACAAATCACTCACCTCATTCAGCCGCCTCTCCTCTGCTCGGAAACGCAGAGTCCCCACGTGCCCAGTAACCGCCTCCCTCACATCCACCTCCCCCCCCTCGCTCTCAAACACGTGAGACTTTCCGGGCAGCCCGAGACGCAGCTTCACCAGGTACATGCCCCTGGGCAGGTCGCGAAACTCGAAGAATCGCGAGAGGGGAACAGGGATAGAGCGAATGGGAGTGGCAGAGAAGACCGCAGAAGAGGAAGCTTCTTCTGAGCTTCCTGCTTCCGCTGCTGCTGCACCGTTGTTGCTGCTGCTGCTGCTGGGACCAGTCCCTTCGGTATTGTCACTTGCGGATACAGTCACGCTGGGAAAGAGGTCGACAAAGAGGTTGGGGAGCCACGTGGCTGTGTCTTTGCCGCTCACTGCCCCCGTTATAGTCACACCCGGGGGTGAGTTGAAGACCACAAAGTCGACGTTGGAGACATCGCCTGTGATTGTCTGAAATTGTGATTGTAGCGAAGGTTGAGATGGAGAGGAGACAGAAGGAAAACGGGAGTGAAGTGGGGAGGAGAGGTGGAGAGGGGATGTTATGTGAGGTGTGCGGTATAGTGTCTTGCCTATGTGTGGGAGGTAACATGCATGCCATGACTCACCGGTGGTAAGGTGTTTTTGAGAAATCTCGAAAAACATCTTGCCTATGCGACGGAGGTAATGTACATGTCATGGGTGGTTAGGCTCACTGTGAAAGCGCAAGCGAGAAAGGCTTTGACACGACATGCAGAGGGCCGTACCAGCAGCGCCTGGCTGGGCGGCACTAGGAGAGAGGAATCAAGTGAGGGGAGTGCGACAAGTGTGGGGGGAGGAGCAGAGAGAGTGCCTAACAGGAGGGCCGTACCAGCAGCGCCTGGCTTGGCGACACTAGGAGAGTGAAACGCGAGTGAGAAGCGTGGGACACGTGCAGTGGAGGAGCAGAGAGAGAAGGTCTAGCAGGAGGTCGTACCAGCAGCGCCTGGCTTGGCGACACTAGGAGAGTGAAACGCGAGTGAGAAGCGTGGGACACGTGCAGCGGAGGAGCAGAGAGAGAAGGCCTAGCAGGAGGGTCGTACCAGCAGCGCCTGGGTTGGCGATGCACGCTCGAATCGAGGGAGAGATGTGCCGTCCTTTGACGCACCGGCCTTCACTGCCACCTGCAGGAGGAGGTGGGAGAGAGTGTGTGAGCGAGTGTGGGAGAGAGGGTGGGAGAGAGTGTGGGAGAGAGTGTGGGAGATTGTGGGAGAGCGGGTGGGGGAGAGTGTGGGAGCGAGTGTGGGAGATAGTGTGGGAGAGAGTGTGGGAGAGAGTGTGGGAGAGAGGGTGGGAGAGAGTAGGAGAGAGGGTGTGGGAGAGAGGGTGGGAGAGAGGGTGGCAGAGAGGGTGGGAGAGAGTGTTGGAGAGAGGGTGGGAGAGAGTGTGGGAGCGAGTGTGGGAGAGAGTGTGGGAGAGAGTGTGTGAGAGAGTGTGGGAGAGGGTGTGGGAGAGAGGGTGTGGGAGAGAGGGTGTGGGAGAGAGGGTGTGGGAGAGAGTGTGGGAGAGAGTGTGGGAGAGAGTGTGGGAGAGAGGGCGTGGGAGAGTGTGGGAGCGAGTGTGGGAGAGAGTGTGGGAGAGAGTGTGGGAGAGTGTGGGAGAGAGGGTGTAGGAGTGTGGGAGAGAGGGTGTGGGAGAGAGTGTGGGAGAGAGTGTGGGAGAGAGTGTGGGAGAGAGTGTGGGAGAGAGTGTGGGAGAGAGTGTGGGAGAGAGTGAGGGAGCGAGTGAGGGAAGAGTTTGAGCTGGTGGATCTTTCTCACATCAGAGCAGTGGAGAGCATGGGTGAGTTGTGCATGTCTACAGCATGGGAGCGAGTGACGGACGGACGGACTGATCCATGAGGGCATCTCCGATCCATGAGTGCATCTCCAATCCATGAGGTCATCTCCGATCCATGAGTGCTTCTCCGATCCATGAGTGCTTCTCGCCATTCCGTGTTTGACATGGTGGAGTGCTGCTCACTCCTTTCCCTTACCTCTCAACTCACAGGGCGCTCCGCCTGCTCCATGTGTTCACCACACTACCCTCACCTCCACCGTGTAAGTGTCCGCCCATCCTCCCCCCCCACTGGTCGCATCCCCCTCAGCCCGATCGACCCGTGCCCATTCAGCACCGGCATTTGTGCGAAGAGCCAAAGTATTTCCGCACCATGTCCCCTAATTCGGGCTGCCCCCTCCAAGCAACGCCTTGACTTCGCAGCAAATGCCATCCATCCCGTCCCTGTCCCCTTATGACTTGACTCAAAAGCGCCTCCCCCAGATACCACCTCATCTATGCCATCCATCCCTTCCCTGCCCCCTTATGACTTGACTCAAAAGCGCCTCCCCCAGATACCACCTCATCTATGCCATCCATCCCTTCCCTGACCCCTTATGACTTGACTCAAAAGCGCCTCCCCCAGATACCACCTCATCTATGCCATCCATCCCTTCCCTGTCCCCTTATGACTTGACTCAAAAGCGCCTCCCCCAGATACCACCTCATCTATGCCATCCATCCCTTCCCTGACCCCTTATGACTTGACTCAAAAGCGCCTCCCCCAGATACCACCTCATCTATGCCATCCATCCCTTCCCTGACCCCTTATGACTTGACTCAAAAGCGCCTCCCCCAGATACCACCTCATCTATGCCATCCATCCCTTCCCTGCCCCCTTATGACTTGACTCAAAAGCGCCTCCCCCAGATACCACCTCATCTATGCCATCCATCCCTTCCCTGACCCCTTATGACTTGACTCAAAAGCGCCTCCCCCAGATACCACCTCATCTATGCCATCCATCCCTTCCCTGTCCCCTTATGACTTGACTCAAAAGCGCCTCCCCCAGATACCACCTCATCTATGCCATCCATCCCGTCCCTGTCCCCTTATGACTTGACTCAAAAGCGCCTCCCCCAGATACCACCTCATCTATGCCATCCATCCCTTCCCTGTCCCCTTATGACTTGACTCAAAAGCGCCTCCCCCAGATACCACCTCATCTATGCCATCCATCCCTTCCCTGACCCCTTATGACTTGACTCAAAAGCGCCTCCCCCAGATACCACCTCATCTATGCCATCCATCCCTTCCCTGTCCCCTTATGACTTGACTCAAAAGCGCCTCCCCCAGATACCACCTCATCTATGCCATCCATCCCTTCCCTGCCCCCTTATGACTTGACTCAAAAGCGCCTCCCCCAGATACCACCTCATCTATGCCATCCATCCCTTCCCTGACCCCTTATGACTTGACTCAAAAGCGCCTCCCCCAGATACCACCTCATCTATGCCATCCATCCCTTCCCTGTCCCCTTATGACTTGACTCAAAAGCGCCTCCCCCAGATACCACCTCATCTATGCCATCCATCCCGTCCCTGTCCCCTTATGACTTGACTCAAAAGCGCCTCCCCCAGATACCACCTCATCTATGCCATCCATCCCTTCCCTGTCCCCTTATGACTTGACTCAAAAGCGCCTCCCCCAGATACCACCTCATCTATGCCATCCATCCCTTCCCTGACCCCTTATGACTTGACTCAAAAGCGCCTCCCCCAGATACCACCTCATCTATGCCATCCATCCCTTCCCTGTCCCCTTATGACTTGACTCAAAAGCGCCTCCCCCAGATACCACCTCATCTATGCCATCCATCCCTTCCCTGACCCCTTATGACTTGACTCAAAAGCGCCTCCCCCAGATACCACCTCATCTATGCCATCCATCCCTTCCCTGTCCCCTTATGACTTGACTCAAAAGCGCCTCCCCCAGATACCACCTCATCTATGCCATCCATCCCTTCCCTGACCCCTTATGACTTGACTCAAAAGTGCCTCCCCCAGATACCACCTCATCTATGCCATCCATCCCTTCCCTGTCCCCTTATGGCTTGACTCAAAAGCGCCTCCCCCAGATACCACCTCATCTATGTCATCCATCCCTTCCCTGTCCCCTAACCTCCACAGCGTAAGTGCCACTGGAAGCGCCTCCCCTGTCTACTGACGCCGCGCTCACTGGAAGATGTCCAAGGATCAGCCCCCTCAGCCTGAATGACCCGTCCTCATTCGTCACTGGCATCTTGTAGTGCGTGCCCTCTTTCCCTTAGTCAAACTCATCTTCTACCTAGCCACCCTCCTCCTCACCTCCACAGCGTAAGTGCCGCCCGGTCGCAGCCCCCTCAGCCTGAAAGATCCATCCTCATTCGTCACTGCCATCTCGTAGTGCGATTGGGAGCCGCCTCCCCCAGATACCACCTCCCTCGCCTCAACCTGCACGCCTGCTTCTGGGGCACCTGAGAGGGAGCGCACTGAACCCAGCACACTGGGGAAGGGGAAGGAGGGGGGGGGGAGAGAGGGGGGGAAGACGGATCGGGGGGACGAAGAAGGGTTTCAGAAGGGGAGATTAAGACGGCATGTGGAAAGAAGTGGGGCATATAAAAGCAGCGACTAAGCGATTTTTTAAATGACAAAAAAATCACCACCTTTTATGCAGTCAAATGCAGTTACTTACCAGCATAGACCAATGTGAAGGGGTGGCACACACTGGGTAATCCCAGCTTATCTCACATGAAAACCACCTGAGACCAACTGCAGCACACCTGAGATCCACCTGAAACCCATCTGAGTCCCACCTGCAACACACCTGAGATTCACCTGAAACTCACCTGAAGGCGACCCTTTTTGCAGAGAACTCCACATCGACCTCCTGCCCGGATTGCAAATTAATCGGGCGGGCAGCCGGCGAAAACTCGTACTCCTTCAGCACGGGCCGCAGGAAGTAGCTGCCCGGAAACAAACCCTCAAAGGCGAAAACATTCTGCCCGGCCGCTGTAGCCTCGTTGCGCCTGAAGCTGTTGTCTCCAGTGAGTGAGAGGAGGACAGATGGCAGCGGCTCATTGGCCGAGGAGGCACCAGCAGCGGCAGCTGCTGCAGGTGTGGCGATCTTGACTGTGATTGAAGCGAGTTTCTGTGCTTCAAACGAGTTGTCTCCTAACGGCTTGAAAATGTACCCGGTCTGGTCGGAAGGACAGAGAGGATCGTCAAGGGGGAAGCAGTGGAAGGAGTTTCGTTTTGAGAATTCTAAAAATGACTCCCTAAGTACCCAGTCTGGTCGGAATGACAGTGAAGATCACAAAGGGAGAAGCAGTGGGTAGCTGGCACGTTTAAAACTGCATACTATCGAACACTGTTAACTGACCTGCAATCAGCACCGTTCACTTGCATTGACCCTGTGGGATCAGAGGGAAAGAGCAACGCACCTTAGACAACTCGATGTGATAAGAGGCATCATCGTTCAAAGGTCCGACCACAAACATTTCCCCCTCCACCCCTCCATGCTTCCTCCCCTCCCCCACCACCGATGCTCCTCCCTCCTCCCCACTCCCCCCCTCACTCCCCTCCCCTTCCATCCCCCTCACTCGCCCCACCGTCTCACTCCACGTCACCACCTGCCCCTTGCCCCACCCCGCATTCGCACTGTCAGCGTCAGCGACCACTGAGACGTTGACACGTGGCAGCGGGGGGAAGAGCCAGCCTGTGAGGTAGCGGCCGGGGCGGGCCTCTACTAGGGGGAGCGGAGGGGGGCACTGGAGAGGCGTGACTTGCACCTGATAGGAGAGGGGGGGGAAATGCAGGGGTCATAGAGAGACAAGGGAGGGGTGGGGTGGGGTTTAAGAGGGTGGCACTGGGGGGAGGAAAGGGGGGCACCCAAGAGGTGTCACATGCTGCTGGGGACGGGAGAAATGCAGGGGGCATAGAGAGACAAGGGAGGGGTGGGCTTTAAGAGGGCGGCACTGGGGCCAGGGAAGGGGGGCACTGGAGAGGCGTGACTTGCAGCTGAAGGGGGAGAGGGGGAAGAAATGCAGGGGGCACAGAGAGACAAGGGAGGGGTGGTGGGGTGGGCTTTAAGAGGGGCACTGGAGGAGTGTGAATTGCACCTGAAGGGGGATTGGGAGAAGAGAGAGGAGCGCGGAGGGAAGGGGCGGGAAGGGCAGGGGGGGAAGAGCCAGCCTGTGAGGTAGAGGCCGGGGCGGGCCTCTACTAGGGGGAGGGGAGGGGGGCACTGGAGAGGCGTGACTTGCACCTGAATGGGGAGAGAGACATCTGCACGAGGTGCCCCCTCTGGTGCCAAATGCGCGGCCCAATAAAGGCAAACCTACTCAGCTTGAGGGAGCGAGGCAGAAGAGGGAAGGGCGGAGAGCGATTATCTGCACCAGAAGTGCCTCCTCTGGTGCCGAATGCGCGGCCCAATAGACCCGCCTACTCACCTTGAGGGAGCGAGGGTAGAAGAGAAGGCGCTTGCGAGGGGGGAAGGGCGGCGAGCCATCTGCACCGGGTGCCTCCTCGCGCTCCAGGGTAGAGATATGTGCACTGAAGCACAAGTGTAGGAAGGGAAAGGGAGGAGGGGAAAGGGAGGACGGGAAAGGGAGGAGGGGAGTGGGAGGAGGGGAGTGGGAGGAGGGGAGTGTGAGGAGGGGAGTGGGAGGAGGGGAGTGGGAGGAGGGGAAAGGGAGGAGGGGAAAGGGAGGAGGGGAGTGGGAGGGGACATAAGGTGATTGCTCGTGAGGAGGGAAGGCTGGCGGGCCATCAGTGCTTGGTGCCTCCTCGCGCTCCAGGGCACAGATGTGCGGCGGGGGAAGGGCGGCGAGCCATTAGTGCTGCTGAGGGGGCCACGGGGCTTAGGGTTTAGGTAAGTTCTTGAGGCGCCTCAAAAGTGGCACTCACTCACCCCCTACGAGGTTAGTTGGTTTTTTAGAATTTTAGTAAGTCAACTTCTCCCTCACACTCGATCAGCAGAGTCACGCACTAAGTTGCCAAATATGCTCTGGCAACATAGATCAGGCACTCACTCACCCCCTGGCGATGAGCGCCTTGGCCTCCGTCTCGAATACATTCAACAACATGTCATTCACCCATCCCTCATCCCCCTTCCCCTCCCTCCTCACCCTCCCCTGCATCCTCCCCAGTAACACCGTAAGCAGTGCAAGACAGGCACTCACCCCCTGGCAACAAGATCCTCAACGGAAGCCAATGCACTCACCCCCTGGCAATGAGCTCCTGAAGCACCTTGGCCTCCGTCTCGAACAGATTCAACAGCATGTCATTCACCCATCCCTCATCCCCCTCCCCTCCCTCACCCCCCTCCCCTCCTTCATCCGCAACAAAGCCCGACAAATCTAGACCTCCCCTGCCCACTCCCTTCTCACCCTCTCCCTCCTCCCCACCATCTGTAACTCCCACTCCTTCCTCCTCCTCCCCTTGCCCTCCAATCCCTCCTCTCCCTCCACCCCCCTCTCCCTCTTTTGTCTTCTTCCCAGCGAGACGAAGGATGTGAGTCACGTAGTCGACCTCCACGTCCACTTCGCCGGCTATATACAGCTGTGTATATTCCTCGTCTAAAGATTTGATCTCGTCGTCGGTTAGTCCGTGCGAGCGCAGGGTCTCTGTGTCTGCCGCTGCCGACCTGCACACAGGCAGGCAGGCAGGCAGGCAGACACAGGGGTTACAGGGTTAAATTTTAACGGGTGGGCACAGTACTATGATCTGTGCAAGTGCAGCGTGTCTGTGTCTGTGTCTGCCGCTGCCGACCCGCACGCAGGCAGGCAGGCAGGCAGAGACAGTCACACAGGGGCTTTGAGTTGCGCTCTATAAGTTCCCCCTTTCGGGGGTTCTTTTTGAAAGAGGTGACTTTTGAGTCGACTCAAAAGTCGCTTTGTCTGGCGCTCTTTCTAGTTCCCCCTTTCGGGAGTTCTCTTTGAAAGTCTCGATAACTTTGCCGACTGAGATCTCCAAGGGCGCCTATGACTATAGGTGACTTTTGAGGACTGAGGACTTTTGAGTCGACTCAAAAGTAACTATGCGGACTGAGGTCTCCAAGGGTGTCTGTGTCTGCAGCTGCAGCTGCCGGCCTGCAAGCAGTTTGACAGGCAGACAAGAGGGTTTTGCACATTAGGCTCCATTCCAAATGTGCAAAACCCCGTCCCTTCCACCCAGTGCTCGCAAGCGTACCCACCCCTCCATCGTGGTAACACCCAATCAGCACCCCCCCCCCCCCCTTCTACCCAGTGCTCGTGCGTGTACACAGCAACGGGCTGGGAGGCTTTGGGCAGCAAACAGTAGCACTAGATCCTTACCTTCTCAGCTCATCTGCTACGTCGTCCACCCCTCCATGGTGGTGGCTTCACTCCCCACCCCTCCATCGTGGTAACACCCAATCAGCAGGCTTTGGAGCAAAAAACAGAGCTAGAACCTTACCTTTTCAGCTCGTCCGCCACGTCGTCCATCGTAGTTGTGGCCTCGCTCCCCACCTCCCCATCGTGGTAAAACCCTATAAGCAGCTCGCCCCCGCCCTCCACCCAGTGCTCGTGCGCGTACACAGCCACAGGGTGGGTGCCGTTGGGGGGGGACACGAGGGTGAGCGCGGAGTGGGAGAGCAGGGAGCCGTTGCTGGGGCTGAAGAGGCGAGCAAAGGCGTGGGCGGAGATGGTGTCAGCAGGCGGGAAGAGAGTGGAGTTCACTTGGACTAGACCGGATACTTTGTAAGCTGACGGTTGCAGGCGAATCCCCTGGGAGGGGAGAGAGGGACGGGAGAGGGGGACGGGAGAGGGAGAGGGGAGAGGGGGACGGGAGGGGGGCATATGGGAAAGCACGGTGTGGGAGAGCAGGGAGCCGCTGCTCGGGCTGAACTGGCGGGCAAAGGCGTGGGCGGAGACGCTAACAGCTGGTGGGAAGAGAGTCGAGTTTAGGGACCTTGCACCAAGCCAGAGACCTTGTAGGCCGAAGGCTGCAGTCGAATCGCCTGAGGCGGAGAGGGAGGGGGGAGGGGAAGAAGCAGGGGGAAGGGGAAAAAGAGGGGGGCTAAGACGTGGGCGGTGATGCGGTCAGCAGGTGGGAAGAGGGACGCGTTGACTTGCACCAAGCCAGACACCTTGTAGGCGGAAGGCTGCAGGCGAGTCACCTGGAGGAAGGAAGGGGGGGAGGAGAATTTGGGAGAGGGGTGTGAGGGAGAGGGGCTTTAAGAGAGGGCGAGGGGAGAGGGAAAAGGAAGAGGTGGGCGAAGGCGTGGGAGGCGACGCTGACAGGTGGAGGGAAGAGAGTGGAGTTCACTTGAACCAAGCCGGAGACCTTGTAGGCCGAAGGCTGCAGGCGAATCACCTGGGGAGCGGAGAGAGGGGGGGGAGAGGGGAGGGGAGAGGGGAGGGGAAGAGGCGGGCGAAGGCGTGGGTGGTGATGGCAGCAGGTGGGAAGAGAGTGGAGTCTGATTGAACCACACCAAAGTGGAGTCTAATTGAACCACACCAGGGACCTTGTAGGCTGAATTTGAGGCGCCTCAAAATCTAATTGAACCACGCCAGGGACCTTGTAGGCTGAATTTGAGGCGCCTCAAAATCTAATTGAGCCACGCCAGGGACCTTGTAGGCTGAATTTGAGGCGCCTCAAAATCTAATTGAACCACGCCAGGGACCTTGTAGGCTGAATTTGAGGCGCCTCAAAATCTAATTGAACCACGCCAGGGACCTTGTAGGCTGAATTTGAGGCGCCTCAAAATCTAATTGAACCGCGCAAGGGACCTTGTAGGCTGAATTTGAGGCGCCTCAAAATCTAATTGAACCACTCCAGGGGCCTTGTAGGCTGAAGCCAGACGGTTGCAGACGAACCACCTGGGGTGGACAGAAGGGGAGGGATGTGGTGCTGATGGGAAAAGCACGCAGCGGGTAGGTGAGAAGGCATCAAAGACCAAGGGGGAAGACAGTATAGGGTAATGGGGGGGCAAAGAGCACTAGATTAAGCTGATTATGACGTGTGATCTATCTATATCCTCACCTTGACCTCCTGTGAATGATAGCAGACACCCTCCCCATACGAGGTGCAGCTATCAGGGAATAGCAGGCTGTAGCTGCCGTTGGCTCTTGAGTCGACCCAGAAACCACCTTAACGTTACTTCCCCTAGCTCTCATGTTTCTTCTCACTCACCTTGACCTCCTGAGTGTGGTAGTAGACACCCTCCCCATACGACGCGCAGCTATCCGGGAAGACGAGGCTGTAGCTGCCACTGGCCGGCACACACAAATGCTGCCGCCCTTTCTGCAGAGGCAAATGAGACAGAGGCAGAAAGACGGGGGATCAGAAGGAGAGGAGGAGAGCAAAGAGGGGCAGCACTGTCAGGCAAGAGCCGGCTGTAGCTGCCACTAGCCGGCACACACAGGTGCTGCCGCCCTTTCTGCGAAGACAAAGGAACAAGTAAAAACCCAGGAAGCGAGACGCGGAACTAGGGAGAGCAGGAGGGATCGTACGAGCGCCAGAGCACACACACCTTGAGCTTGACAGCTGGCATTTGTCCTTCCTGATGCACCAGGCTGACCGTGTCCTCCATCGCTGCTTCAATCTCCACCCTCCATCCGCTCTCTGACCTAAAGAACCACCCAATTTCACCTCGATATAAGCACACACACCTTGAGCTTGACAGCTGGCATTTGTCCTTCCTGATGCACCAGGCTGACCGTGTCCTCCATCGCTGCTTCAATCTCCACCCTCCATCCGCTCTCTGACCTAAAGAACCACCCAGTTTCACCTCGATATAAGCACACACACCTTGAGCTTGACAGCTGGCATTTGTCCTTCCTGATGCACCAGGCTGACCGTGTCCTCCATCGCTGCTTCAATCTCCACCCTCCATCCGCTCTCTGACCTAAAGAACCACCCAATTTCACCTCGATATAAGCACACACACCTTGAGCTTGACAGCTGGCATTTGTCCTTCCTGATGCACCAGGCTGACCGTGTCCTCCATCGCTGCTTCAATCTCCACCCTCCATCCGCTCTCTGACCTAAAGAACCACCCAGTTTCACCTCGATATAAGCACACACACCTTGAGCTTGACAGATGGCATTTGTCCTTCCTGATGCACCAGGCTGACCGTGTCCTCCATCGCTGCTTCAATCTCCACCCTCCATCCGCTCTCTGACCTAAAGAACCACCCAGTTTCACCTCGATATAAGCACACACACCTTGAGCTTGACAGCTGGCATTTGTCCTTCCTGATGCACCAGGCTGACCGTGTCCTCCATCGCTGCTTCAATCTCCACCCTCCATCCGCTCTGCTCCAGCACCACGCCCTCCACCGACGAATCGGAGACCGCCACGTCAGCGGACTGCGCCTTCCAGCACCACTCGTCGCCCGCCATGTCACTGCCCTGGATCACCTGCTTGGACGCCTGGTGGAAATGAGAGGGAAAGAAAGAAGGACATAAGGTAGAAGAAGAGGGTCAGTCAGTTAGTATTTCACTTGTTGCCCGCCATGTCACTGCTCTGGATAACCATGACTTTTGAGTCGGCTCAAAAGTCACCTCGTTAAAAGAGGTTTGGATGGTAGGGTAAGTGGCTAATAGGGGTGGTCAGCAAGTAAGGCCACACATTGCCCCCCCGCCATGTTGCTGCCCAAGCCCACCTGTTATGACGACTGGGAAGAGGGGCGAGGGGGGCCCACCAATGAAAGAGACGAACAGGGACAATGTGAGCAAAATCGGTTCAATACATTACATTCCTAACATTAGCAAACAAACACACACAGAGTTCCCAGTTACATTGACCTTGACACTGATGTCGCTCACCTCGATTTTGTATTTCCCAGGAACAACTTTTCCAAACAGAAACGACCCCTCCTCCTTCAAAAAGAGAGAGCGTGGATGGGTGATCAAGACCCGACTAGATTGTCCATCATGAGAGCTTGAAACTACAAGTATAGCATCGCTCACCTCGATTCTGTATTTCCCAGGAACCACTTTTTCAAACAGAAACGACCCCTCTTTCTCCTTCAAAAAGAGAGAGCGAGGCGCAACACCAGCAGCAGCCGCAGATTCAGCAGAACCAGTCAACGGCCCGATGCGAGTGAGAGAGACGCGGACGGAGCGATCGCAGCCGTCGATGCAGACCACACGGCCGGACACGGAGAGATGCGATTGGCTGAAGGAGACCCCTGCGACGGGCTTGGATGCGACTGTAACGGTGGCGAGGGGTGGGGCAAAGGCCAGCCCTGCTGCTGCCTCTGCTGGTAGGACAACTGGGGCGAGCTGGTAGGTGCCTGGGGGGACCTGGAGGGAAAAGGAATGCAGAAAAGGGGAGGCAGGAAAAGGGAGGGGGGGGTCAGAACAAGGGAGGGGCGAACGCCAGTCCTGCTGATGCCTCTGCTGGTAGGACAACTGGAGCGAGCTGGTACGTGCCTGGGGGCACCTGCAGGGAAGAGGGGGGAGTGACGGTGAGGGAGGAAAGGGAAGTCAGAGGAGGAAACTGAAACGCGCAAGAGAGAAGGCCCGCTCTGCTACTGCCCCTGCTGGCAGCGTAATTTGAGTCGACTCAAAATACAAGAGAGAAGGCTGGCTCTGCTACTGCCCCTGCTGGCAGCGTATTTTGAGTCGACTCAAAATACAAGAGAGAAGGCTGGCTCTGCTACTGCCCCTGCTGGCAGCACAACTGCTGGGGGGACCTGGACGGAAGAGAGGGAGAGAGACGGGGGAAGAAAGGGGATTCGTAAAAGGAGGGAAGAGAGACACGGGAAATGGAGCAAGAGAGGAGATTTAAGAAAAGGAGGGATGAGAACGACAGCGAGAGGTGAGAGTGGGGTCAGAGAAATGCTTTTGAGTCAACTCAAAAGCATAAGAGTGGGGTCAGAGAAATGAGGAAATAGCTGGCACTTGTAAAGTAGGCAGAGAGCAGGAGTGAAGTCAGAATAGAGTGAGATCCATAAAAAGGACCATCACTACGAAGGACCATTCGAGATCCAGTCTTGTAAAGCTTACCATAAAGCAAACCCGCCCATTAGCATCAGTCTTCTTCGCCTGGGGAGACACACCCTCTCCTCCCCCCCATCTCCTGCCGTCAACGCCACCTACCTCCCCCCTTCTTTGAACTCAGTCAAAGCTTACCATAAAGCACACACGCCCGTTAGCGTCACTCTTCTTTGCCTGGGGAGACACGCCCTCTCCTCCCGTCAGCGCCACCTGCCTGCCGCCCGCAACAAACGCGGACCCCTCGTCCAATAGCGCGGCGACACATAGCTCGTAGTGCGACGCGCGCAAGGGGGGGAGGAGAGAGGCGGAGGGGACAATCGAGAGGGCTGGGAGGGGGGCGAAGGAGTAGCGCGGCTTGATGGCGGATAAGGCGTACTGGCCCGATGTTATCTGGTCCAGGGTGTAGTGGCCCTGCTTGGGGGGGGGTTGGGGGCGGAGGGGGAATGGGGAATGGGGAATGGGGGGAGGGGGGAGGGAAAGGACAGTGAGAGGACGCAACAAGAGAGAGAGAGAGAGACTGAGCAAACAGGGAGCTCAGAGGCGGATAGGGCGTACTGGCCCGACGTTATCTGGTGCAGGATGTACTGGTCCTGCTTGAGGAGAGATAGAGAGAACGGAAGAGGGGAAAGAGGGACGCATGGAGATGAGTAAGCCGGGGAAACTAGCAAGGTCAGACGCATCCCTCTAGCGGATAGGTAGTACCGGCCCAGTGTTATCTAGTTCAAAGTGCACTACCCCTGCTGGTAGCCCCAGGTTACTACCGACCGGGAGGCACCTCAAAAGCAGCAGCAGTGCTTCTCAAACTGTGACTGACGGCTCGAGTTTGACTGTTGGGAAGCACTGCTGCTCCCCCCACCCCCTCCCCTGTGGTTCCAACAACCAGTGAACCTCTCTGTGTGGTGTGGTGAGGCTAGGAGATCGCAGCGAGGTGACTTTTAAATCGACAAAAAATGTGGTGACTTTTGAGTCGACTCAAAAAGGATTCTCTCTGTGTGGTATAGTTAAGCTATGCCATTGTAACGAGGTGACTTTTTAAGTCAACAAAAAATGAACCTCTCTGTGTGGTGTGGTAAAGCTATGAGAGCACCTTAGCATCTGTGACGGCTCGTGTGATTGCCTGTTCAAAAGCCCCGCAGCTCCCTCCACCCCCTCCTCTGCTCTTCAACCAACCACCGAACAAATATATGCTTGGGTAACGCTTTGATTTGAACCCGCACCTTAGCATCTGTGACGGCTCGTGTTTGGCCGTTGAGAAGCACCGTTGCTCCCTCCACGCCCTCCCCTGCACTGTCCACCACCCGACCAGACACAGAGAAGCCCCGGACCTGCCGAGTACACAGGGAGGGGAAAGGGAGGAGGAACGGAGGAGAAACGGAGGAGAAACGGAGGAGAAACGGAGGAGAAACGGAGGAGAAACGGAGGAGAAACGGAGGAGAAACGGAGGAGAAGGGGTGAGTCAGCACGAACAGCCCACCTGAAAAGCTCTGCCATAGAAATGCGTGGCAACCAAACACCAAGGCTTCCTAAAAGCGATGATACTTGTACCGGTGCTCAGATGTTACCTGAAACGGCTCTGCGGTAACTGCGTCAGCGTGTCCCACTGCCACTGCCATTTCCTTGGGTGCCATGTCAAACACCGTAGCCTCGCCCTTGTACTGCGGGACCAATGAGAACGCGCCACATGGCAGCTCGCGGAATGAGAACCGCCCGTCGGCACCCGTAGTGGTGTGGCAGAGAGAAGTTTTTCCGGGCACGGGAGAGCTGCCCGGGCCAGCCGGGCAGGTAGGAATGTTCTGGACGGAGCCAGAAAAGAGGAAAATCTGCACCCCTGGGACTGGGTTACCCTGTGTGAGGAAGAGAAGGGGAGGAGAGGGGGGGGTAGGGGAGAGGGGGGCAACGAGAGGAGGAAGTCTAGAAAGTAGTCTGTGGGGGGGTAGAAACTTGTCGGAAAAGAGAGGAGGAATGGATGGCCGGATGAGATTAAGAAACACACACTAAGAAAAAGCTCGCATGGCACACACAGGCACAGACAGACACAGACATAGACACACACAAACCTCCCCCCCCCCCCCCCCCCACACACACACACAAAACCCCCACCTCCCCCACACACAAAACCCCCATCCCCCCCACACACAAAGCCCTATCTGGGCCTCCACCGAGCCCAACAAATCGTAGCCCGCCACGTGGAAGAGATCCCGGGGTTCAAAGCTGCACACGCGCGCACGTGCAAGAGTGCAGCGCCCCCCTCTCCCTCCTCCCCCAAAACCGCACCCGCACCTGCACCCCCAACCCCATCCGCACCTGCACCCCCAACCCCATCCGCACCTGCACCCCCAACCCCATCCGCACCTGCACCCCCAACCCCATCCGCACCTGCACCCCCAACCCCATCCGCACCTGCACCCCCAACCCCATCCGCACCTGCACCCCCAACCCCATCCGCACCTGCACCCCCAACCCCATCCGCACCTGTACCCCCAACCCATCTGCACCCGCACCACCCTACCTGTGCTTCAACCGAGCCCGACAAATCGTAGCCCGCCACTTGGAAGAGATCCGGCAGCTCCAGGCTGCCCCACCCCAGATCCACCTTGGGATTGCCGATAGTCTTAATGGGCCAGGACGGGTGGGAGGCAGAGAGAGTGTACGTGGCTGGGGGAAGGGGAACCAGGGGAGAGAGGGGAAGGGTGGGGGTCGGAAGGGGGGATTATATGGGGGGAAGAGCGAGCAGCAGTGAGAGCTCGAGGCTGCCCCACCCCTCAGGTCCACCTTGGGAGTGCCGAGCCGCTTAATGGGCCAAGAAGGGTGGGAGGCAGAAAGGGTGTAGGTGCCGCCTGGGGGAAGGCGGTGCAAGACAGGGAGCGAGGGAGCGGGGAAGAGCGAGCAGCAGTAAGCTCCAGGCCGCCCCACCCAAGGTCCACCTTGGGATTGCCGATAGTTTAAATGGGCCATGAGGGGTGGGAGGCAGAAAGAGTGTACGTGCCTGGTGGGCGAAAGGGGGAGCAGGGGAGAGAGGGGGGGCGGCCGGGGGGGGGGGGGGGGGGGGTTATGGGGGGAAAGAGCGAGCTGCAGTGAACTCCAGGCTGCCCCAACCCAGAGTCAGACTTCAGGGTTAGAGCTTATAGACTTTAGGGATCCACCCTGGGTTCTTAGAGTGCATGTGCTTGGGGAGGGACACAGTGACACCAGTGCATCTGTGCACCCTACCAGGGTTTCGGGTTTAGGGTTAGCAACAGTAAACAGTGAGCATCGTACCAACAAGCAGGTCGGAGAACAGGAAGGCGCCACTCCCATCCCTCACCGCAGTTGCCACCACCACCCCAGCCTCTCCCTTCTGACAGCCCACCAGTGACAGCAACGAGAGAGCTTGCATACTAAGAGGTGTGTGTGTGCACCCTACCAGCAACAGCAGTTAGCAAGCTTGAGTCGACTCAAAAGCAAGTCTCGTACCAACAAGCAGGTTGGAGAAGTGGAAGGCACCGCTCCCATCCGACACCGCAGTTGCCACCACCACCCCAGCCTCTCCCTCCTTACTGCCACCCCTCGTTAGAGTCACAGTCACGCCAGCAGGGCCCGTGGAGGGGGCGCCACAGGAGGGGCTGCTGGGGCCAAGCACCTTGCCAGCCAATCCAAAGCTGCCACGTAGGAGAGGGAGAGGAGGAAGTGGAGGGGAGAGGAGGGAAGGTGGAGTGGGGTAGATGGGGAGAGGAGGGAAGGTGGAGTGGGGTAGATGGGGAGAGGAGGGAAGGTGGAGTGGGGTAGATGGGGAGAGGAGGGAAGGTGGAGTGGGGTAGATGGTGAGAGGAGACGGAAGGAAGCATGACACAAGGCCACCTTGCCACCTTGCCACGCTCGTCCCCTCGTGCCCTCGTCCCCTCGTCCCCTCGTCCCCTCGTGCCCTCGTCCGCTCGTCCCCTCGTCCCCTCGTGCCCTTATCGCTTGTCCCTTTATCCCCTTGTTACCTTGCTGCCTTGCTACCTTGTTACCTTGCTGCCTTGCTACCTTGCTCTTGCTACCTTGCTACCTTGCTACCTTGCTACCTTGTTACCTTGCTGCCTTGCTACCTTGCTACCTTGCTACCTTGCTACCTTGTTACCTTGTTACCTTGCTGCCTTGCTACCTTGCTACCTTGCTACCTTGCTACCTTGCTACCTTGTTACCTTGTTACCTTGCTGCCTTGCTACCTTGCTACCTTGCTACCTTGCTACCTTGTTACCTTGTTACCTTGCTGCCTTGCTACCTTGCTACCTTGCTACCTTGCTACCTTGTTACCTTGTTACCTTGCTGCCTTGCTACCTTGCTACCTTGCTCTCTTATTTATCAGATTTCCGCAGCTCGCTCATCCCGTGTAGTGGAAGTTGGCGTCCCTGTTGCCGTTGCACGCCTCCGAATCGACCGTCACTGGCACGCTTAAGGCTCAAACGACCACCCGGGTGTGAGGGGGGAAGGGGGGGGTGTTTTGCACTGCGCCAAAAAGCCACTTGAGAGGCGCTCACCCCTTGTAGTGGAAGTTGGCGTCCCTGTTGCCGTTGCACGCCTCCGAATCGACCGTCACTGGCACACTCTCCGGCTCAAACGACCACCCAGGGGGTCCCCTCACTGACAGCTCAAACGTTCCCTGTGATTGAAACGAGGGGCGATTAGAGCACAGTATAACGCGGGGTTAAGACGCACAGAACCAGACGGCCCGCCCCCGAGGACCCTCACTGAAAGCTCAAACGTTCCCTGTGATTGTAACGAGGGGTGATGCGAGCAAAATGTAACACCGGTGGTGGGAGCACATTCTAGAGTGATGGCACTGGTTTACAGATGAATAGGCAACAATGCATAACAGAAGCGGTGCCATGCTTTACTAAACGTTGAGAGACAAAGGTTCTGAGTGTTTTGCTAATAATTGAACACTTGTGGCAAACTTCTCCTCACCTGATTGTAGACCGGCAGGAAGTAGTACCCGTTTGGCGCGCAGTGCGCTTGCTCCTTCACCATGCCCTCCTGCGTTCGCAGCTCCACCTGCGGGCATATGGGGGCAAGCAGAGGGGGTCAGGTGGGTTGTGTGGAGTGTGGGATGGAGGAGGGGTGGTGAGAAGGGCGCAGTGCGCTTGCTCCTTCACCATGCCCTCCTGCAGCTCCACCTGCGGGCAAATGGGGGCAAGTAGAGGGGTCAAGCATAGGGGGAAAGAATAGGGGTCAGGCAAAGGGGGCAAGCATAGGGGGCAAACATAGGGGAAGGTCGAGTGTGTGATTTAGTGGGAGGGAGGGGTGGTGAGAAGGACGCAGTACGTTTGCTCCTCCCCCATGCCCTCCTGCGCGCGCAGCTGCACATCCAAGCATGGGCGAGCGCAAGGGGAGGAAACATAGGGGGGACGAGGGAGGGGTGAGGAGAGATGGAATCAGTGGGAGCCGCAACACAACGCGCGGGAAAATAACGTACCTTCGTGTTCCGGGATCTGAAGCAAAGGGGGCGGAGTGAAGCAGGGGGGAATCTGTTGCGCCTTGCGAAAAAAACCTGAAGAATTCTAAAGGGGTCCATACTTTCGTGCATGGTGTCCCACCGCGTCACACCGCAACATGCCACACCGTATCGCACCACACCACACTACGCCACACCTTTTCAAACCACCCCACACCACGACGTACCACACAACACCACACCGTACCACGAGGCGTGAGTAGTCGAAGGAGGCATCGGAATCTGCACGCAGCGAGGCGAGCTCCTTGCTTGCCTGGCGATCGAGAGGAGGGGGGTTGGTGGGGGGGGGGGGGGGGGGCAGAGAGAGGGGTGAAGGACGGCGGAACGTGAAGGACGGGTGAAGGAAGAGGCCAATGAACCCATATTTCTCTGGGTTAACCATGATGGTAGTAGCCTTGCGAGGCAGCGGTTAATCCAGAGAAATAAGGTCCCATTGGTCTCGAACGTGAAGGACGGGTGAAGGACGGTGGTTCAAACACGCAGGGAGGCGAGCTCCTTGCTTGCCTGGCGATCGAGAGGAGCGGGGGGTGGGGGGGGAGGGGGGAGGTGGGGTGCAGAAGGGCGAACACGGATAGAAGGAAGCGGGAGGTGGAAACAGGGTGAGGGAAAGTTTTTTGAGTCGACTCAAAAGGAAACAGGGTGAGGGAAAGGGAGGAACGCGGTGATTCGACACGCAGTGATTGTGACATCCTGGCTTACCTCGCGATCTGTGAACTGTACAGCAAGCTTTATAAAGAAAAAGGACCAAAAGAAAAGGAAAAAGGTCGACGATCGTAGCGATAATCTCGAGCCGGCATCGGCGCTCCGAACAGAACTACGTGATAACGGGATCGGATCTCGGACCAGCGCACATCCCAGAATAATGCACATCTGGCATGTGATGGGGATGACATCACACACACACGAAGGCACTAACACAGTGGAAATGGTAGACGATCTTGGCTTTGAAGCCCGCAGTCCGGATTGTCCAAGAAGGGGGGTTTGTTAAACACTTGAAGCGGTGTGGCCAACTTTTCCTAGGGCCGCGGAGGTTGGCGAACTTATTTTGGGGTTCGCTATCCAACCAAAACTTTCCCCCCCGTTCAGCTGCTTAACTTTTGGACAATCCGGACAGCGGGCTTTAATCTGCACAAGGCATTGGCGCTCCGAACAGAACTAGCGGAGAGCGCAGAGCAGCACGGGATCGGATCTACGACATGCATGCATGATCCATCTGAACGGAGCCCACCCGAACAGAGCCTACCTGAACAAAGCCCCCGCATCCGATAACGTCCGCTGCCACGCCATTCTCTCCCAACTGCCACGTCAGCACGATGCTGACGACGGCAATGCGGATCCACGCCGGCCAGATCCGTTCCGAAACTGCATCGCGCGACGCCGAACGCATCGCGCGTCGTAAACCTCGACCCTGAAACCGGGGATCGCACGACTGTACTCGAACCTCAGTCCGAGCGGTGCGCGACGCGCCGAGGGTCTGACAATGGCTTCGCAAGGAGGCGCAGGTCCCTTCGGAGAAGCAGGCGGGACAGACGCTCGGAGCAGGAATCAGGATCTGAGGGTAAACTCGAGGGGCTCTGCTGGAACTGGCTTCTTTGTGAATCCATACGCGATAGTGGCTGTATTCCAAAACCCTATAAAGCAGTGAGTGATAAACGTTATAGAAGAGTGGCTATTTAGTGGTGTTAGCGAATTCACTTCCTTGCACTAAATGGTTAAAAAAAAAAAAAAAAAACTACGATGTGAGAAAATATGTCATATGTATGAGCAAAGCATGAACTTGTAATGTAATGATACATCAAGACACTATAGGCTATCTAAACATTTATAAAACTCCAAGGGTTTTTAGTTGTTCGGTTACTGTTACTAGCGATCCGCACACAGTAGTCACGTTTAACACACAGCGAGGAGGGTTTTGTCGCTTTCTGGGAAGCGATGGGAGGTTGAGCGTACATTTAGGTTTTTTTTTTTTTTTTTTTTTTTTTTTTAAGTTGACTGCACTATAATAGGCAATCATAGTACACACAACGTGGACAGTCGTAACTGTGGCTGAGAAGGGAGCCTGCTCCCTTCACCCAACTTATCTACGGGAGACGATGTGTCATTTTCGGGTTCGCCCACATAGATGAGAAGCGATGTGTCTACATAAGACTTTGTGCTGCGCTTTCCAAAATACTGTTGATAGTCCTCCTCTCGTCACTTGCAAGTAGCCGCACCCCTTTCTTCGCCTTGTTATTTTCTTTCTTCCACGCCTCTCTACTCGCAACCGCCACGTAGATCTTTGAATGTAACAGAAACTCCGCGTTGATGCGACTCTTTGCGCGCCGGGTCTGCATTTTTTTTGTTCCGGAAGTCTGCAATTTTTTATGTTGCGAAAGGCCACCGCCGTCAACGTGGTCTCTGGAAAACCCGACGCTGTGCTGCATGGCTGAAAGAGAAGGTCCCCCGACGACCTGATTGTTCTTGACGGATTTATTGTCGCCAGAGCTTTCTTGAGGGCAGCGATGATTGGCTGCACCCTCACGCACGATTAGAGGTAGTGTTCAAGCGACTCTTATCGCCCGCAGTGAGGGCACTTCGCCTTGTCGCCCAGGAAGCGAAGCCGTTCGCCGACCTGAAGATTTCAACAGTGGATCCGCAACAGGACATCACTGGGTCTGTGAGGGGTCACGGCCGAGCCCCTCATTTGGATGGTCCTCTACCAATCTACAAGTTTCCCTAGCTGCTGCTCCCAGGACTACTGCTTTGACGTGAGGCATACAAGCGTTACAGCTGCTCTGAGACTACGAAGTGGCGCTGGTCTCCCCTCCTCTACCAGCGGAGAGGCAAGTAGCCTCGTCTCTGGCAGCCCCATTTCTCCAATGAGCAGATCTCCCTTGATCGGCATCGACACCATCTCCCTCAGGCTGAGCGTCATCGACCACGGGTCATCCCCGCGGACAATTATGTTATCCTCATCCACCACCACTCTGTTGCAGAGAAGACCTCCCCCCTCCTTCCCTTATATCTCCCATAGGTGGTTACCTCTCGGACCCCTTGTCATAACTATCGAAGTGGTGGCTCGGATCTCCTCGACTGTGAGTGACCTTAGCATTCTCTCTTTCCACTGCACTGGTGCTGCTTCAAATGCCTTCATCGCTACCCCTACTATTCTGCGACCGCCCAACTGCCTTGACAGCTCCTCTGTCGTTTTCGTGTGTACCTTCCCTGCCGAGTCTCTCTTTATCAAGTCTCCCAGCTTCATTTGGTACAAGCTCTCCAAACCCTTTTGGTTTCCAAAGGGACTGCCGTCTTTAAACAGTATCTGCGTGTTGAAGAGCAATCTCTCATGTTCCACCTCCCACCTTGACGCAGCTACCGCGATCTCCGCTAGATGCGACGAGGCGAAGATCTGAGTTATGCGCTTCCATCTGTTGCTCCCTTCTTTCCAGCGTTTGAATAGAGACGGATGAGCATATAAAGAGGCGAAACCCAGTGGAAGCTCTGCCGCTTGCTCCGTGATCCAGCGCTTCATAGGGTCCTTCTCCAGTAGTGTCCCTGCAATAGTTCTTAACGCCCCGCTGTTGACGCGCGCTTTCGGGTCCAACCCCCCAGCCCGCCTTCTAGTCTAGGCCTGTGCATCAACTCCCGAATCCAGAGGGTGAAGACTTTCTCCTCTGTCGCCTTGCCCCCGGATAGGGAATTCTCCCCCAGCTTCTGCAAGCTCTTCTACACCTCTTCCGGAGGAGGGTGCACTTGGGCTAGGAACAGGGCTACCGGCATCAAGTAGTTGTTCTAGATGGTAACTCGCGCCAGTGTCGTGAGATGAACCGCCTGCCACTTGCTCAAGATCCCCTTCATCCTTTCGTATGTCAGCTCCCACGACAGCTTTGGATCTCCCTCCGATGTAACCCAGATGCCGAGCAGCCGCTCTGGCTCTCCTCTTCTAGCCCATTTGAACTGCAGGTCTTTCGGGGGAGCCGCTCGAATGTTCCTCCCCAACGGCAGCAACATCGACTTATCGACGTTTGCCTTGAGACCGGAGGCGCGATCGAAGATGTCCAGGAGCAGCACCGCCTTCTTGAGCTGCAGCTTCCCATTCAGGATAAGTGTCGTGTCGTCGGCATAACCCAGGTAAGCCAGACGCTTGCAGCCTTTCTTGAACAGACCCAGGCTTCTCCTTGCAGCCTCCTAACACAATGGTTCCACCGCGCAAAGAAACAGGTAAGGCGCAAGGGGGCAGCCTTGACGCACCCCTTTCTGCATGTCTATGGGAAGCCTGGTGCTTGCACCCTGGTGTAGTGCCTCCACCCAGCCCATGAAGGTCTCCGGGATACCCATCTTCCGCATCGTCGAAACAAGAAGCCCCTGTCCACTGAATCGTATGCCTTCTGGAAATTTACCAGAAGTAGGAACTAGTCTTCGTCACCCTTCTTCGTCGCATCGACTATGTCTGCTACCACTGCTACAGCGTCCACCAACCTTTTGCCAGGGAGGAAGCCGTGCTGATCTTTGGAGATAACTCTGTGCAATACAATTTTCAGTTTGTTTGCTAGGACCTTTGCAAGCAGTTTGTATGTACTGTTGAGCAGCGCTACGTGTCTGTAATTTTCCAGTAACTATGTCTGCCCTTTCTTGTGCAGTAACACCATGACCGCTTCTCTGATCGCTGATAACGGTGACGCCGTCGAGTCAAGCCGGTCTACCATTTTCATGACTTCTCCACCGAGGGCATCCCAGTGCTGCTCCCAAAGCTCCTTCAGAATTCCATCCTTTCCAGGCGACTTGTTACCTGCCATGCCCTCCAGCGCTTGCTTTACCTCTTCCTTCGTCCATTTCTTAACGGATTGCTCTCCTTCCTCTGCTGATACGATTTTCTCCTTTGCAGGTACCCATTGCAGCAGCTCTTCCGTGTCTTCCTTCCTGCCGAATATCTCTCGGAAGAAATCCGACGCCGCCACCAGTACATCCCGAGGGCCCTTATGGAGGGAGCCCTTGTACTGAACCCCCACAATCGACGTTTGCACCTTTCTCGCCTTAATCTTCCCTGACAGGAAGGCTGAAGGGGTCTCCCCATCTATTTCTGCTTTTACCCCCGCTAGTAGCTGCCGTCTATCCCTTTCCGAGTAATGGTACACCTTGAGCCATGTCATCTGCTGCAATAACATGTCTTGAAGCAGGCAATTCGCAGGATCCCTCATCGCCTTCTGCCTCAAAACTTCCACCTCCCCGTCCAGGTGTCGGAATGTCGCCTTCACTCTTTTCCGTTCCTCCACTGAGTAGGAACTTAATCCGACTCCCAACTTTCGAGTCAGTTCTGTTAAATCTCCTCTCCCTTCCGTACAGTGTTTACCCGCAATGCACTCCACAACCGCCCTTACACCAGGTCTTCCAGCCAGAGCTACTTGAAAGCGCCACAACCCCGGGCCCGCTGCTTCCTTATCCTCAGCCCGAATGTTGATGCAGATGGCATAGACGTGATATGAGATGCTGACCGGGAGGTCTCTGTGGTAAGCTGCGGAGAGCCGGTACAGCATGCGGAGCGACACTAACGCCCTGTCTATACGCGAGTTGGCCTGCGACGATGAAGACTTAAACATGAGCTGCCTCAATGATGGGTGAAGCTCCCGAAAAGCATCCTTCAAGTTATGACTACCGAAGAGCTGGACCAACCGCAAATTCTCTCCTACCGAGCCTAACTTGGAGGACTTGTCAAGTTGCGGATCCTCTACCACGTTACGGTCTCCTATTAACACCAGATCTGAATTCTGTGAGATTTGACTGATAAATGGTATGAGGTGAGACACGTAAAACGGGGCCCTTGCAGCAGCCTGAGCGGGAAAGTAAGCCGCCACCAGGGTGAGATCTACCCCTCTCCACTCTATCTTGACACTGCCTAATCTTCCTGAGCTGTCCCCCTTATGTTCTGATACCACTACTTGCTGTCTAAATACCAGTATTGCCAACCTTCGAAGAGGGGGAAACTACCAGGGACTGCAGAGGCTTTAGCTCCGACCAAAAATTGTGATCCTCCAGGATTCTTGTATCTGCGAGAACTACTACATCCGCCACTTGTCTAATCCAATGCTTGACATTCTCCCTCTTCCCTATGCTACCTAAACCGTTGACATTAAGGCTGCAAATCGTCAGGAAGTTCCTATCCATTGACAACTACCAGAGAAGCCCACACGCATCCACTGTGCAAAAGAGGTACCTGACAAGATGACTCTACACACCGGCGACCTCCTAACACCCTGCTCTGTTCTATAGAATCAGCTGCGGACCTGGACGACGGTGAAATGCCATGCGACACTAATCTGCGTAACTCGGGTCCTATGCCTTCTTTGTGACCAGCAGGCCGGAAACTTGCTTGATAGCCTTGAGCATGATCTTCCCCGCGTTGCTGCGTCGGGTTCCATCCGGCCGGTGCGGTGGCTTGTCAGGTCGATGTGCAGCTTTGCCTGGGCGAAGGTGCTCCCCTTGGCCTTGTTGCAACAATCTTGTAGGCATACCCAGGCTTCTCTGTCGGCACCAATGGAGATCAGAGCAAGCGCTGAGTCCTTCAGGATG